AAAGATACCTACTGTGAGCAAAACTTGTAGAGCCAACTAACAGAGAAAGAGGAGAGAAAAATTATTCTTCATATGGTAACTTATTTCTTTCAGTTTCTGAGTCACAGAAATACAAGGGCCACTCCTAAAGTAATGGCTTCTACTTTATTATGTTGGCACACAATCTCAGAGGTGGATATTGGTTGTATGGCAGTAAATGTTGAACCTTCCAACCAATATTCCATTACATTTTGTTGCCATGACAGTCCCTCTGTGTGGAAAAAATTGGCACCCACTGACATTCACTAATGCTTTCTGAATGTTGATGGACACCAAACAGTGGATGTGAGCGCAGTGGTGCGTTTCACAAGTGGCAAGAGCAACAAGTCATCTCCACTGGAGCTAATTTTTATGAGCATGTAATGCAGGTTTTTGTTGATTGCTGATGAAAATGTATAGATAATGGTGGTGTGTTGAGAAATAATGTTTTGTAGCTGAGAATCTGCTCTATCAAATAGTGTTATTGTGCTGTTTGTATCTGTTATAGTTTCCATGGAAGTAAGTAGGAGGCAATACTTCCAGAGCAACCTCCTTACCACAAGTCAAAATAAGCAAAAACTGATTGAATCCATCTCCAATGCCATAAGGCCAAATGCTTATTTATGTAGATATTAAGATCATATACACAGCTCTAAAACAAACACATTTTATCATTAAAAACAAATATGTGAAAATACTCACAAACAATCTTGCATGGAACCATTCCGTTATCCATTTGAAGCCTGTCTTCCATGAATGCTATTCCAAGGTTACTGAAATTATCTACACTTGCTTCAGCAATTAACTTATATGGTTCCCCAGGTTTATAGGCCAACGGTGAACAATAGTCAGACCACTTCACAATCTAAGAATAAACCACATGCATGTTTTTCAGTTTGAAAAGGCTACAGAAAAATATAAAATATACCAACAGTATTATGTTTTTGCAAGATCAACTGCAGAGTTGAGAACTGCCTTTTCTAAAGATTCTGGTATGGAAAAATATCACAACAACAGGCAGAGCCACAGGGATATTACAAAAGCAGACCAGCACAACTGGCAAATTCAAGTGTCAAAAATAACAAAACTATTTTATCAGAAGCATTAAGTAAGTATACAAGGTTTAAGTTGCTTGGTACATCGAGAATCCTGGTCCCTAGAAAAGCATAATGGGAACACTTGGACTTCTCCTCTCAGAGAAGGTTTGTTAAACCCAAATATATGCACATCACCCACTACTCCTGATCAGCTTTTTCTTCCAGTGCTGTGCTGCTGCCACGTCTCTTTACCCAGAAATTCAACAAAAGGGCAACCAGTCTAGACACACAAGGTACCTAAGAATTCTTAGAGTACACTGCTTTCGTGTCTACAAAAACTTTAATCTCTTCTCCTCCTTTGCATGCCATTCAAGCCAACTCTTCCACAGCCCCTCTCTTCATCATGTGACTCTGGGCTATTCCCTATGGTGGAAGTTAAGAATAATAACATTTTAAAGACATCCTTTCTTACCCAGAGAACACACACAAGCAGCTAACATCCACATCACCTGTAAATTGCGAGAATATATTGATACTTTTTCTTCATGGCACCAAGTAGAACGTTAGGCATACTAATAAGTAAAAACTAGTTACTGCTGTCTAGTATGAATAAAGTGAATAAACAAAAGAACCTCTCAAAGTTAGGCTACTGCCAAGACATATGACCTGAAATTCTGCTAATGCAACAATCCAGAACAGGACAAATGCCCTAAGAGAACTGTTTCAAACCAGCCAGGCTTTCCTGCTGTGATTAGAAATTCTCATCAAAATTCTGTCATAATACAGAACAAAAGGCTAGCTCTTACAAACTATTTATACTCCTGCTTTATGCATCCATCTCAGTTTCAGCAGAAACCAGTGACAGATCACTGACAGCTGTTCAAAAAACATCTTTCTGTCAAGACATTCTTGTAGGCCACAGGAATAATCTATTCTTATAGTCCCTGCCTATGTTGAAAGTTAGCTGCCAGAGGTAGCAGCCAAAATCACTTCTGGAAGTTACACTTACACAGAAAAATAATAAACAAACAAAATAAAACATCAGTCCTTTTCCACTTAAATTTCAGTCTTTTATCTGGATTATTGTTTTTCAGTTTGATAAATTAATTGTTAATGTCTGTAGAAGAATCCCTTTTTTCATTCTAAAGAAAATGCAAACAGACAAATCAGCAAGATTAAAACACACACACACAAAACAACAACCCACAACTCTGCCTAATGAAAAACCTCAAAAGAACAGCAAATCAGTGCTTCAATCCAGATGTTGCTTTTGTGGACCTGTGATATAAATTTCCCTTATCCCTCTGCCTGAGATGGGCCAGTACTGTCCAGGTGCACACTGAGACAAGGTAGAAGCAAAACAACAGGTATCCTCTCTAATTTATTTCCTACAAGCAGAACCCCCTGGATGGCTTCCACTAACTTACATCAAAGACCAAAAAAAAAAAAAAAAAAAGCCATCTACAAACCAGCTAGTGTGGCTACTGCTATGAGGCCAGCTGGGACGAGGGTCAATAGGCTTCAGCAAGAAAGGTTTCAGTTCAGAACAAACTTCTAGTACCTCCAGTCCTCACAGTCTGACTGCTTATGAGGGTGGATAGTGATAGGACAAGGGGGAATGGTTTTAAACTGAGACAGAGGAGGTTTAGGTTAGATACTACGAGGAAGTTTTTCACGCAGAGGGTGGTGAGGCACTAGAACAGGTTGCCCAAGGAGGCTATGGATGCCCCATCCCTGGAGGCATTCAAGGCCAGGCTGGATGTGGCTCTGGGCAGCCTGGTCTGGTGGTTGGTGACCCTGCACACAGCAGGGGGTTGAAACTGGATGATCATTGTGGTCCTTGTCAACCCAGGCCATTCTGTGACTCTATGATTCCATTAGCATGCTTTGTTCTCAATTCAAAGGCCTACAGAGGGTACTAAAATCAGGTTGCAGTCATCCAGAATCATTCCCATTCACAGCCTGTCCTTCTGTTCCTGCATTCTTACCAGGGCAGGTAAGTCACCAGACACTTTGCTCTCTGTGTTCACTGCAGCAGAGGTCTCCCATATCACCTCTCAGAACAAGTTGCTTGGAAAATGCATGCTTCTCATCCAAGGTAACTGATGAACCATAATTACTTACAGATGCAACCGCATCTTTAACAACCTGGTAACCTGATGCCAGAAAGTAAGAATGACAGATGATTCTGTGGAGTGCTAAGTAGGGACAATTCGGGAGGACACCTAATTAGCCCCTCCGGGTAGCAGTCCTAGCTTGTGGCGTAAGCTGTTTAGTGGAGGACTCTGTCAATTCTATGCTATTCCAGCAATCACCCAGTAATGCATGCATGGCTTTCTATCTCTTCTCTCCTTGCGTCAGTGAGCAATGAGGTCCATTCTGTAACTCAACAACGTTTTTCAGTATTATGAATTACAGGTCAAACGTTATTTGTGAATTTCAAACAAGAATCATTACCATTTCCCAACTGCATTTTATAGAAAAGCAAAGAAATTAAGAATTTGACTGTGGCCTCACTTCAATAGACTTTGAAAAAATTATCAAAATGTATTTAATATCAAATGTTGATACATTTATTTGAAGTAAAAAATAGAACTTGAGTATTAAAAGTGATTGTTTAATGACTAGATTACATTTTTATTCCCAATAACATTATAAGTGTATAAAATCTGTGATTGATTTATTCCTTCAAGCATTTAGAGTTATGCTTAATTCTATGTGCATATCAATGCTAGACTTTGCACTACTACTTTCTTTACATAAAACAAAGAGAAGTGCTTACCTCTTTTGAAGACACAGATAATTTCTGCAAGTTATCTGCCTGAGCTGAAACACTTTCTGTTACAAAAGCTATATGTTCCGCTTCTAGTAACTTATCAGGATAAATAAGAGGAGAAATGAGAAGTAGACTCCATCTGTTTAAATCATCGAGGAGCTGAAAGAAACAGGAAAGGGAAAGTCTCTAAATGGAACATCTGATTTAATAATTCTTTTTTGAATTTTCCCCAGGCCAAATTCAAATCTAACTCTTCAGCTTTACATGAACAGTCTCCACAGTTTCGCAAGGAAGAGAACTTCCATAAGCAAAAAAGGGAAATCATCCTGAACCATTAAGAAGGGACATATTAAAAGTACAATAAAAATGGATCATCTACAAAAATGGATCAGCTTTCAAGACAACTCAGATGCTAGCATTCAACCTTAAAGTAGAAGCATACAGCTGAGTGGGCCACTGAAGACAGCTGTGCTATTGGCACTGAGACCTTCTTGGGTCACTTGCCATTGGACTCTGCCATTGGCAGTATGTTTCATTCAATCCAATCCTCCTCTCTCACACTGCAGGCTGCCCTGCCTCCTTCTCCCATCTCAGTGCTGGTTCCTGATGGCAGAAGAGCACTGCTTTGAGCTTTCATAGAGACTGAGTAGGCAGTCATAACACAGCACACACACTCAGTCAGCACAGTGCCATTACCTGGCTAGCGTTCAGATGGCAATCATTACAGTTAGGTAACAGTTGTCCAAGAAACACAGTCCCCCAGATAAGTAGAACACACTGTCTCTACATCCATCTGCCAAAAGATCCATCAGACTATGAGCCATAAATAACCTAAAGACTGTATATTACATGGGTCTAATATTCAGGATAGCTAACTTATAGTTCTAAGAATTCTTTTGTAAAGCCTGTTATGTATAAATAGTTTTATTTTTGTGGAGGTGTACAGCCTCCTAAAAATCAGTACGAAATGTAGGTATGTGTATGGGAACTATTGAGTCATGGCCTGAACCACTGATTGATCACCTGAGGCAAGAACTGAGTCAGCCCTGGGAGCACAGGTGAAGGCAATTCAGCTGTGTGACCAGAAGGAGTGGAGCCTGGCTGCACCTCTCCTAGACCCCATTAAAGGGCTGACTGTCATTGGGAAAGGATCTCTTCTGGAGATTCCTCCTTGTGGAATTTTATACTGTGAGCTGAAGACATGGGTGAGCATTTCATTTTATGTTGTCTCTCTACCACAATAATCTTCTTAACTATAAACCTGTAAAATACCATCCTAACCATGTCACTCTTCTAACTGTACATTTGTTAATTGTACGATACTGTACTGACATTATTTTTCCCACCATATTTTAAAAGTTGTAAATAGTAAAAGAAATAGCTATTTTAGTACCACTATACTAGAAACACAGCTTTGTATTCCTTTAGTAACTCTATGTAGAAGCGTGAGAAAATTTCCATAGAACATACCACACATAGATATGATTCCACATGTAAATAGAAACACTGCAGTATTAAGATTTCTTTGTATAACTTAACTTCAAGAGGACAATCTGGCTAGCTTGCCATCCAACCAGCTTTTCTGAGCATGGAAGCTGCAAAAATAAACACTTCTACCTTCCCCAGGAAAGTGAGCCAAACTATTGAAGTTTTGTATTACCTTAGATGTTCAGTTTGATTAACTGGGCGGAGGAGGGGGAAGAAAGAAACTTATTAGGTTGCTATTTAGAAACCAGTGTAGCTCAGCTAGCTTTCTAGAGGGCAAAAGCATGATAGTTTTTTTTTTTTTTTGTTTTTTTTTTTTCTTCCAGTGTTCAATGGATGATGCAGCATTCCACAGCAATACTGCCTCTGTCTGTAATACAGTTAAGTCAGAACCCTCATGTTTCACAGGAACAGGGTGTAGGGCGGCAGGCCTTTTGCACAGGCAATCCAGCAAATACAGCTCATAACTTCCAAAGCACTTTTTTAAGAGACAAATACACTGTGAATAAGAGCATTGACTTTATGTCAAACATCAAGCCAAAATGCAATTCCTTTGAGATTTTCCTAACTTGCACAAACAGAAACTGACAAGCTTATGAAGTCAGTTTGCATTTAGAGCGTAGCAGACAAAAAGAAATGTGCTTAGTATGCAAGGACTGGGAGAAGCTATATTAGACATGAGCGGAAATGGAGCAAAGCATGAACTTGTTGAAATATGATTTCATATTTCACATTTACACAGAACTTTCCACTGCTTACACAGAACTCTGCTCTTTATGTTCATTACAGCACAGGACTCTGCCATTTACATAGAACTTCTCTGAAGACATGGAAAAAATACTTGATTTTGTTCTCAAGGACTTAACAACTGCTTAACTGCCCTGTGAGAGATGCTGCCACCATCTCTTCTAAGTATGAAATAGTTCAATCATTGGATTGCAAGAAACTCCTTTTGAATCCATTCCATTTGCACCTTTGCTTGCACTGCACTGAAACCGGCCTTGCAGAGCACTTAACTTCATAGAATTATCTCGAGTTGGAATGAAGCCACAAGGGTCATTAAGTGCAACTCTAGGCTCTGCACAGGGCCACCCAAAAATCAGCTTTCCTGCCTCTGGAAAAGCCTTAGCCAACAACACGTATCATAAATATACAGTGGTTGGCGATCCTGTCTGTGGCAGGGGGGTTGAAACTAGATGATCATCGTGGTCCTTTTCAAACCCTAGTGTTTCTATGATTTCTGTAATACTCACTTATGTAAAATGTGTAGTAACTGAAATAACTTTCACAAGCACATGAACAATTCTGAAAATCGGGGGGAAAAAAAACGGGGGGCAGGGGACACGGGCAAGATGATACCTGCCCTCAGCCTTACTCAGGCATTTAGTTACAGATAATCCCAATCTTAATTCAAATAAATCAGGTGACCCGTAGGGAGGAGCGGTGCCCAAGGAGTTCCATTTCTGAGCCTGCAAGGCTGACAGCGAGCTTACCGTATCCTAAAGTAAAACTGAAACTAAGCGGAACTCCTCCAGGTACTGCGTGCTTCTCTTCCACCGCTGCCCATCTGTACCAACGCGATGGCGTTTTTCGCATCGCGTTTTCCTCACCCGAGGTAACGTTCAGAGTCCAGAGAAGCAGGCAGTTTTCCATAATAAAAGCCGTACTGGCGAGGCTCGGCCACTGACGGGCGAGGACAGCGCGGCACAGCCAGGGGAGCGGACGCTCGCTCCTCCTTCGGGATCGCGTTAACGGAGGAGGCCGCCGTCCCTCGTTTCTCCCTCCCTCGCACGTACCTGCGTCTCGTCCGTGAAGAAGACTTTGTTTCCTATCCTGAGGCAGACTCGCTCTTCGGGCGGTGCCGGCCTGAGCGGAAGATAAGTCGGAGGCGCCGCAGGGCCGGCGGAGCAGCAGAAGGTGAAGGAGCAACGGGAGCGGTGTAGGCGGCGCACGGTGCGGCGGATGAGTGCGGCCGAGCAAGGCCCCCAGCGCGCCCATAGGTAGAGGTAGCAGAGCGTGATCAGCATGGCGGGCGTCCCCCCGCCCAGCCCCGCCTCCACCGGCCGGCGAGCGCCTAGCGGAGCCTCCGCCCCGCCTCCCGCCCCGCCCTCCTACCGCCTTGCTCTCCCCCCGAGCCCCGTCCGCCAGACAGAAAGGGGCGAACCGGCTGGGCGAGCCGTCGGCCGATCTGATTGGTTGCCATAGACCATTCTGATTGGTTGCCGGCGGCGGGAGGAGGTGAGCGAGGCTATAGCGGTCTGTCCTCGCGGCCGGCTGAGGCGCTTCGCGGTCTGTTAGCGCGTGCTGTTGGGTGGGAGCGGTTTTTCATGCCACGGAGTATGCGAGATTGTGCTTAGAACAACATGGCAAGGAAAAAAAATCAATAATAAAAAAAAAGGTTATCCTTGAGGTCTCTTCTGACCCCAGCTACCCTGTGATTCACAGAATCACAGAATGGCCAGGGTTGGAAGGGATCTCAAGGATCATCAAATTCTAACCCCACTTGCCATATGCAGGGCCACCAACCTCTCCATTTAATACTACACCAGGCTGCCCAGGGCCCCATCCAACCTGGCCTTGAACCTGGCCTATAGGGACGGGGCATCCACAGCCTCTCTAGGCAGCCTGTTCCAGCACCTCACCACTCATAGTAAAGAACTAAAGATTCTGTGATTGTATGATTCTACTTAGCAGTGTAGCATTGCAGGTTATGAGCTCCGCTATGCAGCCCTGCATGTCTCATGTTCCTATCTGTGATAAGGTGGAGCGATGGACCTCAGGTCCCATCTGTGCAACAGGACAGCCACCAAAGAGTACAGCAGCAACAAGGTGACACACTTGTTTTCATCTGATTTGACCATATCACCAAATGAGAAACATGAAATCAGTATCCCAAGGGGCCTGTTGTTGAACTGATGAAGAAGAGTGTGTTGGGGAATAAAATGACACCATGTGCATGTGCCATGTGCTACAGACACAGCTTGCCACTACACAGGAAGCCAAAACAACTTACACAAGGTATCTGCTGCTCCTCTGGCACAGGCATGAAAGTTACTGAGATGGTGAATTTTGTAGAGGGAAAAATGTATGAGGAGCGGCTGAGACCCCTCGCTGTGCTCAGCCCAGATCAGAGAAGCTGAGGGGAGGCCTGATGGCGGCTGCAGCTCCTCACAGGGAGCGGAGGGGCAGCGCTGAGCTCTGCTCTGTGTGACAGCGACAGGGCCCGAGGGAACGGCATGGAGCTGCGTCAGAGGAGGGCAGCTGGGGGTCAGGGAAAGGGGCTGCACTACAGGGCGGTGGGCATGGCACTTGCCAGAGTTAAAGAAGTGTCTGGACAACGCTCTGAGACATATTATGTGATTTTTGTGTGCTGATATTTGGAGTGAGGATTTGGAGTCACTTATCCTTATAAGTTCCTTCCAACTCAGGATGTTCTGTGATTCTATGATCAGCTTGATCCCAGTGGGTATTCAGTGCATGAGTAAAAAGGGAGAGGGGAAAAAGAGAAGAAAATGTAAAAAGGCTAATAGAAATAATGGCACCAATGTGAATGCACCTGGATGATACGTAACAAGCATTTCCTTAACAGAACACGAAGCTACATTCTTTTTTACTATTCTGAACTCAAGGCCTGGTATGCACTCAAATTTACTAAAATAGCTATTCTAAAACCACAGTGTTCTAAAAGGGTCACTATCAACATCACAGTGGCATTTTTGATAAACAAGGAACACAATGGACCTGTGCATTTTGGCATGGGAGAAAAAAAAAAAAAATCAAAAACACCATGAGAACTATAGCACCATGACAACCTTTTTCTTTTTTTAAATCTGCACGCATAGTGAAAGCTTATCCAAAATAGCAGAAATCTCTGACATAATTTTGATTTCCACAGAGCATGCCTGAAACGGTTAACAGTTTCAGTTGAATGATCAAACAATTTAAACAGCTCCCTCCCTTCATTTCAAGCCGAAAAAGTATCAGCGTGGTGGCTCTGCTGCTATATTCCCTGTATATATTCTATAGACAGGGCAACAAAGTCTCTAGTAGTCACAATTTTCCATTATACGCTGTTTCTTTATGTGGCTTTATCTTACAGGGGAAGTCAAAATACTTAGACAGGCACATCAAAAGAAGGAAAACAAGCAAAGTATACACAGCCTCAAAAGAAAGCTCTTAGCTTTGGAATTCACTTTCTCTGTAATAGTTCACTAGTACCCACATTGCTGACCTTCAGAGCACACTGCAAAACACAACTGTTTATATAACCTTTGCACGATGAGCAACATATTTCGTTTAATCCCTCTGTATTCAATGACAGTACTGAATATGATCAACTAGATTTTTATTTATTTCTCTATTTGTTTGGGATCCTTTGCTCAGGAAAATTTCATGAGTGCATGAGAAAACTGAGTAAAAATTTTGTTACCCAAGAGAACCTAAAGCAGAGAAATATACATGCAGTCACTATTTGAAGACAGTGAAATGTTGGAATATTCTCAATGAGAATAATTTGAAGCCATAAAGTTGCTGTAGGTATTCAGATTTTGATCGTAGTGTAGCTTAGACTTAATCGTGAAAAGCTCTGGTTAAAATGTTAAGTATTTTATATTGGGAAACATTTTTGTATTGTTATGAAATCAAGGCCATGAACATGCTAGGATATTTACTAAAATAGATATCCTAAAATAAGCATGTCAGTTTCCCCATAAAGGAGAGTGGAAGGAAACCTTGAAAAGGAACAGTGCGTAATATTAGCTCTCAGACTTAACACTTGCCTTTTTTTTCCACACAGAATCGCAGAATGGCCCAGGTTGGAAGGGACCTCAAGGATCATGAATCTCCAACTCCTCTGCCACATGCAGGGACCCCATTTAATACTAAACCAGGCTGCCCAAGGCCCCATGCAACCTGGCCTTGAGCACCTCCAAGGATGTGGCATCCACAACCTCTCTGGGCAGCCTGTGCCAGCACCTCACCACTCTCATAGTAAAGAACTTCCCCCTGACATCCAATCTAAATCTTCCCTTCCTCGACTTATAACCATTTACCCTTGTCCTGCTGTTATCTACCCTTTCACTGAGCACAGTTCACAGAAAGATGTTGCAAGATGTAGAAAACAGACACGCAGAGATGTGAAATGGTTTACAAAGAAAATGAGGTAAATTCTGAATAAAGGCAATAAGCTAAATTTCTAATTTCTGCCTGCAGACAGGGAGGAAATAACCCCTTCCAAATGTGACAGAAAGACCAGCTTCAGTCTGGAGGGGTTAAGTCCATCTAGGCTCTCCCATATGACTCAGAACAGGAAGCCTGCACTGCCATGGAACATAAAATGTTAAGAAGCCTTCCCCCCCCCACTTTAAAATGAGTATTATGAAAATAGCTCTGATGTGCTTCATGAATGACTTTCAATTCATTTCTGAGGAGCTTTGTATGCTATTAATGGCTCCAAATGTTTTTATGATATGTTTAACACCAGCTAATATATAAATCTGTAAATGCTGTAGAGTTATCCTGTCTCCTGTCTGCAGCAATTCATTCTGCATATTATTTATTCTTGCAAATGCATATGTGCTTTCATTTAAAAAAAAAATAATAACTGAGTAAAACGAGTTTCCCACAAAAACACAAAATATTTATCTTATGGTCCATTTCTCTCTTGATATGCTGTCCCAAATTTCTTTAAAATCAGATCAGATCTACCAAAGTTACTCTCAGTAAGTATTAGAAGTGTGAAAAATAATCCCTGCTTCTGGGAAAAAGAGATAACAGTATCAGTATTTTCTTTCCTTTGCCAAATACAGCTCCTCGAATTGAATTTAAGTATATTTCAAGATACAGTTGTTCCTTTCAGTACCTAAAGGAGGCCTACAGGAAATCTAGAGCGAGATCTTATAAGGCAGTGCAGTGATAGGGCTTAAGCTGGAGGGGAGCCCAAAGCCCATCCACCCCAACCCCTGCCATGGGCAGGGCTGCCCCCCACCAACTCTGCTGCTCAGGGCCCCATCCAACCTGGCCTTGAGCACCTCCAGGGATGGGGCACCACAGCTTCTCTGGGCAGCTGTGCCAGCACCTCACTGCCTGCTGGGGAAATAATTTCCTCCTAATATCTAACTTAAATTTCCCCCTTTTAGTTTAAAGCCATTCCTCCTTGTCCTACCACTATCAGACCATGTAAAAAGTCAGTCTCCCCCCTGTTTATAAGCTCCCTTCAAGTGTTGGGGAGGCCGCAATGAGATCTCCCCGCGTCCTTCTCCAGACAAAACAAGCCCAGCTCCCTCAACCTGTCTTCAAAGGAGAGGTGCACCAGCCTTCTGTTCATCTTTGTGCCCTCCTCTGGATCTGCTCCAACAGCTCCCCATACTTCTTGTGTGGGGGGCCCCCGTCTAGACGCAGTACTCAAGATGGGGCCTCATGAGGGCAGAGCAGAGGGGGTCAATCACCTCCCTCTCCTTTCTGCCCACCCCTCTTTTGGTGTAGCCCAGGATACTGTTGGCCTTCTGAGCAGCTCTCTCTGCTGGCTCATGTCCAGCTTTTTGTCCAGCAAATCTCCAGCAAAATATTAACTTATATTTTTCTACAATGTTACCAAGAGTTACATTAGTTTATATTACAGTTTCATTAACAAAAGTTTTTCTTGTTTGTTTTTTAATTTGTAGCAGACTTGGTCTTGCAGGGCTTTATCAACAGATTTATTTGATAACTTTGTATATTACAGAGATCTGTATTTTAGTAGCTCAGGCTCCAGTTCTGCGCTAATACCCTTGTTGGCAGCTTCTGTCTAGAACTACAAATCAATTATCCTCACATGTGGATCCGATTGCAAGATTGGGACTGTAAGCATCAGTTGTGTAATGAACACTTCCTTTTTGACTATCAAGCTAAATTTGATCTAACAAAACTAAGTTGATGCAATTATATATGTATATTTAAGACAGTAATTTAGCAAGATAGTCAGTTATAATTTAGGTTACTTATAAAGTTCGCCATTTTTTTCTTAGTAACCATGTTACTATTTAACATACAATTTGTTATTTGAACATTACTCACCACATTGCTTATTCCAATAATTGTACTGATTTTGATACATAAATGTTAAAACTTATAAAGATTATACATATGTTTTCTTCTTTGCGTCTTTTTTTACTTAGTTATAGATTTACAAATTCTACAAAGCATTTAAACACAGGACAGAGTAGGTGTTGACTGAGAATTTCCTAATCCATATTTTCAGTGCTTTCCACAAGAGAGTTTAAGTGATTTGATCTTTGAGTTTAAACTGTATCTAGTAGTCACAGCAGGAATGGCTGTTACAAAAGTGCAGAAAATTAATGCAAAAGTTGGAGTTCAATAAATCAAATCACAGAAAATGTTACTCAAGGCTACTTCAAAAACAAAAGTACAACTGCAATGCTATTATTTTTATCAGTCAAGTAGCTAATAACAACTGTACAACTTGCATCAATGTAAGAAAATTAGTCTTTCAAATATGACTTAATCTCTTCCCTGATGGACAAAGGATATTTAATTAGAAGCAAAAATCCCATGTGCCAAGTTATGCCTTCTAATACAGAACCATTTCAGTGGAAAATGAAGTCTTTCAAGAAAGCATATCCAGTGGTCCTCATTTGTGAGTCCTGCCCTTTCATGTTGACTGAACATGTGCTACCCTCAGCTGTATCAGAGCTTGAGAAAGGGCCATGAAGGTTTATGTAATAAGAACCTGTCTCCTACAAAGAATTTTCAGTGTCCACACAAAATGACCATTTTGGTGGCTTCTCCAGCTCAGTCGGCTAGAAGGGACCTAATTTGTATCAAATAATCAATGGATATTCCATGTTCAGTAAACAAAATCATTTTTCTCAGTCTGGAAAGAAAGTTGACAGCATAAAGCAATTATGCTTGGTAGATCAATCTGTTCTTTTTGTTGCCAATGTGTAAGCAGCACCACAGGAAAAATAATTCAGCAAAAGGCTCTTACAATCCACTTGCATCTCTGCAGTAGTTGCAAAATAAAGAAAACAAATAACTGTTGCAATGAACCTTAACAATGAGAACAGATAATGTTACATATCAAGTAATAAATTGCTCCTGTACAATACAGTGGGTAACTAGTAATTTTCAATACAAATGAAAACACTGGGAAGAAAGCTTGGACTAAGACAGTTTGTGCCCAGCCTTTGTAGATTTAAAGCATATTGCATATTGTGAAATAAAACTTGCCTCAAAGAAACGGTATTCATAACCCTTATTTCTTGATAGATGAAGTAATCTTTCTTGGCATAAAATTTCTTCTCCTTCCATCAAATAGCAAACAAATTAAAGAACTATCCCCAGAGTCTGAGGCAGGCACTAGGCCTGTCCTCTCACCATCACTGATTTTTGGTATCTTTTTGTGTTTTATAGTTAAAAGATGGAAAAGATTTCATTCACTGTAACATTTACTCTGTGATTAAAATTCTCTTCAAGTCTCCATTACACTTCTTTAAGACTGGATTCTGATGCATTTTCCCAAGTCATACAAGGAGTATAAAATGGCAACAGAAAGATAAAGGACACAATATTCAATGTGATTTGCTATCTTAAGTTTAATAGTCTGTTTCTCTATAATTGCTCTCACCAGGAGTCTGACCACATGAGAACAACATCTTTGAACTATTTGAAGGAGTCAAAAGAACACTCATTAAGGATGTTTCTTTCCTTTTACCTGAGGCCATGTTTGTTTTAGGTAAGTATGCTTTGGGAGTTAAGATAAAGGAGGGGCTGAGAGGCCAAGACAAGCAGCCAGCCTGCCACAGAAACAGTAGGCTTTAGATCATCAAAAACCATGGAGGGTGCAGCTGTAGATTTCTTGCTCCAGGCTACAGTGGATCACATCTGTCAGTGCTCCAGAGATGCCCAGCAACACTCACTCAATCCAAGAGAGCAGCCAGAGAGGTAAGGCAGAGACAGGCAGACTCCTGACTCCTTCCAAACTCCAGAATTACTGAAAAAAATAGGATTTCCTTAAAAAAGGAAACCACTTTATGGAGAGAAGTCTCTAAGCGTAGCTATTCCCTTTAAAATAGACTGCCAGCTATATCATAGATATCAGTAAATGGATTCCACCAGAAAGAACATGAATATGGTCACTTTAAAGACTGCCAAGAAGCTCAGACTGTAAGTACCATTTGAATGCAGTAATTCTAGATTTGTGCAGAAAATGAAACACAATTTTTAACTTCAGAAACAGCAGGCAAAAAAAAGTTTAACTTTTTTTTAAACTTTTTAAACTTTTTTTTTAACTTTTAATTTGGGACTGATATTTTATTTTTCTGATATTTTATCCTTTTCAGTCAAGTATTTCAGAATATATTTCTAAACAAAAGCAAATGAATAATAAGCTTGCAATAACTGTTTTTTTTTTTAAACTTATTTAGCTTTTGCATCTGATATAACTTTTCAATTTCCCCTATTAAAAAAATGGTAATTAGATCCAATCTCCCATGATAGTTTAACATTGTCTAATCAATAAATGATCAGGCACTCAGTGATCATAAGCAATCATTAATTAGACATAGTGCCAAAGATGAAGAGTTACTTTTCATTTTGCAGCAGTGGTACATAAATAGAAAATACTTCTGTGAAATTTTAGTAGGAAATATTACCATAGTTATAAATGTACAAGTGATTATCTAGTTTGTTTAATGAGATCATATACAGAAGACAGACCAATATTGCCATAGAAATCAGACTCATCATATCAAAACAAGTCTTTTGCAACTTGGGATATATCTATTTTGTGATCAAAATGTGTTGAGGAAAAAAAAAAAGTCATGTTGCTTTTTTTTTTTTTTTTCAAAAGACTTCAGCAGACAGTAACAAAAGAACTATTTTATGGGTACTCTATGGATATTACCACAGAGAATTAATTGTGGGAACGCCATTTTATCTTAATCTTTCAGCAGCCCTGTTTTATGGAGGCCCTGGATGCCCACAGCCAGGGATGGTGAAATGACAGAGAATCAACAAATGGTGAGATTAAATTCTGGAGAAAAGAATCCTTATCGAAAACAGGTGCAGAAATGAAAGCTATCTGAACACAGCAAGCGAGGCTCGGTCTTTTAATCATTTCCTTTTCCAATTTCAAAGTACTTTCTTCAGCACTGACAAATGTTTCCAATTATGATGCTCCATGCATGGCAATGTGTAAAAGTATCTCTAATTTTGTACCAGATTTAGAATCATTAGCTGCAGAAAACACTGCTTACTAAGACAGTTTAACATCAGTTTTTATTTCTTTACAAAAATAAGAATATTCTCTGTTTGAAATTTCCACACTTAATTCATATGTGAGATTTTGTACAGGGGAGAAAAAATTTTGAGTGAAAATGATTTTGAGGTGAAATTAAAAAAAATATCTTCAGGTGCACAGTTGTATTGATTGATTTTTTCTTTTGAGGGGGATGTTGCTATAGCTAAAGCAGATAGAAAATCAACAGAAGAATCAATTTAAAAGCTCTTATTGGCAAACTCCAACTCCGAAAGGCCCACCAATTAATAACTATATTTACTTATTCATTTAGGAAGATTTATTAGTTAAGAGGATAAAACTGAAGAGAGATATAAGCACATTCAACATAGGTCCCAGTACTGCAAACTTAAAAAAATAAAAGTATTGAAATGGTGCTTTAGTGCTTAGTTTTGAGCATACTAATGAGTTTTTGCAGCATCAGATTCACGGCTACATCTTCAACTTTTTTTTTGCCAAAGGATCAGCAGGTTAGGACAACAACTTTCCTTGGCATAAATCTTAAAATGTTCACAATTTCTAACACATTCTAATACATGTAATGCCTTTTTTATCGTGTACTTTTTGTCTCCTGAAGGTGGAGGCTATAGCTGTACAGATCTGCTGGAGTACCATGCTCCTGGCAGGAACTGTGGGGAAAACCTGTGGAACAGCATCATTCCCAAAAGCATCTGTAAATTTGCTAAGGATGAGAGTTGTCCTATTATCACAGGAGATGCTCAGTAATGCATAGGTACATCCCACAGCTGTGGAAAACAACAGGCATCTTCTTCAGCAAATTACTGAGGTTTCTGACTGAATCAGATTTGCGATTAATTGGCGTTATAGGATGCTGTATTTCAACCTGGAAAGTATATGCTTACAATGTATTTAGTAAATACCAATTAATGCATATATTATTTTTAAAAATATGTGTTCTGAACAGAAAATGGCAGAAAAACGGTTCAATAAAAGTAAAAAGACTATTTTAATTTTAACATAGGTATGAAAGGAGAAAAATTGCATATGGTGTCTATTATTTAACATAGATATTACGATCACACTACAATTTTCAGCCAGATCAGGAGTCCATTTTATCAGGTGCTGTGGAAAAAAAGTAAACGAGTCTCTGCTTAAAAACCAACATCAGCCTAACAGGCTTGAGAGGAAAACATGTTGGCTACAAGACAGGCAGACATGGGAGAAAAGGGCCGACATGAAAGGTACAGAGGAAATTCTGTAAGATACCTTGCATGATCTGTAACCAAAGGGTTTTTTGGGGCCCATCAAAATACTCATTTGGAAACCTACTTCCTCAGAAAAACGAATGAATTGTTCTGACAGTGGCATAAGTCATCTTTGTTTTTTCTTCTTTTCACTAGCAGTTCTACCACAACAGGGTAAAATTTTACTATTTATGCGAAGTCAAGTTTATGCTAACAGTAATAGATGTCTTATTTAAGATATGGTAGAGAACACATGTTCACAAGACCAAGTTATAGGAATCAGTGACTTTGGGAGATGCTTTCAGGTTTGCAGTCTTAATAGGATTTGGTAATGTTAACATTTGCAGGCTCTTACTATTACTGTGAACTTATTTTGAAAGAAATTAGTATTTGCCAAATTTTGTATTGAAATTTAAAATTCATTTTTGCTGCCTAGTTTGTTCTATCAAAAATGCTTGCTTTTAAAATCAGTAAATAGAAATGCCAGATACCAGTTGTCTCTTGACTTAATTGTTGGATTCTTAATGCACTCATGGGATCTCTGATTACAACTAAGCTTGCTTAGACTTGAACATTCCACCTCCAATCTGCTGGCTAGTATAGATAGAGGCGTATTTTATAATACCTTAAACCCCCCAGTCTCTTAAACTGTCTGAAAATCCTTTCAATCACTGAAGTTCTGTTTGGTGGCATTACTAGACCACCAATCTAAAAACAGATATTCTATACAGCCTTAAGCAGAATGTACAATACTTCATAGCTTTATGGTTCATACAATATACAAGTTGAAACTGTTAAATGCACAGCTATGGGCAGCGTACGGGCACAAATAATATCTGGACAACGGAATAAAAAAACTCAGAATATCAAAGAAAGAAACATAGTCACATAATTTTACAGTTGTTTGTAGAAGAAAAGAGTGAAATCTTCATTTTTAACCTATTCTATATCATAAGTGTGTCTCTTTACAGTCACAACCAGATGGTCAGCTAACGAATTTTAGATCAAAAGGAGCCCTGGGGTTTCAACATCCAGTGAGGTGAGTTAAATACCATCACTCGATTCAGGGAAGAAAACATGCTGAAAGAAAATATTTCTTCTAGGGAAAAGTATTACTTTGTCTCTGGAGTGTCTTTTTGTCACGGTGCATTTTAACAACTCACCAAAATTTGTTGATATTTATCTTCCCACAAGGAAAAATGCCCAGGCTGAACAGAACATGAAAGAATACTCCAGTAATGAAAATGAGAAAAAAGTCACCTTATAAAAACATCTAACTTAATCTAATTTGTATCTCCATATAATATATAATAACATAATAATAATATATAATATCTTACATGTTATTCCAAATTTACAAATGCCAGATAGTGAACATGAACAGATACTAATGCCGTGTGATTTGTTACACATATTTGTCTTGAGTCTGCTGAAATTTGTTCTTTAATAAAAATTGAATTCCAGGTAATCTTTTCCTCTATTTCCTATTCTTGGAGGAATTACAAGTCTTTCCACTCCCATTTAAATTCTGTATGGTTTAGTGACACAGAAATTCCTGATGTGAACTTGTAATTACAAGAGGAAAATTAATGGAAAATCCCTCTTTATTACAAGCAAATTTTAAATTAGTTGAAAACTGGCATAAGTGGAATGAAGGAATAGATGTGTACACATATGCATGCAAACCTCATGAACATATGTAAAAAGACCAAACAAAATTTTGCTTTAGTGGAAAAACAGGTGAAAACCTGAAGTGTAAATTAATACTCATTCAAGATTTAAAAAAAAAAAAAAAAAAAAAGAAAAGTAATTCTGAAATAAATCTCTTCCAGCTGAAGACACTAAAAAAAAACTAAGATCAATCTCTGTGCAAGAGGCAACCCACCCCAATCTTAATGTGGTGTCTTAATCTTAATTCCAGAATCACATAACGTTCTTCAGCCTTCTTGCAGTCACACAGGACACGTCCATGTACTGTGCTAAGACAAAACAAAAAATCTCAAGCACACATCACTGCCCTGTCAACATTTTATCATGGAGGGACCTTAGATAAATATATTACAAAATATGAACAAAGCAACTGAGGTAATTTGAAGTTAATAGCACATTTTAGTCAGCAACTCTTATTTTAAAGGAGAAGGAGCCCCAGGATTTTTCTGCCTTCAGAGAAAGAAAAAAAATAGATTTTAATAGCCAAGCTAGGTAAGCTGTCTCATGATTTTAATTTTTCTCTTTCAATATGCTTTCTTATCAGACTTTATCTGCCTAAATCCAAATGCCAAAAGTTTCTTAATAACATTGGAGAGAAGGTTCTGGCTAACTTTCCAGTACAAGCGACAATTCACTTCTACAATGATGACACTGACTCTGAAGAAGATGAGGAAGAAACCAGTTCCGCCTAGCAACTAAAAATTACTAGCCTTTCCAAATTCATAATTAAAAAATTAAGAAAGGAATTAAAAGGAACTGTCAAGAATGTCTGTACAAACATCTGACTGAAGAAAGAAGCACATCAAAGCTCATATGAAGACTATTTATAGCTAACTAAATAAGAATGAGTCAATGCAACTGGAAACAGAGGAAATCCTTTTGTGTTTCAAAAGACTTTTAAATAAAACCCTGAAACTTTACTAAAAGATCATAATGTTCTCAATTGTGTTGGTTTAAACAACAGTTGGATTAAGAACATGAAGAACATTGCATTTAGTTACTTTCTTTTACATGCAGCATGAAAATAGGACTGGTTATAGGGCAAAATAATGTAATACAAAGCTCCAAAATAAACCAAAGGCTTTGAGCCGTGATGTTTCTAAGAATTTAAGTAAGAAGTGATTTCAAATGCAAAGAATATTTCATATCATTTCTGTGGAGCACATTTATTCTGATTTGAACGCTGTATGCCAGACTAACCTAATTCATTTCAACTTCCCTGTCAGGACAAGTTAAATATGACAGTCTTGTGATGTCTCCTGTTTTTCTCAGACTTTCCCACTCTAATAGAGAAGTCCTTTCTATCAGTCAGAAAAGTCAATTAATGGCACATTAAAACATGTGTTATGTATGGTTGTTTTGGTCTTATTTGTTACAACATTGAAAACATATTTTTACAGTCTATTGTGCTTGAGTCTACAATTCTGTTACAACTGACTTAGTGTAGATTCCTATCTGGTGTGTATCTCACCATTTTGATATTTCTTTTACACTGATATTCAGAAAAACTTAAATTACTAATTTTCAAAAGCATCATTGCTGTAATTAACAATGTCAATGTATCTATTCCTACACAGTTAAACCATTAGGAAAGAAGTAAGAGCTTGTTATAACCTGTTTTGTTTAAGCTTTTTTTTTTTTGCATAAATAGTATGTGTGCTCAGGGAGTCAGCCATTACTTGCGTTGCTATGCCAGGATTTTTTTACATAGCGCAAGGATAAGGAGTTTGGCCACAATATGCTTCAGAATTATCTCTAACTAAAACTGTGATACTTTTCCCAGAGAAAAGGCAAAAGCAGCATCCAAGGTTCTTGACAGCCTTGTGACACCACAAACTACTGTTGGTGGTGTAGATAAGGCCAGATGATTATAAGCTTGTCAGATATTCCTCTTCGTAGAATAAACTGTCAAACAAAGCTGGAGTATTATAAATTCCAAGTCTAGCAACGATTCCAAATGAGCCATCACATTAGAATGGAAGATCTTTTGCTTTTTCAGAAATTCCATTTACAAACTAGGGAGTGGATCTATTAATTAAATTTACACAGGGAAACAGTAACTTCTAATATACATAATTACAATAACTAGAGTAATTTGTAAATCCCAATATGACAAATGAAAATTCAGCTTTCTGACACTTCACTCATTCATCATCTCCAATATATTCCCTCCCCAGCAAATGGAATTGCCACATAGACATTCTAAAGGTCATAGTGATCATAAGATTATGTATGGTCCAGTTTCAACGTCGTAGGCTTGTAGCTCATTTAAGCAGAAGAACATCCAAGATCACTTAGCAGATCAGTTACAATGACATACTTCCAATGCTAGCCAAATTATATTATATATATATATAATATATATATATATTATATATATATTATATATATATATAATATATATATATATTATAATGTATAATATAATATATATATTATATATATTATTATATTATATATATTATATATATATATAATATATATTATACATTATATATATATATATTATACATATATATATATAATATATATTATACATTGACCCTCAACTTCTTCCTTGCCAGTTCTTATTCTCAGTTGGGTTCAGTCAGAACATCTGATGTTTCTGCCCTCACTTTCTGAGTCCTGAGCACTTTTCACCTTTTAAGACACTTCTGTGTGCATCCATGCTGTTGTTTTTCTCTCACACAAACCAATATTGCTAAAGTGCTCAGAACTCCACTGTTGTTTACTGGAATCTAGAGGGATGTGCTGAGTGTTCTATCTGCTTCCATTTTGAAAATGGTTCAGTAGCTAGGTAGTTATCTCACATCTCCACAATGAGCAGTGCTCCCTAACGAACACATTACACTGAAGAGCTATTTGCATTACACAGATGATGTCGCCAACTAAGGACTCATAATGTAAATTAACAATCTAACAGAAACATTCTTCTAACAGAAACATTCTTCAGGTTTCTTCCTTACTGATCCTTAACATTCTGTAAGGCCATACTGCCTGTTACTTTGCCCTACATAGTTTCTCTCTCTGCCCTGAAGAAGCCCAACAGTGGACCATATCCATCTGGCAAGATTAGTACATTCTTGGAGTCACAGTCATCCAGCAAGAGCAGGTGTTTAGATTGTTGCAGGATAGGAACAAGGATCTAATATCTGTAGGTCTCAAAGACATAAACAGAAGGCAGTCTCAGTTGTAAACAAGATTAGTCTTCCTACATTAAGAAGTTTTGAGTCAGAAACATTTGCATCAACAGGAGGGACTACATGCCCACACTGAAGTTATCATGTTTTCAAACAGACAGAGCTTTTGAAGATCTGTATGTGAAGCTGATATCCTATTCTCAGCATTAGCCTATCATCCTCAAGACACTCATTTCCTTTCTGTGGAACTCTGTGATCCTGCCCTGCACCCTCACCAGCTGGCAGCCAACCAGCTTACACTGGGCTGTACAAAAGCATCCTGGACAACAAACAAGCAGTATGCCAGAACATAATGATTTTTGGTTGGAGAAGATTTTGAGAAAATGAGAGCATTGTTTTCAATGTATTACTTTTCAGGAGTGTTGACACAGAACCTTTGACAAAGAAAAAAGATAACAAGAATGTGGACTACGCAAACAACAAAGCAGATCAGAACTTTTCAACCTGGGAGATGTGACTGAGTATACAAATCTAGTTCTGGCTACCTGAGAGGTTTGCAGATAGCAGAGAATGACTGACCATCAGATGAAAATAGTAAACAGTGAGTGTAAAAAGAGAGGATGTTAACTAAATTTGCTTTTGGTCTCACATGCAGCATTCTCAAATGGGCCACATCCTTGCCCATCTGATGTAGGTGTAGTTTCAGTGACACAAGCAACTGCTGTTGCAAATTCATACCTTTGAAACAAACAAAAAAATAACTGACAACTTTAAAGAAATGTGTTCCTCAGAAGAGTACAACAAACCTTGCTATTAGGAAAATGCAACTGGATGATAGATAACCATCTTACCAAAGGTAGTTGGAAATATGAAAATAAATCACCTTACACATATGCAGCAGTCTGACAGCATTATATCAGCAGGCACTGATTCAGTTTCTCAGTACCACTCTGATTACATCCCATTTGCTTTCCCTTTTATCATCAAATTCCACTTTCAAATTCAGGTAACACTACTATAATATTTTCATTACTAGTAATATTTAGCTACAGTTATTTGTGGAAGCCAAATTATATTATTCTTTTCCCCATCATGCCAGCAATTTATTTTTTTGTGTGTGTCAGATAACTCTTCATCTCTTCGTGTTACAATGTCAACATAAACTTATTTGCACACTTAAAATGTGCACTGTGATCTGTTACCTGTTTGGTAATGACTAAATAAGGACTAGAAGTGAATCAATTATAGCAACCCTGCTGCTCAACTGCAGTTAACTTCCAGTTTTCAGTTCTAGTTTGTTACCTCATCTGCAGTTTGACCTTGCGAAGTTTTCAGTGACCTTAGAATCATCCATCAGTTCCAGGAAAAAGATAACAAAGCATCCCCAGATAATGACTTTATCATGAGCGTACTACTTCAAAGACAAGGCTAGCCATCTACTACCTTACAGATTAATTTGTTGGCTCTGAATCTTTGTTTCACGGAACTTTCGACAGTAGTTCCACAACTGTAATGTTTCCAGCAAATGCTACCTTTTGACTTCCGCTGTTTGTTTAAAATTCGGAAAACTGGAAGTTGAATGCTGGACAGATATGTAGACAAGGTCTATGATTTTATTTCTACTGCATGCGTTCTTGAGGAAAGTCAAAAAAGGTGTATTCACCAAACAGTCTTGAATCCTACCTCCAAACTCTTTTAAGACAAACTTGTGAGGGATACACATGTCTAAGAGGAGTATATCTATTATATGATCTAATATTTTTTAAGAGTTATTTTTTTACACAGTAATAGCTATTTTTCTTTTCAGCCAAATTATCATGGAAGCTATTTTCTTTCTTTTTTTCCCTGAACTGTATTTGTGCTGAGAGAATAACATCATCAACAGCACTGAATTGCTACCTCTGAAATGAGGTAATCTTCACAACAGTTGTTTTTACGAGCTCTGGAGACAAAATCTGTCCCAAGCACTGGAACGCCTAACATTTAATGACACTCCACACAGTCATGATTTCTAAACTAGATCAGCTGCTTCTAAGTTCATAATTAAGTTCAGGCATCAAAACTGTGCAGAGTAGAAACAAAATCTACTTTGGTAATGTTTCTGCAAGGAAACTGTCTGAACAAGACGATCGTTTCCAAAACTACCTCCTCAGACTACAGTTCATTTCATGAATAGAGCGAGAAACACAAAAACAAAACAAAACAAAATAAAATTAAAACAACCATTGGATTTATTTTACAACTGACTGGAAATGTAACAGCACATCAGCAACCAGAACATTTCATTAAGTATTTTAGCTACTCAGACTCAAGCACCAAAGTAAAAGATGCATTATGGAACAAAGCGTGTTTATGTAGAAATTATTTATTTACTATTTTCTTTGTGAATCAGAAATACTTTATCATTTACATCCATAAAAGAAAGTGAAGCCCATATAAACTGCCTGGTAAAGAAAATATTTAGAAGGATTTTTTTTTTTTTTTAAGTGTTTGAAAGGGCTTTTTGACTAAATTGCTGAGCCTCTCACAGTATCTGTAGGTGGGAGCTTCAGCACGGATTTGACATACTGGAGAAACATTGCTCCGTACGAGGGCAAACATCTTGAAGTTTCTTACCAAACTGACTGATACATCAGGTGCAGCCAAGACAGTGGTTTGTTACACTTTTCTGGGCCAGAAAGGAGAAGCAGCGGAGAATAGGAAAAAAAGACAAATTCTGTTTAGGTCACCTTAATGTCACCTCCACCCTCCCATTTATCACAGGATGGTTTGTTCTACAGTCACGGTCGCTTCTCTTCTTGACGCTTGCCTCATTTAACTTACAGCAGCATCTTAAGGCCCACAATAAGGGAATGATAAAATGTACTACCTTACCCCACTCTCTTTCCTTGTGTACTTGCCTCCACTCATGAGATGGGATGTTTCTCTCTGTTTCCTTTTCTTATTTCAGTCACTCTATCTGTAGCAACAATAAACAAACAAAAAACCGTAACTGTGCTGTCTTTTCATATACTTTACTCTACATTTTTGTGCCTTTTCAAGGCTTTGTGCCTTCGAACTTCATAACTGAGCATTTTCCTCTTCCATTACTGCTGACTAAGATAAAGTGGAAAAATACTTCTGAAATGTGTTAAATGAAATGTGTTAAAAAAAATTCTGTGGCTACACAGAGAGTTTAGCTCTGCCACTTCGTATGCATATATTAAGTATTCAGTATTCAGTACAGTGCAATGCAATAAATGACCAAAATCCAAGATAAACGCATGGAAATTATTGAAAAAAAAAGGCTGTTCCCAATATTATTCAACGTTTTTCAACTTCAACACCATAAATGTTATGAGTGTTGTTACTACCCTTCCCTCTACAGCTTTATCATCATTACACAAGTCTGGCAACCACAGCACTATTATTTTCTTTGGCTTTCAATCTTTCTGAGTTTGAAGCAGTCAACCTTTGTGATTTTTTTTATTACATATTTACATATACGTACATTCTGGTACCATCTGAGGGGTACCTGTCTTATGAAATGAAGGTTATACAAGATGTGTAAATTCTCATCAGTCTCCAACACAATAAAAAAAGTAGAAAAAAAATGAGAAGTTGCATCTTTCTTTCTTTTTTTCTTTTCTTTTTTTTTTTGGTCAGAAAGGATAGAGCAATTGATTTGACTTGAAACATTACTACCGGTTGTGCTAGAAAAAGACGCCATCAAAAGTCATAAGGGTGAAAGAGGGGGCAAGTTTAGCTCTTGCTTTTATTTATTTAGGTTTAGTGTCAGTCTGAGAAGAATGGATACCCGATATCCAAAGTCTTTAGAGATGTATGTTTTGTAAAGAAAGGCACTATTACCAACACATTTCAATCATTTCAGATCTTCTTTGAACACTAAAACTTGAGGCAAATCCATAAAATCCCTCTAAATAACTGTAGCTGAAGTGTACTGTGCACTTACAAAAGCTGGAACTTCTCTTCCTTTTTCTGATGGAGTTGTATCTTTCACTTAATTGCAGCCATAGGCAGATGATGAAATGATGAATCCGATTCAAAACAGGCATATCCCTCAGGAAAATGCATTTATTATCCTCTACATACACTGTGTAACCTAGTTTTATTTTGATCACAGAGGCAATTTTTGAAGAGTCAACTATGATTCGTAAGTTGAAGAAAAGGTCACTACAGTGCCTTTGAAGCACTGCTACACGGGAATGACAGAAAAGCAAAGATTGAGTTTCATGCCTGCAAGTTTTACTTAAACAAATGGCCCCAGTTTGCCTACACACTTAGGTGCCTCTGTTAGTTTTCCCATAATTGTGAGGTCAGCAGTTAAATGAAATGGCAGATTCATCACTGATACAATCTTTGTCCAAGGTTTACAGTCCGTTCATTTGTGTGCTTTCAGGGCTTGGGGACATTTTCCAGTAGCTTTTCTTTATCCTGAAGGGATTTGAGAATTCTTAACAGGGGACTAAATTAATCCGTACATTAAATGGTAACAGAAATGTGGCCTTCACTAGTTGTCAATTTAGAATTAAAAACGAAATTGCTTTCTCAAGAAGCAATAGGAACATGGGACACAGAAATTCCACAGGAAAAAAAAAAAGATTACAGTCAATAATTCAGTGTCTACAACATGAATGGAGAATTGACAGAAGAGTAAATACATCTTCATGTCTGCTGATCATAAAACCTTGAATTCATCTTATAGGTGGCTATTTCAGCATGTGAATTAAAATTAATTGAAGGGCAAAAATGGGGATGGGGAAATAATAGTAACTGAGAGCAATCTGAAGAACAGAGCAACATCAAGAAGCCTACAACTCTTAAGCAAATAAACATTTTACTAATTAGCAGTCATGAAGATTAGGTATAAACAGTCATCATTATGAAATGCTCCCAAACAACTATATATCTAAAATCTGCTATTTCAGAGTGAAAAGTCAAGATGCATTTTCTTCCTTAACTAAGAAGGTATATTTTCTCATATCCACAATGCTTTCTTTTTCCTTCAAACACAGGCGGAAAGAGTAGCAAATTACTAAAGACTTAGTTACTAGCAGACCAAGAAACTACAAATTTCATATTCATACCAAATTAATTGATTGTTATCAGATCTTAAATCTTCTCACAGGAAGTGATGGTTATTTTGGCTGATTTCTGAAGAACTGGAATGTCTTTCTTTACACACACATTTTCAAAAATTCCTTACTCTCTTTTATTGAAATAGAGAGACTTTAATATTAAATTATTTTTTACTTAGAAGTTGTTCTATAAACTTGTAAAATGATGAGGATCTAATGACTGATCTTTATAACCAAAGCAAATGATATTGACTACTTAGGACAGATCTATTGAAAGTTTGCAACAAGGTTTCTGTCTCTCGAAAGAGAACAAATAAAAATTACTTCTCAGTAACACATACATGAAAGAAGATTTAATTCCATAAAATCCAGACCATTGCCTAAGTTACTGCGTTTTGTGCTAAAATCCAGATTACTAAAAGGTGGGCTTGTGGGTTCTTGAACCTAGATTTCAGTATGGTCAAAAGTCATTTCAAGGCTTGTTTCTGAAAACCTTTGCAAAAAGCTTCCCTTATTCCTGGTAATGTTGTCTACCCAAACTTCAGTAAAGTTTCTGACATTGTCTCTCCCAGCTTTCTCCTGGAGAAATTGGCTGCTCATGGATTGGGTAGGAATATACATTCCTGGGTAAAAAATGGGGTGGCTGGCCAGGCCCAAGGAGTTGTGGTGAATGGAGTTAAATTCAGCCACAAGTGGTAACCCTCAGGGCTTAGCGTTGGGGCCCGTTCTCTTTAATATCTTGATCAATAATCTGGACAAGGAGTTTGACTGCACCCTCAATAAGTTTGCAGATCACACCAAGTTAGGTGGGAGAGTTGATCTGCTTGAGGGTAGGAAGAGGAATCCGGATAGCCACAACCAATGGGATGAGACCAACAGTATGAGGTTCAACAAGGCTAAGTACAGAGTCCTATACTTGGGTCACAACAACCCCAAGCAACACAACCATGGCTGGAAAATTGCCTAGTGAAAAAGGACAAGATGTGCTGGTCAACAGCCAGCTGAACTTCAGCCAGCAGCATGCCCAAGTGGCCAAGAAGGCCAATGGCAACCTGGCTTGTATCAGAAAAAGCAAGGCCAGCAGGACTAGGGAAATGTTTGCACCCACGTACTCAGCTCTGATGAGGCCATACTTTGACTACTGTGTTCAGTTTTGAGCCCCTCACCACAAGATGTTGAGTTGATGAAGTGTGTCCAGAGAAGGGCAACAAGCTGGTACAAGGTCTACAGTACAAGTCTCATGAGGAATGACTAAGGGAAACAGGCTTATTTAGCCTAAAGAAAAGGAGGTTCAAGGGAGACATCATTAATCTCTACGACTACGTCAAAGGAGTTTTTAGTAAGGCAAAGATCAGTCTCTACTCCCTGGCAGCAAGCAACAGCACAAGAGGAAATGGCCTCAAGTTGCGCTAAGGAAGGTTTAAGTTGGATATTAGGAGAAATTTCCTTACATAAGGGGCTTTGAACCACTTAAACAGGCCACCCAGGGAAATAGCTGAATCACCACCCCTAGAGGAATTCAAAGATGTGCAGATGTAGTGGTACACTCAGCTTGGTTAACTTAACCTTTGAGGTCTTTTCCAGCTTAAATGGATTCCATGACTCTATAATGTGATGAGTAAATAATTATGTAAAGAAAAACCAAACACTATACACACGCTGTACCCAGAACAAATCTTACTGAACCACAGGAACACTGCTAACCTTAACAACATTTACAGTTTATTAATATTTACAAATTAAAACTGTACATTTACAATGTAAACACTTTAACTTACATTAAAAAAAAAAGCCTCAAGCATTTGACAAACAAAACACATTTGCTTTCCTTGAACTCAATGAAAAACAGAACTAAGCCAGGTCCAAACATTTATTTTACACTGAGTGGGAAATTTTAAGCAGTAACCTACAATTATTATAAAGTAATTTTAAAATCAACAAAATGGTTAAATTAATTAATGTGCCATAATTCTCATATTAATGCAGGTTACCAAGCCACATCAGTGAAATGTACATAAATTTTGTTAGAAACACACACAAAAAATGCTGTATTATACCATGAGAAGAAGGTGTCTTTCAGCAACGAGATGTTATGTAACGTTCCTCATAATCCTATATTCAGACAGGTCTTAGTAACTACTATCTGTTATTGAAAATTCCTTTTTCAGGTAGGAAAAACATTCTGTTTACTTCACTGATGGGAATATCCCTCAATGCTGGAATTGCTTCTTCTTGAAATTTCTTCTGTTGTTGCTTCTTAGCATAGTTATCTACAGGAAATAATGAAAACATTCCACATATTGAAGATATTTTTTTTCCTGCTTTCAATAAATGTTACATAATGCAATGTAGCTATACAAATACTACAAATTTAGCTACTAAATGATGCTGAAAACCCCATCTTGCTGAGGTATAAGACGGTAAATCAGAAACACCTCACATCGACATACGTTAACAGAGGCCCTGAAGAAATCAACCCTGCTCTCCTGCTGGAACATCCATCAGGGACTGTACTTTGTTTAAGATGCTGTAGATGACATCAAATCATAACCAGACACAGATAAAAAGAGTAAACAAACCCTGCAGTGAGTAGCTCACTCCGTAGCATGAGTATTTTATTTTAGATTTCTATTAAGATGCTGGCTACCCTTCCTTTATCTTAGCTTCTTGTTCCCACCACCATACAGCTCCTGCTCCTATAACAGCATAAACATGTTCACAGGTACACACTGAACAAAAATCACTCAACATTTCCCTTGGAGAAAACAAAGATGAGAGCAGTTATTTTCCAAACAGAGCAAGACCCACATCCCACCTGCCATACAAACTCTTGGGTTGCCACTAAGTCAGAGGATGACATGAGAGATATGTACATGCCTGGATACATTCTAAGACCTGTTTCTCTAACGTTGTCTGCTTTACTAATATGGTACACTTTACCACTTGGAAATTACTGCCATAAGGTAACAAAGAAGCAAAAGTCAGGCTTGTGGGAGATCTTTTCACCCTGGTCCTTACGTATTTCCATGAACTTTTTCTCCATGTTAAAATATTTGAAAGCTTAAAATTTGAATTATATTATTTATGCCTACATACGTATATTTACAGAAATTATCAGTTAAATATAAAAATCTTAGAATAAACAAGAAATCCCATACAAAAAAGATTACCTGTAATAGTGTGCGTGGAGTTAAGTGGAGCTGTACTCATCATGTTAATGCCAAAAAGTAATACATAACCAATTCCCACAACAACTAATAAATATGCTGGCAAAGCAACTGCCCAGTACCTGAGGAAAAAGATTTTAAAGTTTATGTACTTTCTAGTAACAAATATATAATGATGTAACAGTTTTAATGTAGTGGCTATCTTATCTAACTTTACCAATGGGCAAAGAAACAACACTTCTGGGTATGGATCATGGCTTCCCCCAAGAAGATACCTGACTACAGAATCAGTGTAACCACTTTGGTATAAACCACCAAACAGATTCATTTACAGAAAGTTTTTATTTTTTATATTTACAGTTTAAAGTCTACTGTATGTTATTCGACAAACTCTCTGAAAACAAAAATTCAAACTTATCATAAAACATCAAAATACTACCATCCCTCCCAAGACACAACAAGAAATTTTTATCTTAAATGCTTATCCACATAAAATAATGTTTCACAAACATTGCAGTCCTTTAGAATCAGAAAAAACCCATACATATTTTAAAAACAGTTTCACAATTTCTTACCTGGAAATCATTACACATACCCAGGCTTAACAGTTTGAGGTTGAACTTAAGAAATAAGCTTGAACTTACTTTTGAGGCCAGTATGTTAGTCCCAATGAGAAGAGCCAAGTCTCAGGAACATATGCCCAGATAAGATACAGCACTGCACAGAAGAATGAAGAGTGAAAACAGTTCAAACAATACCATTTTAGACCTCCTTCTTAAGATTTTAGAGCAATACTCTCATACTGGGACATACTGAAACTACTTTGCTTTAGACAATTTAAACAAAAATAGCTCTACTAAAATATGGCAAAATACCATCTCAGAAAAATCTTGTACAATACAGGGATAACATTTTATAGCCACTTATACAATAACACTTTTGTATTTGCTTTAACACTGGGTAAAAACACAGAACATCCTGAGTTGAAAAGGACCCTCAACTATCGTCAGTTTCTGAAAGTACTGTCCAAATTTGCTTCTCGAATACTGGAAATACTTCCTGACTCCTTGTAAGATAAAAACCAATTTCACAATGCTGAGAGATTTTACTTCCCAAATCCAGTGAACAAATCCAGTGAAATTCAGCAAAACTTGATGAAAATAGGTTAGCAGCTAAGCAGTGACAGAAGCTACATTAATGCGGCAGCTTCCTGAGGAAGAATGGAAGCCAACTTACTTCTACTTCTCTCCTAAAGGTGCGAAAGGCTTACAAAAGACCAGCATCTCTAGCACGTAAGATATCTCCAGTGAAATGCTAAGGCAGCTGTCAAAACAGCAGCAAAATGCTTGTGTAACCCTGACCACTTTCCTACTGTTAACCAGATTGAACCTATTTCCTTTCTCCAGTGTTTAGGTGAGGAAGATTTTTGCATCTCCTACAAAGACAGCCTGAGAGCTGGGGCTGTTCAGCCTGGAGAAGGCTTTGGAGAGACTTAAGAGTGGCCTTTCAGTCTCAGATGGAGGCTGTAAGAAAGAAGGGGACAGATGCTTTAGCAGGGTCTGTTGCGATGGCACAGTGGGAAAAGGTTTCAAACTAAAAGAGACTTAGATTGGATATAAAGATTGGACGTTACAGTAAGGGTGGTGAGGCACTGGAGCAGGTTGCCCAGAGTGGTGGTGGATGCCCCATCCCTACAGACACTCAAGGTCAGGCTGGACAGGGGTCTGAGCACCTGATGGAGCTGTGGGTGTCCCTGTTCACTGCAAGGGGTTGGACTAGATGGCCTTTAAGGGTTCCTTCCAACTCAAACAAGTCTACGATTCCCCCTCCTCTCCACAATAGTTACCGTGCAGTGGCAATATATACGATTCAGATATAAGATTTACTAAAACTAGACCGCAGGGGAGTTTTAAACTAATTTGTATCTACGATAATATGAAAGACAGCATGAATTGTAAAAGAAAGACAAAACACATTAGAATCACAGAATGTACCATATCAACCCACAGGCCTGGGAAGTAACGCTGACTCCTCCTCTGCGGGCAGTTCAACACTAACATCACCCTTCTGAGACGGCCTTGTCGGAATTACATTTGTCCCATAAGCAAAGCAACAGATTTCAATACCCAGCATACTTACTAAAGCCAAACCAAGATCCTAAAAATAGAGCAAATCCGTATATTGCCCTTTCAGGCAGCGGGGCTGGAGAGTTCTCCACCATACTCACTGATCCTTCCCTCTAACTCAGGGAAGAAACCAACAACGGTAAGAAGAAATCAGAAGGCTCTCAGAGAGCAAGGACGGGAGATCAGGCAGCCCGAACCGCCCGCTCGGCTACCAGGCGACGACTCCAAGTACTGCTGCCATAGGATGGCGACTGCGAAGAGGACAACGCCACCACACACGCACACGGCTGGCAACACGTGACCGCAGTGTACAGCCTGAGCGACTGCTGTCATACAGACCCCCCCGCCCTACCTTCCCAAACCGGAAGGCGCGAGAGGATCGACGCCCGGCTTCACTCTTCACACTGGATATCGCGAGCCTACCAAGCCGCCTCCGCGCATGCGCAATCAGAGACGGCGCTGTTAGCGGGTGCATGCGCACTACTGGCCAGAGAGCGGCAGTTGGAGGTTTTACGGAGCTGCGAGCGCAGCACTGAGCTGAGTTGTGGAGGGCGGGCTGTTGATCGGTTGGTTCTGGTAAGGGCTGGTGAATGATTACAGCGGTAGGTGCGGCCCTTCCATTCACGCCACAGTCCTGTGCCTCCTTCCTTGCAGCGGGAGGGAAGGACTATCGCCATCTCTCCGCAGCCCCCGCCTGGCTGACGCCCGGGGTGGGGGCCGGCGCCTTGGGGCCGGGCTGCGACACGTCAGTGGGAGCTGCGGGGCTTCCGGGTGGCGGCTGTCAGAGGGGTTGCCGGGCGGCTGCGGGGCTCCGAGCTCGAGGTGTGCGGAAACAGCGCGGTGCCGCACCGCGGGGCTCCGGGGCAGGGCGGTACGAGGGGCTCGGGAACGGTGCAGCGAGTTAGAATTGAAAATAAACTGTCTGGAGGATGTGACGTGTGGAAATAAAGCAGATATTCCGTGAAACACTTGTAGGAATTTGGATAAGTTCTGTTTAACGCGGGTTGTTTGCCTCTTGGCTCCCTCCTCACGCTGTTTCTCTTAATCGTTTTCTTTCAGGATCTCGAGCCATGGGTGAGCCTTTGTCTGAATCTGAGTTTGCGGCCTTCGCTTTCAGTGCTGGTTATAAATCCTGCTGTGAATTGGTGAGTGGGTTTGGAAAGAGATCTTCCATTGGGATTTCATAGAATTGTAGAATGTCTTGGGTTTGAAGGGAGGCCAAATCCCACCCACCCCAGTCCCTGCCATGGGCAGGGCTGCCCCTCACCAGCTCAGGCTGCCTCCAGGGATGGGGCACCACAGCTTCTCTGGGCAGCTGTGCCAGCACCTCACTGCCTGCTGGGGAAAGAATTTCATCCTAACATCTAATCTAAATTTCTCCCCTGTAGTTCAAAGCTATTCCTCCTTGCCCTATCACTATCAGACCATGTAAAAAGTCAGTCTCCCTCCTGCTTATAAGCTGCCTTCAGTTAGATACTGGAAGGCTGCAATTAGGTTTCCCTCAAGCAAAAATTTCTTGTGCCACTCTCTGTATACTGCTCTCTTGCAGAAATAGTAAGGTAAATCTGAGTAGGGCACCAGAGACAGCATATCCTTTATCAGGCATTTATTGAATGCATATACAATTGTTGTAAACCCAGACAATGGTGGGTAGGTCATAATGACTGCTTAACAAATCCCTTGGTTGTGTATACAGGCCATGTATGGGATGACTTATCTAAGTGTCTCTTTAATCACAAAACATTCACAACTGTTCACAACAGTTAGTGTGAGTTCAAGGCTGAATTGACTGCATAGTGTTCGTCTATTCTCTGTTTTTATACATAGATATATATGTATATATATAGTTGTTTTTGCTCAATAGGGCCACTGCTTATTTAGTTATTTCTTTTATTTTTCAAACTGTAGCACTTTTCTCTTAGAATATTTCCACGTATGCTTTCCTTGACTCTTATTTCCCACTTCTTGCTATGCTTAAGGAATTTTCAGAATACTGAGGTAGTTAACCTTTTTTGCTGCTTTTGTTCATGGATTGTTTATCTGAAGTGTTGCCAGATACAAACTAGCTGGGTGACAATTGTTGGGGAGAAATAAAAAGTATGGATAAAGCAACTTTCCGATTTGTAAAGCTGTATCAGGTTTGGGACTTAAGAAGAGGTGTTGTGGCCCTGGAACAAGCTCACCAGGGATGGCACCAAGTCTGAGGGAGTTCAAGGAGCATCTGGACAAACTCTCAGACATAGGGGTTAAGTTTTGGGTGGTCCTCTGTGGAGCCTGGAGTTGGACTCTGTGATCTTTTATGGATCTCTTCTGACTCTTGATATTCTATGATTCTATGACCTGCACTAGGGACCATTAGTAGTAGTGTGTCTCATTTAAATTTGTTTATATCATCCAAGATATCTTCTCTGCTGTGGAGTGAATAAAATTGGGTTAGTAAAATATTCTAAATGCTCTTTAAAGGGATGTATGTGCTATGCTGTTGAAAGCCCTTGATTCTGCGCAAATGCTGAATCTTGTTTCTGAAGTTTGCTTTAGTGGGAATGTCACCTTGGGCTTGATGTGTCCAGTACTAGGTTTTGGAGACATAGGGGTGAGGAGGATGAATTTGTTTGTTTTTAGTTTTGTAGCAGAATCCATCCTGTGGAGTGAATAAGACTTTCTCAGTCATCTTTAAGATGAATTGATTTTGAAATACCGGTTCATCTTTTTCTTCTCTGTGTTAGTGTCCTGGTCTGGTGAATATGTTGACACTGCAATAACTTTATTTTTGAGAGTAAGCCTTGATTTATGTGTAGTGCTGTAGCAGTTCAGGACTATTAATTTGGGCAAGACCATGTGATTCGTTGTCATCACCTCAGGTCAAATTAGTAAGTCGTCATTGCACAATATGTTAGTGTGTCTGTGAGATCTGCTGCTGAAACAATAAAGGGCTGTGAAAGGAACTTTCTGAATGACACGCTTCATGTTTATATATTTTTCTCCACTTGTATTCTGGGATAGGTATGTGTTTCTTTGAAATGATAACGTTGCTATGCAGAGGCATAATACATACAGTACGCATCAAATGGCACACACAGTGTTTATTAAAATAACAGATTTTGTAGGGTTTTGTAAAAGAGAAGAAAGTAACTTATTTTTCAGCTTGAGAGGCTTGTGTGGAGTACTCTGCTTTAAGCACATTAAAGTATGTTGTTTAAACTCTTAAAAAATTTTTGTCCATTCCTAATGATTAATCTGTGGGTATGCTTTTCAGTTCATGGCTATGTAGATACTCTTTATTTTCCTTAGGAGTGCAGTTGACTAGACTGTTGTGTTAGCTAACTAATAAAAATGCTTTTTTTTTGTTGTTCATCTTTGTTTGCTTACTGGCTTGCTTTCTGGCTTTGCTAAATGTGAATTATAAAGACTTGATACAAAAGGGTCTGTCAGAGGGATTTGTTAGTGCAAAATACTGCAGATCGTAAGTTTCCTTATTTTCTCCCAGAAAACAGATGACAGAATTCCAGAAATAGAGCAGATTAGGAACACAAGTATTGTTTTATTCTTTGTGAAATGGGATGGGGGGGGGGGGGGGGAAGGCGGGGGAAGTTCACCCATCTCCGATTGGACGTAGAAGACAGTGAGATGATGGTGAACGCTGAATGAGTTCTATGAAGATTTTATTACAAGCTTCTGTTCAGAATAAGTAGGTACAAAGAAATTGTTTTCTTGGCTGTGTTATCTACATTAGTATTTTAGTTAACAACTAACTAGAGTTAATAATGGCTAACTAAATTTTAGTTAGTTACTGATACTGATTGATTTAGTTGGCGTGTCTGCATTGGGATTTTAGTTTGACTCAGGATGCTTTTGAAGCAAATATCCCAGGTGTCCTTATGTTCTGTGCTTTGAGAAGAGGTATAGGAGTGTGCTAGTGGGGTTCACTGAGAGTGAGACTAATGTTTAAGATGCTTTTAGGACCGTAGCTAATGTGTTATCAGCCATGAACAGATGTGCTGACTGCGGGAATAGGCATGAAGAAGTGTGAACTATAACATCCCTTTGGAAAGTGTGTAATGTTAAAGTAGACTCCTCAGTACAAATGCTTTGCTTCATAGTTTTGTTTCCTTTTTGATCATGCTACTTATGAAGACATATAATCATAGAATCCTTAGCGTTGGAAGGGGCCTCTGAGGGCCTTCTAATCCAGCTCCCCTGCAGTGAACAGAGATGTGGCAGCTAGTTTAGGTTGCCAACATAACCACAGATCGTCATCTTTACTGATCCTATGTATCTGTGTTCTGAAAGCAAAAGTGTATTAAGAAAAGGAATTGGTGAGAGAGCTTAAAAATTGCTTCTATTCCTCTACTTCCTCTGATGTAAAGATTATATTCTGGTTTAATACTTCAAAACTCCTTAAGTAATGTATTTGCAAGATATGCAATGTTAAGAAATAACATGTTTATCTCTAGGGTCATGGAGTATTTGTACAACGTTCTCCACATAAACCTAAAACTGGTATGTAAACTAAACCAATATTATGTAACTTTCTTAAGCAGTGTCTGTGCTGTGCTTGCATCTTTCAATTGCTGTTTCACTTTTTTCCCCTCCAGTTGTCTGAGTAAGCTAAAATAATTTCTTCTCTGAGCAGAAGCATTGTTATATTTAATTAATGCTGAAGGAGTTCTCATCTTATTGTGCTGATGCAGTATACTACTGTGCATTTGTGAGAGCAGTGTGAGTAGAGAGTAACACTGACATATATTTAGGTGGTTAATGCTACAAGGATGGACAGGTAAGGTTGATACTTATTACCTGTGTTTTAATTGTAACTCTATCTTAGCTGTATAAATCTAAAGACACATTCAAATGGTTCTTAATAACTGCAAAACTCTTTACCTATAATCCTTAATTATTTTTTGGACAGCTGCAGAGAAGCAGATGGCTTTAGAGTACGCCAGATTATTAAATCTGGATTCACTACAGAAATGATAATGCTTAATATGTAGGATTTCAGGTTTAATCACCAATCTCACTATGTGAGATGAATTTTTGCATTTATTCAAACTCAGATAATACTGCTTCTGCTCTGGAATTACTTGATGCCACCTCAATAGTCCAATCAGGACCCTTGCCTTTTAAAGGCAGCCTCCAAGGGAAATGGGTTCTATTTTTTGGAAGAGCCAGATATCACATATGTAATGGACTCTAGAGAAAAAAGATTTTCTGATTATTTTTTTTTTTTCTTTTAGTGCTGAGTTGCTACATGCCACAATACATTAAATTTGTCATAGAAAATAACTAAACAGGTACAGCTAGAAGAGGCTTATGTTGTTCTTTGGAAACAGTATCTCTTCTAGCCATCAAGCAGCTCACTGCCCTTGTTAGGCTCCTTGTTAAAAGCAGGCAGCATTTATTCATTTATACATTTATGTTAATACAATTTAGAACATGTGATTCCTTGGGCATTGAATGTGAGGTCTGCCAGCACGTTCGTATTCTTATTTCTATATAAATTCCCTCCTTCAAGTTAGAAAAAAACCAAAAACCTCAATTTATCAGGTATATTGGAAGTTTCAATCTGGTTAAATAGCGCATAGGAGTGCATTATGGCAATAACTGGTGATTTTTTTGAATGTGTAGTTGGACTTTGATTACTTGTAACGCTTGAATTGTATAGTCTAGTTCTTACCTGTTTTCTTAAAGATGTTGACCCCTGTGAAGTGTGGTGCCGTCAGCCGGTTGACAAACTAAGAGAATATTGCAACGTTATTAAAATATGCATCTTTTGGCCTCTTCTCTTCCAAAGTGAAAGTAATTATTTGGTAGCTGACTGGGGGTAAGTTCTCACAATGAGTCATCAGCCTTTGCATTTCTTTTCATCATCTGTGAAGGATAACAGATGTGACAGTTGTGCTCTCAGTAGTGGTAAAACAATCTGTAGGAGTGTTTTTATGGTGAGCTATGTTACTTAAGATCAGAAGGCATTGTTCTTGAACATAAGATGAAATTAAGAAAGGGTTTCTGAAGTTTGGAATCTACATGGGTATTTATGTGCTTACACAGACATCTTATATTTGAGAAGTACCAAAATCTTTGTATCTTTTTGTTTTTCCCCTTCTGAAATGCTTGATTTGAGTTAGTAGCCACATTCTTGCTTAGATCTAATCACTGTAACTGTTAGTAGACAAGACTGTGTTACGCAGTGTTATTTTTCTAATTGATAACTTTTTTGCAGCAGTTTACAGATTTTAGACTGGAATTGGAAGAAACTCTGTGATTTAGAGCTTGTGGAAGACCTTGTTGATTTGACTAAAAAAGTGGTTGTAAGTATTATAACTTGAGGCTGCATTTTAATTTAGAAATTTCCTTTTACTGGAGTGAATAAATTGATAGTCAAGGTACAGGTTTTTAGAAACTTAATTTCAGATCATGGTTTTTCTTGCAGTTGGTACTTGCAGAGTCTTTTAATAGGTTTGACTGGGGCCCTTGTACATTGCTGAGAGAGTCACATTCATGGGAAAAACAAATGGCACCTTATCCTGATGAATAAGTTTTTTTTTATATACAGATATACAGATTTTTTTGTCAAACTGTTTTCTTGCTCAACAGATTATTTTTAAAATAGATGTTGTTGACTTCATTCACTGTTGATTTCGTGCATTGACAGTGACAGAGAATGACAAATGTTTGCAGCAGATAAAGGAAAGATAGTAGGTTTTTAGAATTTAAGTACGACATTTAAAAAAAAAATACTGATTTACTGAAGTTCTGTGTTGAACTCTGAGTGTACTTTTCTTCTACCTTACTGTTACATTATCAGGTACTCATCTGATGGATTCATACTTGCTTATGCTCTTTGTGCTGCTCCCCCCTTTCATGCTCTTTGAGTGCCCTATTTTCACCTTCTTGTACTTCAGGATGTCCCTGCAGTTATTCCACTTTGCCTCATGTGATGAGGTTTTGGTGCTGTTTCCCTTCATGGGAGCCTCTCACTCAGTGTTTATGAGAGGCTTTGTGTGTATTCCCACTCCCTTTGACCTATACTTTGCTTTTCTTAATTGTTCAGCCTCTATCTTCTTGTAAAAGACAGTATATCCAGTATCCAAATCTCAGGAGAGGAAGTGCTGCTGTTTTGGATATTTTTCACATGATGTGTCAGCTGGTACTTTGTGCAGATAACTACAGAAATGGCTAAAGCAGCTGGCTATCCTAACCAGACAGCATAGCATCTTCACTATTTATTTACCTTTCAACAACAGTACTTGGGGATTGGCTATTGAATACAAATATATTTCCTGAAACTTTGAAATGGATCAGAGCTGTTACCCAAGTGGCACTGCATTAACGAGGAACAGAAAATGTTCTTGAGTCAAACCTGAGCAGGCAACTAAAATTAACAGATGTTAACTTTTTCCTTTTGTTTAATCTATCTTCTAGAATGTTCCACATTTTATTGGGGGCATACTGAGAATTGGCAGCAGGCTAGAAAATGTAAGTTTCTTGAATTCTTGTTAATTGGAATGCTCTTTTATGCGTGAATATGAATGAAATATTTGTATGAATATACAAAATATTAAAATGATTACTTAAATATACAGACCTATATGTTGATGCATCCCAGTTGTTGTAACTCTAAGCCACAAAATAAAATGCGTGTGTGACAGTGTATAATCAATGAATACACAGATGTTGTAATTAAGAAATATTCAACAAACTTAAGCTAAACAGGTTATCATGCTAAAGAAAAATAGATGGAAAGCTTACCCTTGTCCTGGGCTCACTGAGAAGTCTCCAGGAGGAGCAATCTCCAGAAGAGATCCTTCCCCACTGGTATTCAGCTCTTAAGTGGGGTCTAGGAGAGGTGCAGCCAGGCTCCACCCCTTCTGGTAGCACAGGTGAAATGCCTTCAGCTGTGCTCCTGGAGCTGGCTCATGGCTCACCTCAGGCTGTGATTCAGCAGTTCTCATACAGACAGGAGCTGTGAGATAAATGCCATTCTGTGTAAGAAGATGATAATGGGTGGGAATTCTGGGGGTGGCTTATATGTCCTACTGCTGGTATGTTTGCTTGTCCTCTTTCTGTGCTGGTGTTTGTGTGTTACACTGAAAATCTTGGGATAGGACAGTGAGGGGAAAAAACCCCACTTCTCATATAATGACAAGGAATTGTTAGGAAACCTTTCATAGTGGGTGTATAACCAAGATGTTATAATCACAATATAATTGTGTATAATCAATAGATATCAAGATGTTATAATTGCAATATAATCAAGAGAGTAAGGCAAAGCAGACAACAATCACAAAAGAGAATAAGTGGAAGAGCTTACCCTTGGATTGAGCTCACTAGAAGATACCAAAAGAGGGGATCTCCAGAAAAGATCCTTCCCCTCTGGTAGCCAGCTCTTAAATAGGTCCAGGAGGGGTGCAGCCAGGCTCCACCCCTTCCGGCAGCACAGCTGAATTGCCTTCACCTGTGCTCCTCTGGCTGACTCATGGCTCACCTCAGGTGATTAATCAGAGGTTCAGGCTGTGACTCAGCAGTTCCCATACAGTGGGTTATTACAGATGATGAATGAAAACAAAGAAAAGTAAATGGAGAAACTCTTATGATAGTAGTAATACAATTAATATTGTGGTAAGTATGTTTCCTAGTCTCTGACCCTATCTGAGGTGTTATGCTTAGCATTTACAGCTCCTTGGGGACTTAAAGTCAATGGTTTCAGTTTAGTGTGGGGAGTGTAAGCATTGCTTCTCAGAGTTCTTTGCTGTGAAGAATACTGTTGATGTTCCTAATTGTAGAATTGCGTTTGTTTTTTGTTTGCTAATGCACTTTTGCACCTTGATTGTTATTGGTGTGCATGTTCAAGTTGCTTCTGATTATATTATACGTCCTGTGTTTTCTGTACATTACATACATTTTGCCCTAGTCTTGTCCTTTTCTATGTATTTGTTTCTTTTTGCTTGCTTTCTGTTTTTGAGTGTTCACCAGTTGCTTACTGCCATTGGGTCTTTGATGTCAGCTTGTGATATCTTTCCCATGCCTCTACTTTTCTCAACTATTTCATGTCTCCAGTTTTTGAGGCCTTTGTTCTGTTACATTTGTCTTTCATTTTTACATTTCTTAATATTGCATCATTATGTTAGCTCTATCAAGTCACTTATTGTTACTACTGTCTGTATATAAACTATTGTTGTACTGTGCCAAAGTGAACCAAGTGAACCATGGCCACCTGATCAAAAGAGATTTCTGTTAGAGATGAAATAAATTAAAACAGACAAGTAGTAAACCTGGCAAGTTGCAGTCCTGTGGCCTATTGTAAGCAATGGCAATGCTGTATGATGAGGCTTCAGGGCTATCGATAGGACTATGCTTGATTACTGAAATGGTAAAAACCTCAGAAACACTTTTTTGGAGGCAGATGGGAAGTATTCTAAGAGATTCTCATACAGTGGTACTGATTAAGACTGAAGGACTGTGAATGACTGACTAAGGTTGTGGTATAGGAGTGTGCTGATCCATCTTCATGATCAAATTCAGCATTTGATAGAACCGTACTTGTTAAGTTTTTCATTTTCTCTCTTTCTCTGGCTGTTCTTAGTTTCCCTATGCTTATCGCTTTTACTCTTCAGTTCCTAGTTTCTGCTGTCTTTTGTAGTTTAACTGAAAAAAAGAAAATTTCTGTATCAAATTTTGTGATTTGAATGGCTTCCCTGTATCCTGTTGAAAATATGTCTGTCTGCATTTTGTGAATATGCTTTATTATGCTGTGTTTAAGTTACCTGGATATTTATATTTGTGAACCTGTTTGAAAGGCTAACAACTTGGGATCAAGTTCCTCAAGCAAGGTGCTATAAAAAAAACTTTTTTTGTGTTTACACAGAATACTTTCACTATTGCCAGTGAATTATTTGTTTACCTGGTATGTTGTTTTTTATTTAGGACTCTGTATACAATTACTGTTTTGTTTGTTGTTTTTTTCCCTCTTTTCTTCAATTGCACTAGGGTTTCTTCGATGTTAGGGATGCACTTGATTGGATCAGATGTGCAGGTGATGTCAATATTCTGCAGAAGCTGGAGAAACTTGGTGATTTTGGTTGGCTCTATCTTGAAACTTTCTTTGGTGAATGTAAGTAACTCTTCTGAAGAAACAGTCATGTGGAAAGTTACCTGTATTCAAGTAATGGGATAGTAATGCTTATATTAGCTTGAAAGTGTCTGCAAGAGTGACTGGAATAAGTGTTCTTGTTTGTTTGTTTTGTTTATTTAAAGCAGTCAAATTTTGTTTGAGTTTCTGTATGTTCACAGTGCACATCTGAACACAGTGCTCTTTCTGAACAGGTGTTCAGAATGGTTCCTGAGTTTGCAGTCCTTTGTGAGCTAATTGTGTGCCTGTAGGCTCTCAATCTTTAGCACAGGGATGGAATGTGACTGTAATATTAATAGGGTTTTATTGTTAAAAGTTTGACAGAGGGTTTTGTCTGTATTAATTCAGATGTTGGGCATCTTTCAAAATTCAGCTTACGTAAGCTCATGGGAGATCCCATAGGCTGTTAACACTAGCGGTAGAACTTAAGTTGAAATGGCAGAAGATACCAAGCCTACTATTCTTCTTGCCTGTTGAGCAGCTTGTGTTCTGCTCTTAATTTTTGCGTATGTACATTCTAATTCAGCTATTACAGTAAGTAAGTGAGTGGTGGGAACTGGACTTACATGTAAGCAGAAAATCTTTTTATAGTTAAGTACCAGGGTATGAATTCTTTTTAACGGGAATCTTTAAAGTCCCAACTTCTTTCAAAATAAAACAAAATTTCAGTTGATTGCTTGAAAGAGGGCGAATCCTTAAAGGTTTTACTGCTTGCAACATTTTTTAGGCTTACCCAATAATAAGCGATACCTTAGTTTCAAACATTTGGCATGTCATTTGTTTCTATTATTTGTTTGGTATGTCAAGTTTTGCTTCCAACCATACAAGGGAGTACAAGGGAGCACAGTTCTTAGCAGAAAACAAACTCTGCTTTTTGTCCAGATTAGTTTTTCATTCATTGCGGTTTTTTTTTGTTTGTTTGTTTTTGTCTACAGGCAAACATTATATTACTAAAGTTGCTTTGGAAGATTGTAATTTAGTTGAAGAATTTAAAGCTGTCACCTGTGAAAACTGTAGGAAGGTAAGAGACTCTATCAGCGTGTTTGTCACTTTCATGTGTTGTGGGTTTTTTTGGCCATAAAAAAAAGTAGCCAAATGATCAAAGACTCAAGTTTCGAAAGCTTAAACGAGTAATTATCTAGGCATAAATTATTTTCTTGTGAGATCCTGACTTAATAAACAGAACGTTGGTTGTTTACGCTGCCATTGTACATTGGAGCTATTGGAGCACTGGAGTCTATTGCCAGCTGTTTTCTTTACTTCACATTGCAACTGAGTTTAATTACAGTGGCTTCTGAATTGTTTTTTAATTTCACAGAAGAGTGAATCTATGAAACAGAAAGGAAATGAGGAGTTCTCCCAAGGAAAATTTGATCATGCTATAATATCGTATACGAAAGCCATAGAGTTTTGGTAAGAGCTCAACTGGTTAACTAGATTGTGTTGTGTCATATTCTCTCAGCTTATTGGGATTTATTAAGATTTTGTTTAGTTTTGCATGAGCCACTCTAGAAATCAAATGATGTCTAACTAAAAAAAAAGTGTTACGCAACTTTTCCTGTTTCTTCTTGCTAGTGGTTGTTTGCACTTTTTCTTTCCAAGAGTTTCCATTATGTTTAGATGACTAAATAATGAGTAGAGTAAATCTGAATTCCATAAAAATTTGATATATTTTTTTTAATTTTGTCCATAGTGTTATAAGTGTGTGGTTGATAGGATTAGCATTTTGCTGTTGTCTTTGTTCAGATTTTATCGCATAGTACATAGTGTCACATCGCAACCCAAATTCAAACTGATTTCAACCTTCCTGGACTTTATTTTCTTTCTCCTTCTTCTCTTACTGAGCTGATTTTCATCTGCTTCATCATCACACTTCTTCCCCAGCTAGCTGCATCCTTTTGCTTTGTTTCAAGTGCTTGCTGGATTACATATGCGAGTTTCCCCCTCCCACCCACTCTTCTGTAGGTACTTTGGGAGCAGTGCTTTAATTCTTTGGAACTGCTCTTTGATTGGCCCAGTCAGACATACGGTTATGAAACAAAGTTCTGGAAGCAGTGATCCAAAAGTGTTTGTGGAATGTTTGACTTAATTGGAGATTAAGGATTGCAGAGCAAAACAAACTGGGATGTATGTGACAGTCAAGCTAGCTTTTCCATGACTCCACCAATTTCTTTTTTTTGTTTTTCCCCAAGCAAAGCTGAGATGGGAGGGAGTGTACTAGCTGTGTCTTAGGATGGCTTGAGTTGTCTTTTGATGTATCTGTCACAGCAAAGAATTGGGGGCAGAATCTAAATCTATCTTTTATTCTTTTCACCTCACTAATCGTACAAATTGCTACATAATTAAAATAGTAATGTTAATTACTTGTAAATTGCTGAGACTATTGAAGGAAACTTGTATGTAATTTTTTGCAGTGTTTATGCTATGGTGTTTGCAGACAGTTACTGGGACAACTTTTCCTTAAAGTTTCCAAAAGTAATATATATTACAAACTTTTTGTTTTCTTTCTTAAGCCCTACAAACCATCTTCTGTATGGAAACCGAGCTCTTTGTTTAATTCTCACGAAGCAGTATAAGTAAGTAACCCTTGTTTATAATCTGAAATCTCTTGTAAGTGCAAATTAACATTGGACAAAGAAAGTACTTAAAAAACTGAAGTGTATATATAGTAATTGTGATGTCTCTACCTCAGGAAACTGATATTAAGAGAAAAGAGTAATGTCAGTTGTATTCACTGGTAATATCTAATGCTATTTAAAGTTTGGAACAGTGGGGAGGTTATATGAATGGGGGGGAAAAAAACCCTTAGTACCAGTGAAGGCTGTGATTTATGAAACGTTTTAGAGAAGAGTGTATTTCTGGGATTATCGTTCATGAAGCCAGTTGTTAAGCTAAAAATCTTGTTTGTGACCAAGGTGGATGTATATATATTTTTTTAAATATAAAGGTTTTGTTGTAGTAAAACTGAAATCACAAGGGTCTGATTATTATTAATCCTGACCTAATTGTTGCAAGAAAAAGAAATAACAATGGATGTAAAAATTGACATCCATACAGTTCATAGTTTCTGCCTATTTTCCTGGTGCTGTGCTAAACTCTCTGCACATAACATTTGATTTTTTTACTATACATGGTACTTCTAGTGGATATTAGGTACTTTCTATTCGTTATTCTTGAAGTCCTATTTGTCTGCGTCTGGCATGTCTTTAACTGAACGTTGGTGAGTAGCTAATGGCAATGAGGTCTCCAGGCCAAACCACTGGCTTTATTTGTTTCTGTTTAACTTGAAGTAGTCTTCTCAGATAATCTCAGTCATCTTCCTGGAGCGTTCCCAGTTATGTCTATTCTCTCTGCCTTTTTGCAGGTGAACTGTTCTTTTATTTATCTTAAATTTTTATAGTGCTGTGTACATTGAAGTCCTGGTCTGTAGATTTTCCTGAAGTCTGAATAATAAATCTCTATTCTTTTTGCTTCCTTTTCTCTAAGGAAAGCCCTTGCTGATGGAAAAAGGGCCACTATTTTGAAGCCTAATTGGCCAAAGGTTAGTTTCATATGTGTTTCAAAATTGTCTTTTGCTAGTATTGTAAACCAAACATAGGATCCCAGAGTCTGAATTACAGATACGAACACTTCCTATCTACCTGCGTGATATTTGCATTTAGCTTTGCTGACAGTAGAATGAATAGAGTGGGAATTTTGCATCATTCAGGCAAGCACGTAGCTTTCTTGCATATTTATGTTAAAAATGTTGTTTTGGTACACTTACTTACATGATGTTCTGCATGTGTAAAGAAAAAAAACACTTATTTCTTCACAACGCATTGCTATGTTATCAGTGCTTTAAAAAGAGTACATGTCATCCATAGAGTAATGAAAACCCTGTTTAATGGGCAAAATGTATTTCCTTGTATTCTTGGACTAAAAAAGATTAAAGAAGGGATAGTTACAGAATTGCAAATCAGTAGTTGAAGTTGGAAGGAAAAAACAAAATTGCTGTTGTCTGAAGCCAGAGGGTAGATACTCCTCCTGATGGATTATTGGTCATTCAGGGGTGCAGTAGATTTTTTTTTTTTAGTGTGTGCAGTATTTTTACTTTGTACTGTCCAGTGTGCTTCAACTGTTTGAAATATAAAGTATATCCTTATTTGAATGAACACTTAAACTGATATCCACACAGGGTCATTATCACTTCTGTAAGGCACTGTCATTACTGGGGGAACATGAACTGGCTTTAGAAGCTAATGAGAGAGCTCAGGAACTGTGCAAGAATATTCTTGATGGACTTAAGGATCTTATTCAACAAAATGACAAGTTAAAGAAGACATTAGAAGAAATCAAAGGTAACCTTTTCTGATTTCAAGATTTGCCTTGAAAAGAAGAAATCTCATTTATTGGTAGCTTTCCTTTGAAAACAGCTAATTTTTTTTTTCCTTCCTATAAAACTTTCTGTAGGTACTAAAGAATATAAGCAGAAACCAAAGGATTTTCTTGAGAAAAAGTAAGCAACTGCTAAATTCGTTATTTTTTTTTCTAATTAACAATGTTTAGTATAATATTTAGGTAATATGTCATAGATGTTTACTAATATATTACAGTTTAAGGAAAAAAATGAAAGAAATAAGACTTATCAGAACTGCAGCCAGAATGTGGCCTAGTAGTAAAGAGGACTTCTAGGTTCCTAAATAAGCTATCTTCTAATGTTTTCTACTGCCAAGTAGTCTCCTTCAGTATATGAAATTCTAGTCATGTTGGAAATAACAGGAAACAGTTACAGTTGTGTATCTTTTGTCCATGCTGTTTCACATACACTGTTGAAAATGTTTCTGTAATCACGTCTCTGTTTTGTGTTGACTTCATTGTATAATTTTCATGAGGAGATTAAACTGATTCAAATCCTTGTTAGGAGAGGAACTGAATGCTAGCAAATGCACTGTGGCAATGGTAAAAAACAAACAAACAAACAAACAAAAAAACGTGAATCTTAATTAATAGGAACTTGGTTTTGTCATTTCTGTTTTAAACTCTCCAGGGAAAGCAAAAGAGTTAAAAGGGGTTCCATATTTGTACATTCAGCTGTGTTACAGCATAATCCTTAACTCTTGCATTAAATGCCTATGAAAGACTGTTGATTTCTGCTGATCTACTTTTGGTGATGCAGAAAATTGTGTGTTTTTTTTTTTCTTGTGTCACTTTTTTTTTTGTTAGAGATCTTTGCTTAAGCTAATACTGTGTACCTTGAAGGCTTAAAAAAAATACGTTTGATCAAATGCTTTAAGTATGTTTGTGGCATGAGAGCTTCTGTGAGGGTAGGCTTTTATTTATTTTATTCACGGCAAATATATGTGATATATCTTAAACATTAATATTGGAAAAATTAGGATTTTCTCTCTTTACTTTTCAGGGACAGCAGTTCTTCAGGATCTCATTTGATCATTTCTCAAGAGCACAAAGAAATAGAGAAGGACAGAAAAGAAATGCAGTTCGATCATGAAGGTGACCATTATCATCAAAAACATGATACCACCGTAAGATATACTACAGATGGAATTCCAAGACTATCAGTATGTTAATTTTCTCCATTCTGGAATATGCCATTTAATGTGTGGCTGAAATTTTCCTCCAATAGTATATTAATAATTGTTTACTTTCTCAGCTGAGTGCAAGAGGAGTGCCCTTAGATTGAGAGTGCTCTGAATTCAAGAGGATTCTGTTAGTGCCTCATGGTGTAATAGAGTTCAGTAGAAGATGCTTTTGCAAAACTTAAATCATAGACAGGGTTCTTCCTAAAGGGGAACATTTTGTACTGATGTTGCAATGCTAAGGTATTTGCAGAGTTACAGACAACTGTTTTGTTGTTCTGTGAAGCAATTCTTTCTCTCCAGAAAACAGTGTTGTTTCAATAGTACTCCTAGAAGGCTCTCGGGAGACCTCATTGTGGCCTTCCAATACTTGAAGGGAGCCTATAAACAGCTGTTCCCCCTCCTGTTTACAAGGGTGGATAGTGATAGGATGAGGGGAGATGGTTTTAAACTGAGACGGGGAGGTTTAGGTTAGGTATTAGGAGGAAGTTTTTCACACAGAGGGTGGTGAGGCACTGGAACAGGTTGCCCAAGGAGGCTGTGGATGCCCCATCCCTGGAGGTATTCAAGGCCAGGCTGGATGTGGCTCTGGGCAGCCTGGTCTGGTGGTTGGTGACCCTGCATACAGCAGGAGGTTGAAACAGATGATCATTGTGGTCCTTTTAACCTAGACTGTTCTATGATTCTGTGATTTATATTTAAAACTAGGATTTTGTGGTTCTCAGTCATGTGTTCTGGCTTGTGTGTTTGAAACAAGCGTAATATACTGTCAGAACTCAGAGTCATAGATGGCCCAAATTGGAAGGGACCCATAAGGATCATTGGGTCCAAGTTAATTCTTAAAATTTAAATAACTGTTTACAAGCAGAATTGTTCTACTAGATTATTTTTACTAACTTTTTGGTAAGGAAGACACAAAAGATAAAATGAGACTTAAACTTTGTTCTCTGATCAGGGTTGAGTTTTGTTCAGGATACAAACAAGAATACTCAGTAGAGAAGGGTGGCCAAAGGAATCTACTGACAAAAGCCTGTAACTCTGCCTTTTAGGATATTACTTTACTGTTAAAGTGCAAAAGTTTTCTGTGTTGTTGTGGATTAAACTCAGCAAATAACCTTCTCAGTTTTTATAGGAGGGTGGGACAGTGAGTGCAGATGACGTGACAGTTAGGAAACTGAAACTAAGGTACAAAGGCAAAGGGAAGGAAATGTAAGTTGGAATAACTTGCTGGAAAGGACAGTGAGCTCCAGAACGTACAAGAAGTGCTTAAAGTTCTTGACTATCTTCTGAGAGCTTGAATCTGCCTTTGTGCATGCGAATCTTCATAATGTAGGTCTGTATGAATTTATCTTTAGGAATGTTACTTCAAAAAAGCTGGCATTTTTAGGTAATGTGAATTGTTATGAAACTAGAGAAAAGTGTGAGTATGGTTTGATTAATTGAAATTTTCTTAGGGGATGTAGTATATGATATAATTGTGATTTCATTGTTGAAATTGTAATTTGTAATGTAATTGTAATTTCCACATAGTACTGAAATGAGGAAATCAGTTTTTAGATTTAAAGATTGTTTCTGTTAATATGCAGTGAGATGACTATGAAGCTTGAGTAATTATTATTTTCTCTGTGAAACCAAACTACTGTATTTGGCATTAGGTGACCAACATGCCCAGGACAGAAAACAAAGTGTGTTCTCTGGACTTTCCACCAAGTGAGTTTGTTTTATCGTTTATCAAGTCTGGGTCAGTTCTTCCTTCACTGCTGTTGTTATTAATAAGCACGTTTATATAGTGCCATTTTCACAACAATAAGCTATTGTGTTGGTTTTATTTTCCTGTTAGGTGCATTTACTTAGTTACTCCTATTTCTGTGTCTTACTTCCTTTCCTCTTTTGTGGTTTCAGTCTGATTTATACAGATGATCTGGGAATTTAAGTGAAACTGAAAAGTAAAATGCTGAGTCAGAGGCTGGAAATAACTTTCCTTGTTTTAAGATTGTTTTTGGATCTAAAAGGAATTAAAATTAAGAGAAAGATGTGTTATTGTTTTAGTATTCATAATTTGTTTATGATTACTAAAAGCTCCATATCGTCTTCAAGAAAATAATCTTGCAGTTAGAGAGACAGGATATTACAAACTATTTGACAGAATGTTTTTCTATGAGCTTCAAGAGGAGGAAGCTGGTATGTTTTATTGTTCATGTGTTTCTTTAAATTAAAAGAACACTTTTGTAGAAGGACATCCTAACCCCAAATATACCACAGTCCTGGAATTACCTTCCCGTGGTGAGCGTGTTTGTTTTAAGCAGGAGCAGCTCTCATCTTCAAAGTGAATTCTCCTGAGCTTTGCCTGCTTTTATCATCTGGTGAACCTATTTGAATTGAAAATGCCTAAGAGACTTGTCTGACATCCAGAAATTATTGTTAGTTATAAGGTTTATGTAGAATATTTTTTGTCTTACTGGACCCAGGTGCGTGTCTGTGTTGTATTCTCTCCACTGACCTCTGTTGCAGTGGGTCCTTCTATAGTTCTGACCAGGGAGAAGTCTGAAGGTTGATGAAGTGCTCAGTTGTGCTCTTCTGTAGACCTCACATGCTTGAATACTTAGCTGAACAGATGCCAAAGTATGAAGCATCTCAAAAATTGATCTTAGGAAACCAATAAAGATATATTCCAAAATACTATTTAAAAACCAGTAGTAGGAAAATATAATCCTGATTTATAGACTTTGGATGTATGCAAATATCTTGAAGTACTAATTAATTTATAATGAAATAGAAAACGTGGAAAGATTTCAAAGAAAAAGTCAAGACTAATTTGTTGAAAGGTTGTTAAGTGGTTGTGTCAGGAAAGTGGATTTATTAGCTGGTGTGCAATGAGCCTATCCACACACGCTCAGGGGAGATGCTGCTTTTTTATTGGGGATTGGGCACTGCTGGAGGTTTTCACAAATCAAGCACTGCATTTATGAGTTGAATTCCCAAATACATATCTAATACAGAAGAAAAACCTACTACCTTCGTAAGGTTAAACAATCCATACTCTGTCTGTCATCTGTTGGCTACTTTCCTGGCTGTCTGTGCTTCTGTGGGGTTATTTTGTGGGTATTCAGCAATGTAAGAGGTCATGTAAGAGCAAGCTGAAAAGTTTTCCAATTCCCAATTCTCCAAGTGGAGCCAGTTGTCCTTGATTGATCAGATAACATTGCTGGCTAGGACATCTTGCTGTAGTAGAATCAGAAGATCCTCTGTTTGTGTTGATTAAGCACAGACAGTACCCCATTTTCTTAGAGAAGATTATGTCCATTACCTGTATTTTCTCATTTGAAAGTTTCTAAATATCTAACATAATGTGGGTGGCATTATTAAAGGAGAGAATAGCGTACATTCCCAAGATCTAAAGCACACAGATTTTATACATTGTAACAGATGAATATTCATACAGTTTCCATGAGGTGCCCACCTGTTCCTAGAATTGCTTTACATATTAAAATCTAAGGTGACAGGATGAGGAGAAATGGCCTCAAGTTGAGCCAGGATAAGTTTAGGTTGGATATCAGGAAAAACTTCTTTACAGAAGGGGTTGTAAAGCACTGGAATAGGCTCCCCAGGAAGGTGGTTGAGTCTCCATCCCTGGAATTGTTTAAAAACCATTTGGATGAGGTGCTCAGGAACATGATTTAGCGGAGGGCTGTTAGAGTTAGGGTAGGATGGTTAGGTCGTGGTTGGACTCGGTGATCTTCAAGGTCTTTTCCAATCTGAACAATTCTATGATTAATGCTTCAAATGTGCTGTGTTAGTATGGATTTTTGGTGAGGGGGTCTTTGGTGGTCCTGAGGTTGCATGGGGAGGTGTTATCCAGGCAAAAGTTTGTGTGCTACGTAGGCCAGATCCCATAGATGGTCAGGAACTTATTTACAAAAAAAAACATGTCTGTTAACTAGGTTTCTGATTAGCAGTTCAACCTTGTTAGGGTGCCTGTACTATCAACTTTCAGTTGATAATACAGCGTACCTCTTGGAGGCTTGTGGAATGTTGAGAATCTGCTGTTAGGCTCCAGATGTCCCATTTATCTAGGGAGGAAAAAAACAATGTCAGTTTGCTGAGGAGCTTGAATTAATTGCTGAAGGCCCTGAATTTATTTCCAGGTATCAGTGTTAACAAGAAAAATATGAGATGTACTGTGGCCACAAGGATTTTTGAACAAGTCTGAAGCAACTGACAAGTAAAATGCCTGGGTTCATTTCTTTGTGAACGAGAAGAATAACTCATTTTAGAGAGGTTAAGGGAGAAAGAGGGATAATGGAAGAGTGAATGCAGGGAGAGAACTGCAAATTCTTCCAAGCTGAAGAGATTGTAGGATTATGAAATGTGCTGAAGTCGTCGGGGGGGAAAAAAAAAAAACCCCGTGAATGATTCCCTACTTATTCTTTCTATTCTTGCTTCCTCCTCCCCCCTGATACTCATTATGTCAGTACTGATGTAGAAGGAAACATTTGTTTTGGCTTTGATGTGAAAGGAGGAGTTATGCATTGAATGACTAGCTGATACATGTTTAGTGTGGGTGGGGAAGAACAACTTTCTTTTTCGTATTCTTTGTTTGCAGAAAGGCTTGTGACTTGCAGGAGGTTTCATGTAAAGGAACTTTATGCCACTGTATCTCGTTTTAACAGTACTGTCCTTTTTCGTTACGGTTTTTGTTTGCATGTACTATTTTTTTGAGCATGTGTATAGTTCTGTTAAATATATTTGTTTGTCCCTAATGAGAATCTCTATGAAGAGCAGCGCTACCTGTAGTGATACTTTAAAATGTTGGTGGGGTAAGTGAATTATGTTTGCTATTGAATTAAAAGTACTTTTTGAAATCTAAAAGTAGTGTCTTCAGAAATGAAAGTAGTGAGTAAATCATGCTCAATTATAATGAAAATAGTTCAGGGATGATCTTAACTTGGAAATTTTTCCCTAAAATCACTTTTATTTATTGTTTTTTAATGTTAAGTTCATTTAGTATGAAGTAATTAGGTTGATTAATTATTTTGTGCAAGGAAAGGTTTTTATTGCTTTATCTTCATTAAGATTTTGTTTTGGATGATATCAGTTCCTTAATGGATAGAAACTTATTTAATGAAGAGAAGGGAATAGAATACTTATCTCCAAATGGTTAACTGATTATATGCTTGAAATGTCTAACTCTGAAAATATTGTTTGTTATTGTCTTTAAATTTAATGTCTTTAGAATTCATAATGACTATTAGTGTTACTTTGGAGTTTTGAATGTGTGTGAACAGTTTCAGCAGACACCTGTTCATACTCCTGTGTCACTTTCAATAAATGGTTTGTTAAATAGTTCTGAACATATTCAGTCTTTGTGACATCTGAATTTTGTTTGGATTAATTCAGATTTTCTGTAATGAAGTAGTTTTCAGTGAAAAGTCAACCCTATGAGCATGTTGAACATTCTGCTGTCCTGAGAGAGATCAGTCAAATGGATAGATCTGTTTTTCTATGATCAATGTATTTTAATATTTTAAAATACGTATTTGCTATATAAATTTAAAATGCAAGTGCATAGAAGACTTTTCTGAGTAACATAAACATTTGAAAGACTAGGTGATTATTGAAGCTTCATGTATGAAATTAACTCCTCTTTCATCTTGAACTTTGTGGTAATTGAACAATTGCTCGATTTATTTGGTAGCTATACTTTATTTTTGGGTTCAAGTGCTCTGATAGCTTAAATCCAGGTGCTGGAATGTGTGTTGTCGGTGTGAAGCAGTCCAGTGCTAGGAAACCATAGTCATCAGGCGATGACTAGAAGAGCATAGCTGGAACAGTCTTCTCTTATAGAGAAGATAGAGAAAGGGTTTCCTGTACATCTTATAAAATGAATTAGGTTTAACTCGCAAAAAAACCTGCCCTCTTCATCTTAATGTAAATAATTTGGAACTCATGTAATGTGTGATGCTCTGCAGTTCTGTAACTGAACTTGTCAGTTGCTTGTTGGTTGCCGGTGCAGAAATCCTACTTTTTGCCTTGCTTGTGAATTGCTTGTTTATCAGCAGGGAGCTCTTCACATAACTGGATTTTTTCACTGTTGCTGTTGAGTTTTTAAAGCCTTGTAAAGTTCTAACTGGAAAGCGTTGAAAATTAAACACTTCATGGCTTTGTTACAAGCATGCATATGCACATTGAAGTTTCTTACGTTATTTTGTAATTCCATAGAAAACAGTTGAGTTACTTCCTGGTTTTGATCAATTGCATTAAAGCGTTAAAACATTTTTTCTTGTTCCTTGTTCCTAGCGACTTGTTTACTTTGTAGAGCAGGGTAACTAATTAACTACAGATACTGGAAATTCTAAAGTGAGAGTTTTGCATAGTCCTTGATGCAGTTTCAGAGCTGGAAACTAACCAGTACCATGATAGATTCATTCTTCTTGTTGTAGCCCAGCGGTTTCACATAGTCAAACATTTGTAAGTTACAATCAGGGATGTTTATCTCAATGTGACTCATATGTTAGGAATTCTGATGTTAATGTGGCTTGTACTGGGCTTCTCTAGAAATGTTTTACTGAAGTAGAAGACTTTCTGTAGAATTTATGTACTTAAGCTTGAAAATGAAGACACTTTGCAGCCAAAGTGATCCATTATCACCTTTTATAAGTTGTAGTTATCATCTAGTAGTTCAAAATATCGGTGTTGGCTTTGTGTAACATACGTGATTTCTTTGGCTTGCAGTCTGCATCAGTAGCTGTTACAGTATTGGAATCAGATCATACATTAGACAGTCTCAAGATTATTGTGTTCATTTGAAATATCCATTTCCTTCTGTAGGGTTAGTAAAATTCTATACTTACTATGTAATAAAAATAATATGAAACTTATGTTGTAACACTGAAAGAACACTGAAGAACTTCTCAATTCTACTAGCTCTGAATATTGTAATATTTTAGATCTGTTATTTATAATACGAGTTTTAGATTTATCTTTTTTTTATATGATGGTCATTGTGTTTGAATTACTTCTTTTTTCCCATTGCAGGACAAAGTCACCAATACAAAGGAAGGTCGAAGAACAAACCTGGTGAACCTGAGAAGAAACAGTAAGAATTCTTAAAGTTATTTAGTAGAACTAAAATTATTTATTTTTTTATCATTGAGTCACAAAGCAATCAAAGGGCTACAGGAGCTTTAACTTGCTGCTTGTTCTTTGCTTTTTAATTTTCTTTTTCTTGGAAAAGAACAAATTTTACCTCTTAAGTCTAGTGTAGAAATAAATTATAGTGAATATGTAGGTTGCTCCAAAAGAAATACCTCCTATTTGTTTCCATGGAAATTACAACGGATACAAAGAATGTGATAACACTATTTGATAGAGAAAATTCTCAGCTACAGAACTCTCTTTTCAGCAAAGTCACTATCATTAGCTACTCATTCTCATCAGTGATGAGTGAGAGCCTGCATTCTGTGCTCGTAAAAATCTTCACCACTGAAAGTGACTCAGTGCTTCACAGCTGCTCTGACAGGGTTATTGCTAGGGAAAATGTTGCCTATCTTTATTGTCTGAAGCAGATGAAAGTCAGAAGGCACCAAATCCATGTTGTAGGTGTAGTAGGACAGTCCTACTAGCCACATGCTCCACTGTCCTCAAACAGGTATGGGGCCCCTAGCATTACTGTATTGCAAGAGAAAGGTTATTTTCTTCTTTGGCCTGACTCTGGAAGTTGAAGTCTTCAGCCTAGTTGTCATTGCAGTGTAGTGGTCAGAGTTGATGGTTTCTGTGGGTTCCAGGAAATCCAGAAAGATCACCTCTTTCCTATCCCAAAAGACATGGCACATCACCTTACCTGTTGAGGGCTGCATCTTGAACTTTTTCTTCAGTGGGGAATTCACATGTCACCACTCAGTGGACTGTCGTTCTGGCTCCAGCTCATACTGGTGACACCACATCTCATCACCAGTAATGATATTCAGGAAGTTGTTACCTTCAGCCTCATAGGTTCAGTAGATCCTGAAAAATGTGCATGCAGTGTTCTTCCCGTTCCCATGTGAGCATTCATGGGTCTCACCTGGTGCACACTGTGATATTCCCGTGTCACCACCATTGTTCCCAGTGCAGTGCAGTTGACTTTCACTTCCTTAGACAGTTCCCTGGTTGTAATCTGCCAATTTGCACAGATGAGCTGACTGAGATGCTTTTCATTTTGTGGTGTGGCAGCTATGCATGGCCCATCCAGAATGTGGCTAGTCCTTTGTGCTGCCGTTGCCACTGCTGAAATGCACCACGTGCTGCCCTACTGTGCTCACATCCACTGTTTGGTCTCCATCAACATTCAGCAAGTGTCAGTGAGTGTCAATGGGTGCTGTTTTTTTCCACTTCTAGAAATGCTATGTGGTGCCTGCATACTGAAAATCTGTGTCCAGTAGAATGTCAGACAAAGTGATTAAAGCTGGTAGTTCAACTTACCTTTGTAATAAAGGATTGGTATGAAAAGAAGACAACTGAATAAAGTATAGCTGAAAACTGATAAAACAATTTGTAATTAAAACTAATATACACTATTGTGTGTTTATATTGTTTATATCCTCTTCAGAATATAATTCAGGTTAAGACAGCAGATTGAAGTTCCCAATATTCCAACTTCATGAAGAAATGGAATTCTTATCTGAAAACTAAATATTTTATGAATCTCAGTTGAACTTTAGAAAAGGAAGGCATAAACTTAATCTCTGCTGCTGTTTTTTTTTAAAAAAAGTTTCCCATAAGCAAAACATGTGACATAGCTTACCAATACAGTGTGTTTCCTTTGCAGCAGAAGATAATAGCAATCTTGTTCTTATTGTTACATTCAAACTTTTGTCACAGCGTAACTCAGGCAATATCTTGTTTTCAAGGTCTCTTTGTACTATTTGTTCTGTGTGCCAAATCATCTTTGAAACCTTTTTCATTCTTCCTGCACTTAGTCAAAATAAGAGATTTGACCATGAAGAGAGCACTGTAAGTCAGTTTGTTTGCTAGTAGAAAAGAAGTTGTACTTAAAGAAGTTCTTTAGTACTTTCACAGAACTTGCATCTTGGCGTGAAGTACATTGCTGCCTAATCTTTAGAATGCGGATACCTTTCTTGAATGTTAATCAATATGTTTAATGGTTTAGAGCCAGTATTAAATCAATTGGTGTAAACAGCACTATAGACTTTATGTGTAAAACATGTGCTTCCATACATTCTAAAATTTAAGAGTGTGAAAAATGTGGGATGAGACTAATTGTGCTCTAACTACGTTCTTGGTTATGAGCTTCTTGAGCTGATATTTTCATTTTGTGTTCGCATAGGGGATACAGCAAAAGAAATTGTTTACATTGACATAGAAAAGTTGAGCTTCCATTAAGTGTTGTTTGTCAAAGTGTGGATTTCTTACCTTGAAGAGGGGGCAAACCTTTAGGAAACCAAGGACCTGAACTGGATTACCTGTAGTCCAAATTGAAGTGTCACCATGAAACCTATCATCTTATAATCTGCATTTTTATATTCTTTTGTGTTCTTTTGTTTGTATAATTCTTTTTTTTTTTCCCCCCTCTGTTACTCTTTTTGAATACCACACAGCTAGAGCAGTTGAAACCTTCATGTGGCAGAGGTCCTTTATTCCATTTAACTTGGTTGTCTCTGAGTTGTTGTTTCTTTCAGTTTAGTGGGGAAATAAGCCTTGAACTTTAGAAGTCGCTATGGGAACAAGTTCTCTTTAAAGTAATAGAACCATCTACAAAATTGCTTCTCTCACAGTAAAGCTTCAGACTTGGGAAAATACAGTATTTCCTAACAAGGGAGGTGTGTGGTATGTTACAGTCAAATCTCCACTTTTGTAATTAGCAAGTTGCTTGGCTTCAAAAATAATTGAGGATCCTTTGACACTCTGAAGCATTTTTCCCAGGAGATGAGTGATGCTTTTGAATGTGGGACAGAGCTAAATGTATATTGGACAATATAGTAACATTGAGGACTGAGTTGCAATGCTAGCACTGGGGATTTGATTTAGAGTTTCAAGCAGTACTCTGCCTCTGAATTATGCTTTCTCTGTTGATCAGTTGTGCGTTGACTTTGTGCTCCAGCATGAGAAAACAAATAGCTGGAAAGAACTCCTTTCTTCTCTTCTGTGTTTTCCTTGCCTGCGCTCTGCCAAACTGCCATGTGTAATTGATATTAAGTAGATGTTGTGATTAAATAAAGGATCTTGTACTCAGAAAAAGGGGAAGAGGCCTAAAGTGTTCTTTAACCTTTGATGTTGGAAAGTCACCCGGATAGATCCTTCATGAAAACAGTTCAATAAGGTAGAGAAGATCAAATAATATGACTAAAATCATGGAGAAAGCCTCTACTTCCCTGAAGCCCTAGTGAATTCCAGGCCATAAGGTTGAATAGTGTTGTAATCCTTTGTAAAATTCCAGTACTACTTATTGCTGTTGTGGCAGAGTGTGCTGTGATAACCTCTGTCATATAGGCTACTGTGTGATGTTGGTGATAAAAGTACAGGCACTTCTGTTTCTCGAGAGTTTAGGTACATGTAAAGTACATCTACAAATCTACAAATTCATAATACCCTTGTCCTGTTGTTTGTAGGGATCACCTTGATTTGAAGATAGAGTCTAAAACCATCCAAGATAAACTCTTCTGTACTGTGCACCAGGTAACTTGGGGAATTACTTAGCATATGACCTTAACTGTAAATGATTTTTTTCCTTTTAGTAATGTCCAGAATCCTAGTTCACTCAAAAACCTAGAATTTCACATTTAGCCTGATTTTTATCAGGGAACAAGGATCACATGATAGCACTGATTTATGCTGTTTCATTGCTGGTAGCCCTTTTTACTTCTCCTTTCCCCTTTCCACCACTATCTAGCCTTAATTTGGCAAAAAGGCAGCTGTCTTAGTCATGGTCCATGCTGAAATACTCTGTGCAAAATATTGTCTAGCTAAGAAAAATAAAACTTCTGTGTGTGTGACCCTGAAGAAAATGCAACAAGATTATTTTTATTTGGCATCAGGAGAAGTCTCTGTGGTTTCATAACTTCTCTCAGAATTACTTAATGCCTAAATACTTATAACCTTACTAGTTATGTTTCAAATGCATGTTTTTAATGCTGAGATCATTGGGGATTTATGCATCCATCTATCTGATAACCACCAAATACTCTGTACTTACAGTGCATAGTTTATTTGGACAATTAGTTCATCTTTAGATCAAACTTTTTTCATCCAACTGAAAGAACTTAATCAGAAATCTGCTACAGAAAAATTAAGCTTAGTTTGAATGGAATACGAATGGAGGTGTTCTCTGGTGTTCATGCTTGCACAGGACAGCAGTGTTATTTTATTCAAATTTGGGGGTTGGAGATTCATGATCCTTGAGGATCCCTTCCAACCCTGGCCATGCTGTTTTTGTATATAGGTTGCTTCAAAAGTAATGCTTCATTTATTTCCATGAAAACTACAACAAAGAGCACAATAATACTGCTTGATAGAGCAAATTCTCAGCTACAAAAATACTATGTCAACACACTCACTGCCACTAACTATTTGTTTTTGCCACTGATGAACAGGAGCCTCCATGCTGCACTTATAAAAAATCTGTCCCAGTGCAGGTGACCCACTGTTTCTCTTGCCACTGCTGGAACACCACCCAGTGCCTCACTGTGCTTACATCCACTTTTTGGTCTCCAGTGTTCAGCAAGCATCAATGAATGTCAGTGGGTGCCATTTTTTCTACATGCAGTTGTTCAGTAACACCCCTTTGTTTTATACACATTTCCATGTCAGATGCCATCTTGTCAGAGCACCCCTTTGCTGCCATCTATCACATGGCAACAAAATTTAATGGAATATTGATGGGAAAGTTCACCCTCTGCTGCTCTTAGCACCAACATTCGCCTCTGATGTTGTGAGCCAACATAATAAAGACACTGCTTTCAGAGCAGCCCTTGTGTTTGTCCTTTGTAGCTCGGTATCATGATGAAAACAAAACCTGATCAAATATCATGAATGATCCATAAAGTACATTCTGGACATCCATTAGTTTTAGCATGCCAAAATGTTAATTCAGTTCACAGGAATACAGGAATTCCAAAGTTATTGTAATCGTTAACCAGTCACTTTTTCTTGTTTGGTTTTGCTTGTGCTAGAGAAGCTTCTTAAATGATCAGAAGTATTTGTACGTTAGCACGATAATCTGCTTTCTGAAGCTAGCATTATGTTTTGTGTTTAGGTAGATGAAGGGAACAGAAGTTTCTAATTCTTCAATTGTTTGTATTAAAGTCTTACTGCTGGCAGCTTCCCTAGACTTAAGTAGGGAGCTGTAATGATTTTGATAACCTAATGCAATATGAAGCCTTCAAGCATTAACTTGTAGCCTAAATGGAGAAACAGCAAGGTGGGAAAAGTAATTCTCAGCTCTTTGGAAATACATTTGTGCACAAGGAATGTACAAGTAGGGGGAAAGCATATCTGCATTTTGCTATACAAAGTAATAAGATAATGCTTTACTTGAATTTGATGTTTCTAAAGAAGAAGAGGGGAGAAAAGATGCTGTTTTCATTTTGAGTAGCTGCTTTCTTAAACATTATAGGTGGATTCAGCTATGTTGCTTGAAGTGGTTAAATCCCTCATTCATGATGGTTATACAGCCTTGATGGACCAGAGGTGTCACAGTGCTGAGCAGATGTTCTCACAATTGTTGAATATTATTGATCCTTCAGAATTAAAGGTAAATTGAAAGGAATTAATTTATATATTAAGGTAATTGAGCTGTATGCTTTCAATACTTTGTCGTATGTGAATTTGTCATCTGTCATTCTTTCCCTCCACCAAAATAAATCATTATTATTGAATTGTTGCCCATCACACTGACTGCGTGTTATACGTTGCAGTATGTGTGTCAAGGAGCTTAAAAGTGAGAGAAATAGAGAACAGGGTAATTATGGGATCATATGATGTATCTTTGTAATGCTCAGTGTATGTGTGCATTTCTAGATGAAATTTTGAAAGTATCTGTCAAAATGTTGAATATGCAACAATTGCCCTGATAGCTTAACCTCTACTGATTGTGTTATAGAGTGAAAAGCATTTATATTGTTCTTGTCAGGTGATTCCTTGATGCAAGTATTAGAATTTCTGAGTGCGTGTGTCTAGCCGTTCTGCCCCTGAGCCATTTGTCATCCTGGATTTCTTAAAAGACAGCATCAAACAAGCAATAAAAAAAAAAAAAAAAAAAAAAAACCTGATATGTAGTGCTAGGTTTTATGTGACCATCTCTCTGCATGTGTACTTCAAGCCGGCTGTATCATAGTGCCAAGAGCAAGGCTGTACTAACTGCATTACCAGGCAAATAATGCACCAATCCATCTGGAATTGTGACCTATTTTATTAGGTAGAAAAGAAGTCTGAGATAAGGTGTTTGTGGTTTTTTTTTCCCTCTGTTTTTGTTTTTCAAATAAAAAGAAACAATTCTAAACATGACATCTAGCCAAGGTACGTTGTGCTACATGTAGTCAACATACTAGGCTGTAGTATTTCTAAAAGCAGACACTTCAGGATGTATCATTTTGAAATAATTAAGGCTGCCAAATGGCTGAGATAAAGGTGTAGTTAGCCTTCATTCTTTATGTCAAATGCAACATTAATGTGCTTGAAAGCTATGATAGTTTTCTACGCCTGCTGTAGATCTTCAATTCACAGTGGTCAGTAATGTACTCTTTACTAGCCAAGTGTTTTTGTGCTGTTTCTATAATCTGACTCTATTTGCAGCAATTGAATCTTCGTATTATTAATTATGTTGTAATCATCTATGGACATGCCACTTCTCTTCTTGGAATAGGACAGCCTGAGGTATGACATTAAGCCACTATCTTGCTTTTTATTTGAAGTTCTAGTTCAGATGGTTGGTCATCCATTTTTGTCTTAGCTCTTAACAGACATAAGATGAGTTGGGAAGAAAGCTTTTATCATGGGTTGTAAAGTCATGTTTTGTAGGATTGGGTCTTCAATAGTTGTGGACAAATTAAACTACCAAATAAGAAAATTTCTTTTTAAAGTTTCAAGTGAGATTCTTAAGTATCAGTTAAGTGGTCAGTTATTTTTCTTCATCTTTGTTGTAATGTAGTTATGTAGTATTCTTTATTTATTTAAAAAAAAAAAAAAAAAAAAAAGATGGAGACGATGCTTTTGGTTCCTGAAAACACCAAAACAGAAAGTAGTTCCCTTACCTACAGTGCTGTTTACAAATATTCAGTGTCTTTCAGTGAGTTGAAAACTAACTGGTCATTTGTCGCTCAATAAGCTCGTTACTTTTTAGATCCCTTGTTTTTAAAGTCCTTTATGCATGAACCTAAAGTTGCTTAATTTCTTTTTTTGCCCTTAGGACAAATCAAACAATAGGGCATACTGCAGGAAAAATAAGAGGAAAAAACGGGAAGTTGCTGTCTAAATATCTCATGTTTGTCTTAAATTTATTTCCAAGGCATTGATGAAGGCTGAAGACCAGTTTAAAAGAATAATTGTACATTACCAGGAAGAAAGATTTGATTGTCTGGCATACTATGGAATTGGAAAAGTATACCTCAGGCAAAACCGGTCAGTGTAAAATAAAACTTCAGTATTGGATACAAAAGCTCTTTTCATTCAGGAAATGCATGTGTGAGTTGTTTATTTTTGTTTTGGGTTTTTCCTAATTAGTCTTTGTTAATCAACAAATCCAAACATCAGGGTGATTTGTTACAACTTCAGTTTTGTTGATGTTACCATGTAATAGAAAATAAAATGTAATAGAAGCAGTTGAATCCAGCAGTCTCCATGCTGTGGGGATGTGACTGACCAGCACGCCTCCACAGTGGAGATGAGCTCCTAGGCAAAGAAAGTGATGAGCTTGGGATGCAGGCATTGGAGAGAAAGCTGAACTTATTGCATGATCAGGGAGGATGAAGAGTAACCTTGGTTTTAGCCAAGACAGCTGTACCAGTGAGTCATTAAGTTCCCTGAGATAAATAGCAAAGAGATTCCTGAGCTAGGTAGAGGGAAGAGTGTATAGATGGCTCAACCTGATCCAGTGTGTGAAAACTGGACAATTAACCAGCTCTGAAGAGAGCAGCAGGCTTGAACTGGCATCAGCCTACATATTCCTTCCTGGAAACTGGAAATGCCTGGCATTGTGACAGTGAGCACAGAGAGTCTAGTAATGGGAACCATGATTGTACTATGATTCAACTGCATATTGCGGTTACTGTGTTACACTTGTGTCATGATTTCAGTATATTGCTCCACTAAATCAAGATCTCATGAATTGCCTATGGCAGATTGACGTTGGATGCCACTGCACACACTTCCTGCCAGACAAAGCCCCAGTCATTGCTATGTAAAGACAATACAATGCCAAATTTATCAAATAAGTAAGTTTAACGTCAAACATTCAATCCTCTTGTGGAATATCTGCATGAACCTGGTCAGGATGTGCTGGACTCTGTGAGAGGATTCTTCCTTCCTGCTGCTGCAGTGTAGCCAAGTTTTCTGCAAGGCACAGGAGGTGACTGTGACAAGTCCTGTGGATGTGACTGCTCCTTCCCATTGCAGTTTTGGCTGGCAGGGAGGCTGCATTTGTTTTGAAGAGGTACACACGTGCACACATTAACACAACTGCCCAAGAGGCTACCACAGTCAGAGTACCAACCATGTAACACTGTCTGAAGGCAGGTAAAACTGTAATACAGAGAGCAGTGTCCTCTGCTTCCTCTCTGGCAGGTAGAGATCAAAGGTCACTAGTGAAAATTCCTATGACCTCACTCTCCAGATTGTTGAGCACATCCATCTTCGTGGGTGTCTTGAACATTAGTGCAGGCTCTCAGTCTGCCTAATATCCATGGATGGGCTCTGGGACCCTCTATTCAGCCACGGCCTCAGGCCATGACTCTTTTATGCAGAATAGCCTTTTTTCCCAGATAACTTAATTCTCTTACATTCTATGTGCTCTCATCGTTATTGCTGCTTCTTTCTTCAATCATAGAATGAATTATGAAAGAATTATGAGCCATGTAAGCGGCATTGATGTATGATCACAGAATCACAGAATTGTAGGGGTTGGAAGGGACCTCTAGAGATCATTGAGACCATCCCCCTTGCCAAAGCAGGTTCCCTACAGCAGGTAATCTGAACATTTTACCTGTTTTAAATTTCAGATTTTCAGATGCGCTCAATCAGTTTATGAAATCACAAACCATGATTAATCGTAAGATTGTACCTGGAGTATTAACTTGGCCCACGACATCTCAGGTGATTGAAGAAACACGAACAGAGAATTTACAGGTATGTTTAAAAACAAAAGTAACAGTGCTGTTCTCTCAAATGGTCTTTCCAGAAAAAAAAGCAAAAAGGATGTATTACACAGAGCTTTGTAGTGTGACTTCTGTGTCATCTTTACTTTGTTCCTCACCTCACATTGTCAAAGCCAAAGAAAGCGGTGAACAGAAGCAGGGAGAGATTCAACATGGAGAAGCCAGTGCAGCACTTCTTTTCTTGAGCACTGCCAACTCAAAGGCTGGTGTTTGTAGAGAAGAGCTCTGTTTACGGTGGCTCTTAGAAAGCATGCTATTTAAATCATAAACTCTGTTTAAGAGTCTGTGCTTGGGTATTTTTATGTAATAATGTAGTTCTGATCTTAAACTTTGTTTTGGGTAGATATAAAGGCTGTATGAGAGTAAAGCTAGAGAGAACAAATTAGAAGTTAGAATTAGCAAAATTGTGTGATATGTATTCCAAAAATGAGGCTTTCTGTAGTTCTTGGTAACTGATTGTATTGGGGGCTGTATGGTAAAATTCCTTGTTTGAGTAAAAAACTCTGTGGTTATAGGATTAAAAACTGTGTTGCATTGAAAAGCTTTAAAATTCCTTCTATGATTATTGCTGATGATTATTATTATAGAGACTCTTGGAGAGTGTCATACAAATATCTGGAGGCTGTAATTGGGCATTTATTTATTTCTAATAGTGTTGTATTAATTTCAAGCCAGTTCCAACTCCATGGAACTTGTACATACTTTGCATAAAGCCACTGTAATGTACCTCACACACTGCTGAGGGAGACCTCATTAGCTCCATTGCAGAGCCAGGTCTGAGCTGTTCCTGGGAATGTACTTAATGTTATAACCCAGATCCCAGGGGTGGTATGAAATAGCAGGAACAAACAGTCAATTTTCATCATGTTATGTTGGGGTTGTCTGGGTTATCTTTTTTGCTAATTGAATATATAAGTTTTCACATGCTATTGGAATTGTTAAGCTTGTATAAACCTGCATGCAGGGAAGTATACTCAGTTGATAGCAGTTCAAATGAACTTCAATATTTTGGTGTACAAGGACAATCTTGCATGGCTTTCACTATGAGAGAGTTGTTCTTTTGTTTTGTTCTTTTGAACAACAGTTGCCTGCTGTTCAAAAAGAGGTGTCTGTTTCACTGCAAAGTTCCTTAGAAGAAAACAATTGATCTTCTGTTGGTTTCTGTGCAATTTCTCTTCTATTGCTTTGTGTTTTTCAGTTGTTCTTAAAGAATTGCATTGAGGAGTGCAAGTTCCCTCCAGAACCAGATGCAGTTTGTCGCTATCAGCATTGCCGTGGCAACTCCAAAATCCAAATATTTTTTACAGATCCAGACTTTAAGGTACATCTTAGTTCAAGAAGATTTGGGAAATGAAACTTTCTATCTTCCTGCTTTCAGTCCTTTTCCATATTAGAGAGCTATGAACACAACATTTTATCGTGTCTTCAGTTAAGTTGTGCACTGTTCTGTGTTTTTAAAGATGCTAAACTTGTACTATTTTCCACTGCTAGGGTTTTATACGTATTACTTGCTGTCAGCGGTGTAGAGTGGAGTTTCATACCAGCTGTTGGAAAAAGTTGAAAACTGCAAACTACAGTGATAAGAATGACAAGGTAAGAGCTGTGTTAGACTAGAAGCATTTTATTTCTTCTTTGTCCAGTCAGTATTACAACATTCTTTTTGTTTGTGATAAGTGAGGTGCTACAGCTACATATTCTACTCATATGACAGGAAGAGAGGAAAGAGGATTCTCTTGCTGAGTGGCCTAATATGCAAAGCTTGGCAAAGCTTGCTTTCATTTACAGGAGAGGCCTGGATGTGGTTAGCCTGTTTTTCTGGCGTTATGTCCTTCCATGAGAAAATTTATTCCTTCTAAGGTCTTGTTGTTGAAGAAGCAATTTGACATCTATTATATCTGAAGTAATTTTACGGAAGATTATATTGGCAATCAATCTGAAATAAAAGGAAATTCTGGGAGGGTATGAGTACATAAAGTAATGGCCTTAAAGTTGACTCCTGAAACTGAAGCTGGAGGTGGGCCTTTGCTTTGTGAATAGCAGGTATTTGCCACAGGTCTAGAGCCCTTTTGGTTGGAATTCCTTTCTAGACAGCTGAGAGAGAGTGATTTGCTTTCTTCATCCAGTAGGAGTCTAAACCTATGCTAGCTTTAATTATCTCACTCACCTCAAATAAAGAAGCTCTAATCTGTATGAGAATATAGAATTTGCATGAATTTGCATGTTTTTGTGTTTTATCTTTTTCTTCTGCAGGATTTTCTTCAAGAATTATGTTTCACTCCTGACTGTACAGGCCTTATTTCAAAAATAGTTATTTTCAGTTCTTCTGGTTTGGTGAAATGTGAAGTAAGTAAAAGTTTATATAAAATATGAAAACCTTTAAAATATTTACTCTGGTAAAGGAGATAAAGTGAAGATGATAATGTAACTCACAAGTAATATGCAAACTCATCAGTAAGTATTATCTTCACTACAGACAGAGCATTGCTGGGAGCTTAAACTGCCTGTTCTCTTCTTAACCTGCTGCAGTGGGCATTACCTTATTGTTTTGGTTGCAGCTGTCATTGAGGAGCTGTGTTTTATATTTATCTGGAAAGCACGGAAGGAACTCCATTAGTTTAGCTTAGTGCTAGTATTACTAAATGAAATACTATTGGGATGATGTGCTTATCTCCTGCAGTGTCTTGGGAGATGGGTTGGTTCTTCCTTGACCAGCATTGGTGTATGAGAAGCAAGAAGAGAGGTTCTAATTTTGTATTTTCTTCCTGTCCGCTAGTACAGATAAACAGCATCCAGTGTTTCTTGTGCTACCTTTCCATCTGCCTTTTTTGCATGTAAAAACCTATTGGGTATTAGGACCAGAGGGATTACTATTAGAATACCAATACCTACTGGTATTAGGACCAGAGGGAATGGTTTCAAGCTACGGCAGGGGAGATTCAGGCTGGACATGAGGAAGTATTACTTTTCAGAAAGGGTGGTCAGGCACTGGAATGGACTGCCCAGGGAGGTGATGGAGTCACCGAGCCTGGGGGTGTTCAAGGAAAGGCTGGATGTTGTGTTGAGGGACATGGTTTAGTGGGAGCTATTGGGAATAGGTGAACGGTTGGACTGGGTGATCTTTTAGGTCTTTTCCAACCTTGGTGATTCTATTATTCTATTGGTGTGTGCTGAGTTGTAATGTTTGATGAAGATATTTTCATGTAGACCTTCATGAAGCATAAGTAGTTTTCAAGTGTGCGTAGTCACTGTGGTAGTATTTTTTTTTTTTTTATTGCTTTCAAAGCATCAAATTTTGTTGGGTTTCAGGAAAAATCAGTGCTGCATTGTAACCCAAATTTAATTAATGTGATGTCACTTTTTTTGTAGTTTGAACAAAAGATCACTAAACCCAAGGAACCACCAAGAGCCATCATTAAACAGAAATGTTCAAGGTAAGCTCTCTAACATTTAAGAGTAGGTTGAATCAATTTGAGGAAAAGTTTTCTCTAGGACTGAGCTTCATGCCTTTTAAAGAATTGCTAGAACACCACAAATACTTTGGAAAGCTGTTCTTGTCCTTTGCCTCTGAAAACATGTATTTGAATGAACTGATTTTGTTTTAATAGAAAATTAAATCATCTAAAAGGGTGAGTAAAAGTACCTAACAATCCAATCATAAAATTATTTAAATTAACTTATAATCCTGTAGCTCTCTGCGTTCGTTTTACAGTGAGATCACAGGAGAGAATTGATTGGTATGGCTGAAGAAATTATTGGTAACTCTCCAGTGGTCTTAGATTTTAAAAACAATATTTTTATTTTGGTCACAGGAGACTCTTTTCAAACGTAAAGATATGAGTTAATAGAAAACTGATTTGCCACAGGTCTGTACTGAGGGATACGTTGCCCGTTGCACCACTGACTTCCCAGCTATTTCAGCCAATAGCTTTTGGGCGTAAATGGCTGTAATCATCTTCAAGCCTGTCTCGCTCAAACCTCATCTCATTGTGAAATCTGTGGGTGGTGAAATAACACGTTGTTTGGGGAGAGTGTGATTTGTAGGCTCTCTGTGTATGTCCTTCATTTGTAAGATGCTCAACAATTGGAATGCTGAGTGGGTGTTTGTTACTCCTCATAGCAGACTGCCTGTTCTGATTAAAAACAGTGTTTCAAGTTGAGTGCAGCTGGGTTGGAATAACACCTTCATTTTCAGTCTGAGGTTGCAGGTGTTCTATTCTTTTGTTGCTAAAGGGAAGAACTCAGCAAGAATTTAACTGTGTGGGAGAGAAATCTGTCTGGCAAACTTATCTGGTTGCTTAGAAAGTCTAAATGAAAACTGCATATAATAAAGCTATTTAATAAGGTTGATGCATATGCCTTTAAAGTAACTGTTTTTATGCTTTTTGTTCAAGTAGAATTATAATTAACAAGCCCAAGGGATAAAGCTGACAAGGAAATCCAAAAGTTCATGTTTGGTGCAAAATATTGAGTAAAAATTAAGGAAAAAAAAAAGTTTATTTCAGGTACTTATTCCTAATTCAGATGTTATTAACGAGAGTAAAAATTTCTTCAGGAATTTTGAGGATTGCATATCTGACTCATGAATGTTTGTGATCTCTTACTAACTTAAACAAAAAGTAGCTTCACTATATTTATACTCTTCCAAATCATATTTTGCAGTAGAATGGAAGTGTATAACTGTTGTAAGACATGGAAAAAATTTACTCACCAAAGGAGTTAGGCATCTTTATCTCAAGTAACACTAGATTCACTGTTTAATTGTTTTTATCAGTTTCAGGAAGTTAAAAAGGAAAGAAGAAAAAAAAATACGAAGAAAACGTGCACGGGAAGATGCACTGAATTCTTCTAAACAGAAAATAGAAGAAAATCAGATGCGAAATGAACAGCCTCAGTACCGTAATCGCAGTGGTATGTAGAAGTACAGATTGCTGTGTTAAGATAGCAGAAGGTACCATAGGTAATGTTCTGGGTGTCCTAAATCAAATGATAGCAGAAGAACAGATTATTAATATTGAGCATACTTCTCCCACCAGCACCCTTGAAGACCTGCATAATCTTCCCTTAGGGACTTGAATTTCCACTTAAGATTAATTTTATTTCAGTTTTGGTTTTAATTTCTAAGTAACTGTAAGTTGTTCTATGGTCATTTAAGGTCCTTTTAAGGAATTTTTATTCTTGTTTCTGCAACAGTTAAGGCTGTAAGAACTTGTGGAATCTCATCAGGTTCTCAGAGGATACATTTTAGTCCCATACTCAACCAGACTCAGAGTTCTCCAGAGCCCTGCTGCCTGTTAAGTGGCATATCACAGAGGTGCTGCTGGCTCATATCCTGGCACTTTCTCCATATAAACCTCTCACTTGCTGCCTTGTTAGTTTTTTTTCTTCTTTAACCATTTTGCTTGAGAGTGGCCCTTCCATTAGCAGTGTAGATTACTATTTTTGTTTCCTCTGGTTTTCTGAAATTATGTTCAAATCACTGGTGGGTTTTCTTTTGTTTTTTAAAGCTTAGATACCTACTTTCTTATGGCATATCTTTATTTTTAATCCTTGGATCTGCTGCATAGCATTCAGTTGGGTGTTTATGGTTTGACCTCAGTGATCTTAAAACTTCTAAGAACACAGTACTCGTACTAAAGGTAGAACTCCCTGATGACTGGAAAAAAGAATGAGATACCACACCTGTCTTTAACAAGGGTAGAAACTATGACCCAGGGGAGCTATCGACCTTGTCAACCTCACCTCAGTTCTGGGGAAGACCAAGGAGCAGATCCTCCTGGAAGCTAAGCTGAGGCACCTGAGAGAGAGAGAAAGGTGACATGGGATAACTAGCATGGCTTCACCAAGGGCAGATCCTGCATGACCAGACTTGTGGTTTTTTTATGATGGCATAACTGCAGCAGTGGACAAAGGAAAAATCAGTGACATCATCTATGTGGACTTTAGTAAGGCCTTTGACAAGGTCACCCGTAATATCCTGCTCTCCAGATAGGAGAGATGTGGGTTCAACGGATGGACTGTGCAATGGGCAAGGAGCTGTTTAGGAGACTGTACCCAGAGTGGTGGTCCATGGCTCAATGCCTGGGTGGAGATCAGTGAAAAGTGGCGTCCCTCTGGAGTCAGTAGTGGGACTGATGCTCTTAAATATCTTCATCAGTGTCGCTGATAGTGGGATTGAGTGCATCCTCAGCAAGTTTGTGGATGACACCAGGCTGTGTGGTGCAGTGGATGTGCCTGAGGAACAGGATGCCATCTAGAGAGATCTAGGCAGACTCCAGCAGTGGGCCCAGGAGAATCTCATGAGGTTCAACAAACCCAAGTGCAAGGTCTTGCCCATGGGTCATGGCAGCCCCCACTTATCAGTAAAATGGAGGATGTAAGGATAGGGCACAGCCCTGATGAAAACTGCTTGGGAGTGTTGGTGAATGGCAAGCTGGACGTGAGCCAGCAATGTGCCCTCACTGCCCAGAAAGCCAACCACATCCTGAGCTGTATCCAAAGAAGCGTGGCCAGCAGGGTGAGGGAGGTGATCCTGCTGATCCTGCCCTTCTGCTCTGCACTGGTGAGACCTCAGCTGGAGAACTGCATCCGGATGGGGAGTTCTCAGCACAGGAGAGACATGGAGCTGTTGGAGTGCATTCAGAGGAGGGCTGCAAAAGTGATCCAGGGGATGGAACACCTCTCCTATGAGGACAGGCTGAGAGAGCTGGGTGTGTTCAGCTTGGAGAGGAGAAGGCTATGGGGAGAACTGAGTGTGGCTTTTCAGTATCTAAAGGAAGGCTGTAAGAAAGGAAGAGGCAGGCTTTTTAGCAGGGTCTGTTGTGATAGAAGAAGGAGAAATGTTTTCAAATGAAAAGAGGAGAGATTTAGATTGGATATAAGGAAGATGATTTTTACAATATGAGTGCTGAGGCAGTGGAGGAGAGGCAATGGATGCCCCATCCCTGGAGACACTCAAGGTCAGGCTGGACGGAGCTCTGAGCACCTGATGGAGCTGTGGGTGTCCCTGCTCATTGCAGGGGGAGTGAATCAGACAGACTTAAAGGATCTCTTCCAGCTCAAAGAATTCTATGATTCTATGAAAAAGAGTAAATTTAAATTGAATATGAAGAAATGTGCTTAGTATGCTTGAAATTATATCCTTGTTAGAATGATCGATTATTCTAAATGTAATATGTAGTGCCTTGGTTTTTAAAGGTGTGTTTTTTTGTTTTGTTTTGTTTTTTTTTTTTTGTAAAAATCTTTTCAGGCCTACATCTTTTAAAGCTGGGTACTATCAATTAAGCTCTCAAAGTGACATTCAGTAGATGTGTGGTCTTGAAGGCTAATGAAGGTGTAGTTTGATACGAGCACATCATGTCTCCACTGTTGTTCTACAGAGAACAAGAGGCAGGCTCAGGGCAAAGGTTTACTATTGAATGTATGCTTGGATGTTCAGAAATGGGCTTTTGCTCTGGGAACTGGTGCTCGGGGGAGTTCTGTCCCTGTGCCAGGGCTGGCATGCTGCCTGTGCAGATGAATTTGTGCAGGCAATTGCTTGAACTTCCTGTTATTGGCAAGTGAAAAATATTTTTCTCTCTGCAATGTAGTTGAGGTGCTAAGGATTACTTTGTTCCGTTTCCTGAATTTAAAACCAGGTACTGTCACATTGATAATGATAAAGTAAGCTTATATAAAAAGTTAAATATTTTGTTATTTTGAGTGTGGTAAAAAAAGCTAATACTTAAAAGCCACTTAGTCCAAATTATCTGTACTTTAGAATTGATGTTTTCAACTGTTTAAAAAAAACAAACAAACATGAAACCTTTTTGTTGTTTGTTTTTAAATCCCATTGTAGATTATGCAGGTTATGCTGGTGATCAAGTCCTGCAGCGTATCATTCAAAATGCAGAGCAGATAAAAACAGCTGTTCGTGATGCCTCCAAACTGTTAAAGGAATTACTTTCCTGGTTTGTAATCAGTGAAGAGGCTTACACATCATATTGCAAAACTAGCAGCAAGTCACATGTTGTGGTGGAACAGCTCATCAGTTACTTGGTTCAGGAAGAAAACAGAGTGAAAACAAGGGCTTTTATCCGTGTCCTGAGTGAGCTGGAGGAAGTGGATCCCAAATTACAGAGGTGGATGAAACACCTTAATGATTTGGGTAAGCTGTGTGTTTATGTAGTAGCACAAGAATTTACCTGGTCATTATTGTTCAATCTACAGGTGGAAAAATAACCTCCCTGTTTACCAGTTTGGCTTTCTTAACTCTGAAGGGTGAAGTAAAGCTTTCTTCTTGTTCTCTTACTTGATCATTAGCAGGATTTCTGGAGAAGTAGATATGGCTGTTGGTGAGAGCAGCAGCCTCTTATCTCTGCAGAGATGAACTTTTCAGAAGAAGTAAAGCATTTTAATGATGCGAGGCTTTGAGAGAAAGAAACAATATATAGATATATATATTTTTCTTACATCCTAAAATTCCTGAATAGGCTTAAATGAGAATATTTATATATTTAATCTGGAAAGTGTATCATGGTGATTTTGTTTTTTTTGGTCATTTGACTTTATCTGATTGCTTAACTTGGAAGGAATTTATTTTCATATTCTTTGGTATTGCCTTGCTGTGCAGTTTGCTGTTGAATTTATACTTGGATGAAGATAAAAGCTTCTGTTTACTTGCAGAATGGACTTAAGATGCCAAAAACTTCAATAAGGATTCAGTATTCTAGTGTGTCCATGTCCTTCAAAGAATTTGTTCAGATGTATTGCACTCATTGTTGACAGAGAGTATGATTAATATGAAGTTAATTTGTTGTGTTAGCTTTCATTTGCAAGATTAAAAAGGTTTTACATAATCCATTTCATCTACCATATATTTAATTTTAGGAACAAACTGTTCCTCTTTCAAGAATATCCCACTTAGAAACAAAACAAACTCTGAGGCTGAAATGAAACAATGGCTTTTTTCTGCTCTTTTAGGGTTTACAGCTACAGTGAACTTTATCCTTCAGTATGGACAGTTTTTAAAACAACTTGACTTTTCTATTTTATCTGCACTCTGGAATGAGAAGTATGGTAGTAAATTTGACTATGTGTCAAATAGTTCTGAAAGCAAAGAAATTCTTGACTATTTTTTAAAACCACCTCTAGAAAAAGTTCGTTGTTTTATATGGCTATTAGAAGACAACAGAGAAAATTTTCCATCTCTTCATCAAGCTTTAGATGAATTCTTTAATAAAACAGGTAAGTATGCAAAGGTCTCCATTCTTACAAGCATTTGATCTTGTCTGCTTTTTACACCTCAGTTGATATACTCTGTAAAAGCTGAATTGTCTTTAATTTCTAACCTTGTATACATGAACTTGTGTGTTCAGTGCTTAAAATACTATATGGTCTTAAAGAACCAAGGCATTTTGTTGTAAGCTACATTCTGCTGTTTCTATCATGTGCCAGCACACAAGTCTATGGGTACAGGCAGCCCATACAGAATTAGTTTTTTATTTTAAGCATAAAGATTCTGTAACAAATCTTCAGTGGTGTTTGATGGAGTATAATAATTATTACTGTGATCACATAGCTCACAGTTGTGAATTACGCTGAATAGTAATATTCCAGTTTATGAGTGTGATTTTATTATCCTTTTACAGACAACCCTACCATCATATTAAAGAAGCAGGGAAATGAAGATATATTGGTATGTTAACCTAAGTATGGGTTCTGATCTGAGCTCAGAAACAAATATGTGTTTGGTGTTGAGAAAAATGTGCAAAAATGAATGAGACTCTTGCATTTCTTCACTGTTTTGTTTGTTAACATCATCCTTGAGACCTGATTAGAGACTTACACTTTGAGGCTTTTTAAAACAGCTTCTGTCCTTTAGTAATGCACTGCATACTCTTTTTTTCTTCTGTGAGTAAGTATTTGTATGGGATTTTCTCTTTGATTAAACCAACAGGAGAGCTCTTAGAGTGTGTACATTTCAAGGATGGAGATGAGGGAGTTACTGTGATAACGAGCGAGTCTACAGTAATGTGCTACACTGCCCCTTTTGGATAGGGCAGATACGGTGTATGGGAGTGGTGTTCACAGCAGTTTGGTGTTAGGTTGAAAAGATCTCTCTAGAAGAACTGTAGAGGAACTGGGAGGAAAAAGAAGGTGTGCCCAGTTTACAGGCAGAGAGTCGTACTGACTTGTCTGTCTACGTATTTACCATGACTGACACGAGGCATCATTTTTCCTTGAGAGTGCTTAATTAGAACATGAAGATTTCAGGTGCTAGCTGTGCTGTGTATTTTAACATCCAAAGCAACACATGAGAGGGTAGTGTAACCCAGCTTTGCTTTCAAATGTCATTAAATTGTAAGGATGGAATTAGAAGATCATTCTGCTGATAAGCATAGTAAATTTGAAGTGAGATATACTTAGTACTTGTAGTGAACAGCTTCTACTGATGCTTTTCAGATTAAACCCAGAACTCTGTGTATTGTTCTGAATCACTTTTTGGGTAGTATGTTAGTTGCATTCCTAACTGGCAGGAATATGTCACTTCAGTCAATTACGTATTTGAAGCACTTTCAATTAGAACTATTATAGCCTGCAGATAAATTTATCTCTACAAAACCAAGATTTGCTTTTGATACAGAATAAACTTTACGAGTTATTAATTAGTATAAATGATAATGAGATGTGAAATCCCTTGCTCTTTCATTGGATGAATTAGAAATTCAAGAATTAAATAAAACCTGCTACATTATATTCTACTTCATATTCCTATTTATGTCCTAAAATGATTTCTAATACTGTAATTAAATTATGATTAGTAAAGTTATGTTTATATGTAATGAAGTCTTATTAAAAACTGAAGAGGCATTTTAGTTCTTCCTTATCCTAATAGGAATTTGAAGTGACAGAAACTTCTGGCAGCTCTGTTTGTTTTTGTCCCTTACAAAAATCTGTGTTGCCACAGGTTCACAGCTGCCTAAATGTGCAATTTCAGATACAAGTAGTGAGTAAGCATCCAAACTAAGTACACTGTTCTGTCTATATTGTGTTCAGTGTTCAAGGAGCAAAATGATGAAAAGGAACAAAACAATAAGGTTTTGCAAAGCTGTGTTCCTTTTTGTGTTGTTCAGATGAGAACATAGGAGGGAGGGACAAGATGGCATGCATGCTTAACCTTGGAAGCCTTCCTGCTCAAACCAGAATCAGAATTTTAATACGAGACTTTTAAATTTATGGACTGATTTTGGAAATGCATCATCATTTTATTATTATTGCTTTACATAATTTTATTTATTTCTGTTTCAGACAAATGGTATCAAAGGTAAAAACAAAAGCAGAAAGAAGAACTATAAGGACTCACGGGTCAGTAACTTTATAGCTGCTTACTATGAATGGTTTTCTTTCAGAGTTACTGGAGATCAGACCTATAGAGGTGGTTTCTGTAAATATCTCATGGAAGCTCCTTCTTGAAGTGGTTTTTTTTCCTCTAGTGGAAATATATTAAGACTCAGTTAATGCTGTTCTAGTTATTTTGTTACAGGTTGAATTGGGCAGTGTAAAAGATTATTCTGCACTTAAAAAAGAAGTTATTTATGAAGATGTTGGGTTCTAACTGTGTGCTACTAACTTCAGTCTGTCCACTGTCCTCACACTTTGATCTTAACTTCCCACAGGAGAGAATAAAAAATAATCAGTGAATACAAATCACAGACTGCACCTACATAATTGATATTTCAGCTCCATTTTGTTTGCCAGGGATAAATAGCAAATATGACAAAGAACTATTTACCAGTCCTCATGAGATAAACCTGACATTTTGTTTCTGTCTGCCTTTCTGAGCATTTTTATGGACCCTGACTGAAGTTGCAGGTGCTTAGTGCTAAGATAAAACGCCATTCAGTATTTTATAGATTTTGCTAGCAGTAAGATGGAATCCCAAACATAGCATCTCTTGTCCTGCTTTTCTAGAATCTTGCCTTATTGCAGTCATCTTGATTTCCTCTGTGTCCCCAACATTTTATAATTTTGCCCAAATTTCACGACAAAAATTATGATAAAAAATTGTTTTTTCTAGGATGAGATCCCTAAAAATTCAATTTGTGTGCTTTTTTTTTTTTTTTTTTTTTTTTTTTTTTTTGCAGTAGGCAAAACTCTGCCATAGAAGGAAGCTGTGTGCCTTACTAGAACTCGGCAAAAAATCAAGCACATCTAGGATTTAGATAAAATCTGTAAATAAAAATTAAAAAAGATAGGTTGGACTGGAATATTGCAGTAGTATATGTTCTAGAGAAAGCTCTGAAGAAGCTGATAATTTAAAATAAAGAAGTTTTTCAGTGTGGCTTAATGCAGGTAATTGTAGTTGAGTGTTTTGCTGTTCAGCGTCTCACGTCTGAGCACAATAAAATTACAGAAGGAGGTTCTGTGTAAGCAAGTTACTCATACTCTTTACATTGGATCATTTTCTGATATGAAAAGTAATGATCTGTTTTTAATTAGTCTGTTTTAGTATTATCCAGTGGAGTTAGTACAGCACCACAAGAAGAAAATACGTTTATAGAAGAAAATGCATTGTAAGTATCGTCACGCACCTTTACTTTTGTTGCCCAAGCTCCAAAGTACTTTGCAGGTACCAGAGAAGACAGGCTTAGAAACACCTTAGAAAGTCTGGGTTCACATCTCAGTATTTCTTGAAATGATCTTCATTTGAGCTTCCAGAGATCATTACTTTTCTGCTTCTGGGACAGGTATGATGGATACTAGAGTTTTTAAGATGTTAGTGATCTAAGAGGTAATCAAATAATGAGCAGGTTCCATTCCAGTAAGGCTGCTAGGCCAAAAAGCTGTTCTTTCATGTAACTTGTTATCTTCTTTCTGTTCCACTTTACTGTAGAAAGAAAGTAGTTGATAAATTTGTCAGATGAAGAGCAGCTGCTAGGACACAGCTAAGCTTTATTACCATTAGTTACTGTTAGTTACTGGTTATTCTCAATTCAAGAAATTTACCAGTTCATGATTTTGGAAATAGTGCATGTTCTACTTGTTACCTACTTGTTAGAAAACGTTTGCTACTGGGATATTTCTTAGCATCTGTGTAGCTGCCATATGCTAATGCTCTTCTCAGTGCATGTGGAGAATGTCATTATTTTCAGAGACATTGAGTTGTTTTGTTCTGTTTTTGTTTTTGAACTCTGTAGAGGTTTTACATATTATGAACCATGTATAATCCCAGAATATCTTCGGGGGCAACTAGATGAGTTTGAAGCTGTATATGACATTTCAAACAGTAACAACTGTCAGAGACTGGATGCTAATCTAAGTCAAACCTGTGAAAGTTTATATGAGTACGTATGCATTTCTGTGGTTAGCAGTTTAAAAGTTTTACTGTTTCAGCTTAAATGCATATAAATTCTGTACCTTTATGTTAGAGAATTAATGTTACAGTATTCCAAGAAAGAAGTGATGGAAGCTATTGGAATTAAGTATCTTTGGTGCCTACTGTAGAACTGATTGACGATTACAAGCACGAAAACTCCATAGTTTTGGATGAGTGCAGAAAAATGGAGGCCTTGAACTTCAACTTGTGAATCTGCTTGTAAAGAATAAAGGAAGTCTGTCAAATGACAGGCTGCAGTTTAGTTTTGAACCAGTGAGCAGGACAACACTTCTGACACCTGAAGGTGGAATTCAACTGTTCGTTTCATTGATACTCATAGTCATTTCTAAATGAGAAAATTATGGCATATAACAACATAGAAAGTATATCATGATGCAATTTACTAACAGCAGATTTTATGTGTCTGTCATCAAATGGCAACAAACATATTTTCCTTAGACTGTCACTTTCTTTCTTTGTTCCTTTCAGTTCTCATTTAACTGGTATGTAGATTTCATGCAATAACGTCTCACCTAAATAACAGGGTTTTTGGAGGCAGCAGTATTAGGTGCAACATCCTATTAAATAACATAATTGGATAAAGGCCACAATTTAGTCCTGATGGTACATAGAGATATGTCCTATGCTCTCAGGTGGCTGCAGGTGTCTGAGTAAGACGTGAAGAAGCACCAGTGTTACAGACAATTTTTATGCTTAGATGGAACACCATCTTCCAAACGGTCATTCTTCAGTAGTGCTGAAGGCTTATTGCTTTCTATGTGAAATAGGGCTTGAGAATTGTATGAGAAATTGTTAACGAACAATTACAACTTTTTTTTTCAAAGCTATTTCTCTCAGATATTGGAAGAGCATGGCCCGATGGAATTAAATAATAAGTTGCTAGTTGGGGAATATGAACATTTCCCTGAAGAAGCTCGAAAGATTGTTGAAGATGAGGGTGGTTTGAAATCTTTTCTTCTGAAATCCCATCGTTTCGTTATGGTGGATAATTTTATTAGCCTAAGGCATGATATTATTAAAGAAAATAAAAACAGAGATGAGACTGAAAATAATGAAGAAGGAAATTATATTGTCTGTGATGCGCAAGAAAATTCTTTCCAGAACAAGATACAGTTAAATCCAGCTGCTAAGGAATTCAAACCACTGTTTTATCCTGAGCAACCTCATATATCAACATCTACTGACATACCATTAGAAAGCTGTGAGACTCCACAATATTTGCCCTATTCTTTGCCTACTTCGTGGCAATCAGTGCTTAGTCAGGATATTGATCCTGTTGAAAATATGCCTTATTTTTCAAAAGTTTTATTTTATCGAGATTTTCAGAATCAAAGCAGATTTTTGCCACAGACTTCCTGGGGTTATCAGTGTGAAAGAACATCGCCGGTGACTTCTCCAGTGCCTCTCCTGTCAAATGTTGCCAAGCAACCTGGGTATATTTATGCTGATGGTGTTACTCATCAGGATAATGATGAATTAGCAACTTCAGACAGAAAATATGTCAGCAGCAGCTTTATACCAGCTGAAATAGAAACGTTCAGAGACCCTCCGTGCCTGGTGGAAAACTCCGATAGCACATTTTATGAAGACAGTTTTGCTGTTGCAAATAGTACAAATGAAGCTGAATGTGATATACAGGTGATTAAGAAGGAAAAAGAAAGCAGAGGTATACCTGTAATGAAAAACAATCCACATACAAGGATGGTAGCTGTTCAGGTAAGAGATTAAAATGGAACACTCCTTTAAAAGGAGTGTAAGTAACAAAAGATGGTGTTGAAATCTTGCATTATGTTTCTGCAGCTGTGGAAGGTGCAGCTCCTTTTGGGATGATTTCTTTATGACTTCCTGAAGGGTCAGTTGTGTGTTTCAATAATACTTCAAGCTACCCAAATACAAGGAGTATTGTATAATAGTATTTAGTGTTCTCTAGTACTTATTTTTTGTTACAGAATGCACTTTGTGTGCACTTTGTGACAGGTTTCCAGTGTTACAGGTACGGCAGTTTCTTATATCCGTTCCTATGGTAGCTTATCCAACATGCTACAAGAGTGATTGTAGAGAAGTTCCTCATCTTAATTTGTTTCTCATTACTAAGGAAAGAACTTCTTATAACTGTGAGACAGTCATCTTTTTGTTTTTGCTTTCTAAATTATGAAAGTGTTAATGTGTTTCATTGTTACCCTTATTTGTTTCTTTTCCCAGACTTGTTTTGTTTGCACTTACTTACTTGAAATCTTTCCCGAGCAGTTGCTGACTTGGCAAATGAATTCAGTTACTTGGCTAACAAGGCTTTTAAATTGGAAGTTCTTCTTAGTTTTTGAGCACGTTTAACAAACTGTCAGCAGAAGACAGCAACAGTTTTCAATTCAGTGAATTCTGGTTAGCAGAGTTTGAAAGATCAGAATGCAAGAGATATGTTTGTGGAAGTGCAGTGTGGCAAAGCATTTGCCATTATTTGGCTATGATTTTAATAGCATATTAATATTGTAACATAAACTGAATCGTCAGTATATTGCATGATTAAATTTTAAACTTCAGTTCTTTCAGTAAGTCCTTAATGAGCAACGCTAGAAGAAGACAAGCACAAATTCCAAAGGTCGTTGAGTTTAGTTGCTTTTGAGGAGATGCATTTGTGTCGTAGATCATGAGCAACAAAACACAACTGCTCCCTGAGCAGTCAGACACTGGATTTGCCAGTCTTAAGAATGCAAATAGAGTGAATGTGCTCCTAGATGGAGCACAGCTGTGTTTGAAGACTGTAAGAATTGTCCCCAGTATAATGCTTCGGTCAATTGAAACTGGGGAAACATTAGGGAAAAAAAGTGTTTTCATTGTAGCTTCAAGTCCATTTTGGGAATGTACGCAGTTTCCTGCTGCATTGTAGGTAAACCTATTTCATAATGTAGTCAGATGCGTAGAATTGTTGGTTAGATATAAAAGCTCCAGAACAGAGCTGGCATAATAGTTGCATGTGTAAACAGGAGATGTTTCTAATCAGTTAATGATTCCTTGTGTTCTAGGTGAATAATGAAGTAACTGATAGGGAAACTAATACTTTGCCTTTTCATCCATTTGAGAAGCAACAAGTAAGTTACCTGTATATTTATTTCTACATATTTCTCATGAAGAAGTTTAAAGGAGTGTCCAATAGTAGCATGAAGATAAAGGTTCTCTGGAAATGCAATGTTCTAGAAGTTATTTTTGATTCAGGGTTATTTTCTTTTGCTTGTGTTGGGCTGCAATCTGTAATGTCCTTACAAACTTCACCTAGGCCCACAAAAAGGAGGCTTTGGAGCTTTGTACTGTAGCCATCAGATGTTGGACTATATTCTAGGGAAATTTCCTCTCAAAAAAGTCTTGAAGTTTGATTTAAATTGGAAGATTTAGACTGAGACATCTCAGGCTGATGATAATGGCAACCTTACGTGTCTGTCAGAATTAAAAAATATGATCTACAGGCTCTTCATATTCCAGTCTTTTCAGACACGGATGTTCATTTCTGTTACACAGATTTCTCTGTCCCAAAGAAACAAAAGCAAAACCACCACAAAACTCCCAAACAAAACAACAACAAAAGCACACCAAAAAATCCTCACAGTTTTGAATATCAGCTAACTGACTGTCATGAGTGTTTGCTGCTCTGTGCGTAGTAGATTCTGAATTACTTTCTGTAACTAATTTATTTTCAGGGAGATATTCTACGTATGGAAAAAGAGCATCAAGTATTAAAAGAACAACTTAAAGAAGCACAGGAAAAATACGAACAATTACAAAACCGGAGCTCAGAAGAAATCAGTGTTTTAGAAGAGCTGATAAAGAAGACTGTTCAAGAGAGAGGGGTAACATTTTGACTTGTGCTACAGTGGGGTTAGCAAAGATAAACTGCAGTGGCTGACAGTATTGGTTCTAATGGGTCAACACTGTTTTTTGAAACTTGAATGATGGTCCTCATGGCTTTGAAGTCTTACTCAGCAGATCTGAAAATCTTTGTGTATTGTCTTAAGAACACACTTAAGTGAACATAGAAAACTGGTTGCATCCATCTAGTGGATAGGTACTGGTTCTTACTCTAAAGAATAAAAAAAGCTCTGTGTTATTGACACTTTCCCTCTTCTTGAGGAGAAGGACTTCCAGTGGTCAGTGTTTTATTTGTTGGGAAGTCTAACAGACTTGTTTCTTTGAAAATGTCTGGGAGTAAGAGTAGTTTCCAGACATCATCAGCTTGTTTGTGTATTGAAAGGTTGTAAGATTTCCCTGGAGCCTTCTCTTCTCCAGGCTGCACAAGACAGCTGCCTTCAACCTTTCTCCATAAGAGAGATACTCCAGCCCTCTGATCATCTTCGTGTCCTGCTCTTAACCCACTCCAGCTCTTTCTTGAGCTAGCGTCAGGCCTGGATGCAGTACTCCACATGGGACCTCATAAGGGTAGAGTAGAGGGAGACAATCTTGTGCTAAATACGTGACCTAAAAGTAAATTAAGTGAAGGTGTCAGTGTAAATTTCAGTGGCATTTCTTTTGATCATGTGTTGGCAATCTGCTCTAATTTGCATTTTAATGGAATACCATTTGCAGAAATGTTTTCTTATTTTCTGCTTTTAGATATTTAAGAAAGAAGTGGAGTGGCTTCATCAAGCTTTAGAAATAAAAGTAAAAAAATGGCAACAGGAGAAAAAGGAAAGTCAAGAGAACTTAAAAGCAATGAGGAACACAGCCAAAAAGCATGTGGATACCAATGATAGGTACCAGTTTTGAACACAGAATTACATTATTGTCCTTTTGCTTGATTTTTTTTTTCCCAAAAGCAGCAGTACGTATGGCTGTTTCTAATAGACTGTGATAAATTTCATATCCACTGATTCTTTGATGTATGCAGAATGAAAACTCCAAACTTCTTGCTCTAATAATATAGTTCTGAAAGTAATTTAAACGCAACTTTTGGATTAGAGGTGCTGTCAGTTGGATATAAATATAGTTACTTAACCTAGTAAATACTAAATAACCTAATAAATACTACTTCTTCACTACTTAGAATCTTCCAGTTTTCCAGCCTCCTTTAGATCTGCACTGCTTTGTTGCTTTTCTCCTTCATGACTTAACGTTGTTTCCTCGCTGTGCTCTGCTTTTGCTGTATGATTGGTCTTAAATTTTCAATTCATTTCAGTTTTCATGTCTCGATCCTCCTCCTCAGTCAACCCGACTGAACTCTGATCTGCGTCTTTCTTTGACTCTCTTTATCTGTTCTGCCACTTGGCGTATCTGAAGGTTATTTTGGGATGCACATTTCCTTCCTTTCTAGGCTTATCGTTTCTTTCTCAGTTTGAAGTAAAACTGCAGGAACCACATAGCTGCATGTATCTCTTCTGTTTTTTACCTGTTCTTCACCCTGTAACAGAAGTCTGCAGAGCCTCCCATGGAACTTAGATAAGTAATATCTTACCACAGTCCTGTGTGCAGCAAACCCAGGTATTGTCCTGGCAAGTAGTTCTCCTGGCTCTGAAGGAATGTGAACCAGCTTCGTTCAGCCACAGTCCAGACATCTCAGAGATCACATAGAATCATAAATTTGCTTAGGTTGGAACTGACCGTAAAGATCGTTAGGTCCAACTACAACCCAACCGTACTACCCTAACTCTAACAACCCTCCACTACATCATGTCCCCGAGCACCACATCCAAATGGTTTTTAAACACATCCAGAGATGGTGACTCAACCACCTCCCTGGGGATCCTATTCCAGTGCTAAACAGCCGTTATTCTGTAGGATTTGATGTAGCTTTTCCCAAAACATTTTAAGCACTGCAGAAGTGTTTAAGTAACTTTATTATTGGCTGTATAGCCAGCTAGAAGCTTTTTCACAGTAACAGTGTGTGTGAAATATGAATGTCTGCTTTAGTTTTGGTGGGTTTTTTTTGGTGTTTTTTTTTTTTTTTTTTTTTGCTAATTCAGGTAAGCATTTACAGCAGTTGCCAGATAACTGATGAAGCTGACTTAATTAGCAAGTTTATCAATCCTGTCTGTGTTTTTAATATTCTCTGTCAGTTTTACAGACTTGAAGACTTCTGTCATAGAATACTATTATCTTTAATATGAAGAGCTTGGGCCAAATCTTTCTTGAATAATTATCAGCTGGTACTTACATTGGTTACTTGCTTCTTAATTAGGAGTACATTAGGTGCTCTTAAAGTGTTGATATATAAGATGTACAGATTGTCACTGCTGCGTATTTGTCACTCTGGTTGTAGAGGGTCATGTATTTGCTAGCAAACGTTTTTCAGAACAAGCTTAATGAATGTTTGATTACTCTAGGTATTCAAAGACCATTGATGAGAAGGAGAAGCAGTATAACACATGTTTGAATACATATCTTGAGACCAGGTAAAACTCTTGTACCTCTCAGCAATATTTATGTGTTTCTGTTGACTTTCCATTATTGGAGTTGTCTGTTTCACTCTGGGCGAAAGATGAGAAAAAAAATAAGCGCTTCAGCTTATATCTCTTATTCTCAGCTAGTTTACTTCTATTTACCATGAGTAAATATTATTTTCTTTTAGATATTTAGAATCATAGAATTATTAAGGTCAGAAAAGACCTCTGAGGTCACCTTGTCCATCCGTCAGCCCATCCCTACCATGCCCACTGACTCTATTTCTCATCATATCTCCACGTTTCTTGAACACCTCCAGGAATGGTGGCTTTACAATAATTAAAAGTTGTCTTTCCAAAATTGTGTCATATATTTTCCATGATAATATGATCCTGTATTTTAGAACCCTTTAGAATTTGGGTGCACTACATACATACTACATATCGAAATTTGTAGTTCTAAATACACGTAGTTACCTGAGCACTTCATAAAAGTTGCATATAGCTGGAATTCGAGGTGTAATTTATAGATACATTTTTAATATGTGTGAACAGATTCAGAACAATAAAACTTACATGACTGTAGTAGTCAAGCTCCTGATTACGTTGCACAGTGAAATTTAGTTGAGAAATCCCAAAGTTATGTCTATCGAGCCAGCAGTATAGCTGCAAGAATGTGACGATGTGCCAGGTACAACATGTACAACATAAGTGCAGATTAATGGTTCTGAGGAAGGGAGAAGTAATAGCCACAGAAAACCTCTACAATGTCATCAATTTTAGATACTGCTGTGTTACTTCATTTTTTTTTGACCTTTTTTGTTTTGCAGTAATAAATTTGCTAATAAGAAAGTAAAACTGGAAGAACTTATTAAGAAGAGTCAAGATGACTTCAAGGAGCATGAGAAAAGAGCTGTTAAAGCAGAGGTACAAACAAAAACAAAACCTGAAACACTTCTTTTACAGTCTGGATCATTTGCACTGATGGATGGGGAAGATGACTGGTGAAGTCTTATTTAAGAATTTCCCTTTAAATAGCACCTAAGACATTTTATAAGAATACATTAAAAGTTTTAATCAGATATTGACAACTGCTGTTCATTATGTTATCCTGCAGAATTTTGCAGATCATCAGTATGTTATTATTGGCCAGTATTATAACTGTACAGAATTTGGGGCTTCTGGTATTGCCTTAACATTTAGTAATATTTCAGTTTCATACTTAGCCCTCTTGTGAAAACATTTCATTAGTGAGTATTATAGGAAGATAGGATTTCCTTTGCAAAGATAAGTCACACTTAGGGAATCTGTGGCTACTTCGTACTCTGACAGTCTGAATGCAGTTTGGTTATTTCACTGAAAGGAGGAGTTTACTGAGAAACATCAGTACTTTTGCCAAAATAGCATTGAAGATGGGAAAGACTTCTAATACACCGTATGGCATACAATTCTTTCTTCAGAGAAAAGGTTTGAAGGCTGTTGTACCTGCAGTGAGATCTTATACAAAGATTAGATTGTTGATCCACGTTGGTCTTCCACAGTACAGCATTTAAAAGGCTGCCTGAAACACTTAAAATGTATATATGTACACAAACACATGCATTTTTAAGCTGCAGATGGAACATCTCTGCATGCATTCTGCAGTCCGTTGAAGTGAATATAACCTACTTCACCTCTCAGAGGCCTGCCAATGCCCTTGATTCTAATCTGATGTTCTGTTGTGAGTGTATGTTGTACACTGTATCATCAAACTGTTGTTTAAGAGGATCCAGGCTTTATTTATTGTGTCTGCAATGCTTTTGTTGTGCTTCTTTAAAAGCTGTTATTTTGTTACAGGTATCAGTACTCAAAAACTGGAAAGAAAGTGAATTATACAAACTGAATGGTATAGTTTCCAAAGCAGAAGCAAATCTCAAGATGTTGAAGTCATTAAGCAGGTATGGAGAGTTTACACTAGCAATTTCAGTACTACTTCTTGTTAAAGAAAAGCAATTACTGGATGTTTAATCATGATCGTTTTAACTAGACAAGTCAGTTTTGCTCACAAAGCGATGCTATCCTGAAATATCTGCAGTCATTAAATGCAACTTTCCTGAAGCTGATTTTCTATTTTGGGCTTAAATTACCAACATGTGAGCAGCAAACTTCTCTTCTAATTCTCTCTTAGAAGATGAGGCTACTGGGAATGTTCCAGTTACTGCTATCCAGTAGCACGGGAAGAGGGCTGCAGTGTAAATAAAGTGGTGAAACAAAACAGTTGGGCATTTGGCAAGAATGAAGGAATTAATATTTTAAAAACTACTTGTTCCATCTCCCTGTCTAGGTTGCCCCAAAATATTATTTTACATTTGAGAAGTCTACTTCTAAGATTGGATAAGATATTGGTGCAATTAATTTAAGTGACGTTAGCTTAAAATAGGTATAAGTCTTTAACTGTGACTAAAGTTGTGAGAGTATGGTCATAAAAATAATTGAGTTCGGTTGGAGGGGACCAAAGAGCTGTCAGAGTTAATCAAGAGTTAAAACTTGTTATTGAAGGCATTGTCCAAATGCCTCTTGATTACTGACTGGGACAGGCTTCCTAGAGAGGTGACTGATGCCCCGTGCCTGTGTTCAACCACCCTCACGTAGAGAAATTTTTCCTACTGCCCGCTCTGAACCTCCCATGGTGCAGCTTTGTGCCATTCCGTATTCCCTGTCATCAGTGACCAAAGAGAAGAGCCTAGCACTTCCCTCTCTGCATCCTGTCCTCAGGAAGCTGCTGAGAGGAACGCAGTTGCCTCTCAGCCTTCTTGTCTGCAAAGTAGACAAATTAATGGGAACGTTGGAGTTTAACTGAAAATTTTCATTATTTCAGCAGCTCAGCTTCATCACTTCCTGACTTAAAGTCACAGATTAATTATTGGGAAGTATTTATTTCAAATATAAAGAAACAAATGGAGAAAGTAAAGGTGAGTGTAAGTTCTCTTAACTAGGGATAAGTTGAATTTTGGAAATTAAAGCAGAATATATAACTTAATTTTGCATTCCTTTGTTAAAATATCAATGGCTTCTCCACAAGCCAATCTGCGTTTCTTTTAATGATGAAAGAAAGTTTTGATTATAAGGCCTGATGATAAAATGTGCTTAAGTTGCAAGGAATATCTTCTGTTTCGGAAAGGCAGAATTCAAGATTACTGAATCCCAGGTTGATCAGTCTGTCAGCTCTATTGTATTTTTTGAACTTTAAAGTCCATGCAACTTTTTAAAAAATGATAAAATTGTCTTTTAAAGGGAAGTTGTATGGAACATCTAGGTTAAGTTTTAAAAGCTAGATGATTCACAAATGTTTTCAGACATTAATGTGCTTCCATAGAGATTAATGTTGCTGTAGGAGATGGCAGCCTTATTGTAGCCACATGAAAGGCCTGCTGCCTTTTACTGTATGAACTACTGGAAGAGCTTTATTTAATGCTGATTTGGAGAGGAATTTGTTTTTTTTCCTCAGGTTGGGTATGAAGAAAAAATTGAGAAGGTGAAAAATGGTGTTCGAAACTGCCTCACCAAAATAGAAACTGTGGATCTTTCATCTCTTCCCAGTGTCTTAGTATGTATCTTATGTGTGATAGCAGTATGTTCAGAGATTCTGTAAGTTAACGTCAGCGTGGCTGTCCATTACAGAACATGAACATAGAGAACTTGAATAGATAGCTTTGAATTCAAAGCAGTATAGCCATTCATGGAAATTAATCTGCAGTGGCTACATCCCAGATAAATGCTATTAAAAGCACTTCCTTACAGGTCAGCACTTCCACAAATACTTTGCTCAAATCATGTCAGTTACTTCCAAACAATGTGTGATAGTTTCTGGTGCCAGGACAAAGTCAGTGTAAGTCAGTACTCATTTAATTCCTTATCAGCATGGCTTGGGGAGATGCATGACCATGCCGAAGTAGTCAAGCTAGCTGCAGAGATGATGCCAGCAGCCTGACTGCTGCCATTCACTGAAGCAAAATTGAAACCTGGGCACAGAGCTGATGCCCAGGCATGAAGGCAAATAGCATGCATGAGTTACTGTACCTTGGGATAGTTTGGAGAAAAGCAAAAAGGGTTCAGTCATCCTTTAGAATGGGGAATGGGGATTAACTGCAGCATAGGAAGTTCCACACAAATGCGCACAAGAACTTCTTTACAGTGAGGTGACGGAGCACTGGAACAGGCTGCCCAGGGAGGTGGTGGAGTCTCCTTCTCTGGAGATGTTCAAGACCTGCCTGGATGCCTGCCTGTGCGACCTGCTGTAGGGAACCTGCTTTGGCAGGGGGGTTGGACTCGATGATCTCTGGAGGTCCCTTCCAACCCCTACAGTTCTGTGATTCTGTGATTTAAGTGCTAAGTGAAATGCATTCCTGGCACATGCAAAAATGAAATCCTCAAACGCATCACAGATGCCACAAAAGAAACTTTCTGTAAAATATGTATTCTCTGCATAAAGTCATGTTTTTTTCTTTCCTTTGTTTTTGCTGTAATTTAGACCCAAGGCTTTGTTCCAAAACTGTAGTATACTATGGTTGTCACTACAGTTTTTCTGGACTCATACTCTTATGTTTTCTGGCCTACCTTTTATTCCCCACTAAGATTTAGGTCTCTTCTCCTTATTGGCACAGATCTCTTAAGAATTTGTAAATGTTCTTAGTTATCCTCTTTAAGGTACCATCATTTTAGAAGTTTGGAAGTAGAGTGATTTCTGTTCCACTTGTTATGCATTTGGCACCTGCTTTTACTGTAGTGATGGAGGAATAACTTCTTAGAAAATGTATCTGTGGTTCTTTCACTGTCAGGGAGACCTTTTGAGGCAAAACTGAATCCAAATGAAAAAGGCTTGATAAAATGGTCGCTATCCTTGACTGCTTAATTCCATCTGTAATTCTTTTTTTAATAAATTAATTCATTAGTAATTCATTTTTTAATAAAGAGGTATAAGAAACATAGCTTGATAAACAAATCTATAAGAATCAACAAAACTAAATCTAAAGCCATGCACTAAAGAATGTGAAAATTTATGGATGTCCAAGTTAGCCTGCTGAACTTGTGATTTAGGTGTCAGGTTATCTCTATGCATCTCTGTTGGCAAAGCTAGAGGTCGGTAATATGCAGATCGAAAAAAAAAATAGCACATTCTCAAGCAAATATTTAATCAGCCTTTTTGTAGACTGTTGCTTTGTTCCAAAATGTACTCCCATTTGTTTCTTCTCATTTTAAGGAATCACAGAATGGCTGGGGTTGGAAGGAACCTCAAAGATCATCTAGTTTCAACCTCCTGCCACAAGCAGGGTCACCTACCACTAAATCAGACACTAGATCAGGCTGCCTGTGGCCCCATCCAACCTGGTCTTGTGCTTGTTAGATGGCAGCCAAGTTCTGAAGCAACAGTAGTAGTCATAGAATCACCAAGGGTGAAAAAGACCTACAAGATCATCCAGTCCAACCGTCCATGTATCACCAAAAGTTCTCACTAGTTCTCTCCATTTATGGAACACAGTTGTTCAAAGAGAAGTCTTCCTGGATCATGTGAACTCCAAGATTGTCAACATGGTGCCTTTAGCTGATGTGTTTGTTTTTAATGTAAATAAGTGAATAAATATTGCACTTGGTTATATATTGTTTATATTGCCAAGTGAAAGCAGTAAATGTGTTTTCAAATTGATGGCACTTGTGTTAAAGCAGTGGTTTCTCTCACGAACATCAAACTATCCTTGAAAAACCGCAGCTGTCCAGCAGCATTCACTCCTTAGTAAATACAGAATATGTAAAGTAGCACTGAATGCATAAATGCTGCTCTTTTTAATCCTGCTTCAAGCCAGTTGTCTATGTGCAGTACAAAATAAAGGGCACTTTCATATGGTATTTTCACCTAGGCAGAAAAGTTCAGATATGATCTTCAGTTCCTCATCGTCACCAAAACGTAGTGCAGTTCATGCTGCAAATGCTCAAGAGCTCTGCTCAGTTTATTTCAATTATTTTTTCTTATGGAATCTGTTTATTTTGTAGAGAAAGCAAAGCAAACCTGCTGTCGGTGATCCAGCCCTTGTCCCATACTCTTCTGCATCTGCACACCCTAATTTACTTCCTGCAGTTTCAAGCTCTGAAGATCAAGGTCCAACAACTGCTTCACTTAATACCCAGGCTGGAGTGAAGCCTGCAAATGCAAATTCTAAGGTTTGCTCTGCAAGTGATGGATCAGTGAAAACAAACACCAAAGCTTGGACGGGATCATATGCTGATAAAGTTTCGCTAACTTCTATGTCAAAGTTTTCAGGAATCAATACTCAGAACATACAGCCAAACCAAACCCACCAAGATGATTCAGCTACACAGATGAAGCCCTCTTCAAACAACACATCTGAAAATATTATTGCTCATCTACAAACTATATTTCCGGGCTACAGCAGGTATTTTTTTAATGCGTGTAATGCTCTATTTGGTAATTGAAATTCTAATCTATCATTTGTAAAGATAGTAGAACAGAGATAGACAGAATAAAAGGAATTGATTTCTTACTGAATACTTCATTTTCACACACACACACACACACACAAAAAAAAAAAGTTTTTTCCCTTGTTTTCTGAGATACTCCTTATCATGATTGACCTACAGTGTTGACTTAATGTTCTCAATGAGAGCTGCCAGCAAATAGAAGTAGTGTTATTTTGATGAATACAGTAGCTAGATCCTAGTTACTGAGGGGTGTTAGAAATAGGTGCTTGCTGCAGTTCTGTTGAGAGGTTAGGATTTTTTACAGGCTCTTCTGCTATGAGTCAAACATGGAAACTACAGTGTTGTAATATGCCTATAGTAGCTGTAGTGTTACCCATCAGTAATCATGTTATTTTTCTTTCAGTTCAGAGTTTGCGAGGTTCATAAAAGATGTACAAGGAAGAAGTGGAAATACATTAAGTTTGAGCTCCACTGAAATTCTAAGCAGAGTGACAGATCTCATTCTGGACCAGCAAAATGAGGTCTGTTGTAGTTGCTGCTATTTCTACTGTGTATCTCTGACAGTGGAAATAATGCAGCACAGTCTAAAAGAGAATACAAATTTTTCCTTGCTGTCAAGCTCTGAACCGTGAACATGCTCAAAACTCTTATCCAATACCTGTCTAGGCATCAACTTCTGTAGGGAGACCTCTGAAGTCAACATCATCTGCTTCTGCAGGACAGACAGGAACTCAGAGTCAAGTAGCAGCTGCAGAAGGAAATGTTTCCAGCGCACCCCAAGCAAGGCCTGCACACAAAAGCACCTCAAGTAAAAACATGCTGCCATCTCAGCCAAATCTCCAGCCGTGGGGGAATGCTGGAGCAACACCAAAAGCTAAATGGAAAAAACTAGACTATATAGTAAGTTCTCTACTGCATTGTGAAATTCAAGTTATTACCATGGTCTTTTTTTATGAGATGTGAAATAATCAAAGTATTACTAGACAAAAAATAGTCAGACTTCTTCATTTTGTGGACAAAAACTTAAGTAGAGAGTTTGATGATAAATTGTTGCTAACTTACTAATCGCTTTCTGTTCAAATGATTATTTTTTTTAAATGTATAGCCTTCCAGCGATGATCCATGCATCATATGCCATGATGAGTTAAGCAGAGACTCATGTGAACTGGAATGTGGGCATCATTTTCACAGAGAAGTAAGCATTTTTTTTCTTACCTTAGTATTGCTTAGATGCGAATGTTGACTAACTGTTCAGTTATACAGTTTTTTTACTTTTTAAAAGTTTCTCCCTCCCCTTTATCCTTCAGCATCTGAAATTATGAATGGCAGGACATTGTTTTCCTTTCCGTACTTTTTGCACCAAGACTTGCTATATGCAGTATTAATGTTTTGAAAAGTTTCCAGTTTTAGATATTAACTAAAATGGTAATTCATCAGACTGAATTTAAGCTTACTTTGAATTCAGAATAATCCAGTCTTGGTAATCAAATTACGGATTTCTGTTTGCAGCATCCTTAGAGAAGGGGCCACTGCTATAAAGCTGCTTTTGCCACCTGATAGGAGCTGCAGGTGTAACTTCATGTATTAAGGAGGCAAAAAATTATACTGGAATAACACAATACTTCTGTCCATGACCTTTTCCCATTTCCATATTTGTTGCTCTTTTGTCACTTGCAGAATAGGTTGGTGAGCAGAACATCAGAACTGGAGAATAGTTTTCTAACTGCAAATTTCATAACAAGTTGTACAAGGGGGTACTGAGACTGTCTCCTCAGCGTAATCTTCCTGTTCTTGCAGTGCATTAGAAAATGGCTTAAGGAACATTCGAGTACCTGCCCTATCTGTCGCATCCACGTTCTGTTACCTGAAGACTTTCCTGAGCTCCCTGCACGCAACAAACATGCCTAAACCTTGTTTTGTGACACTCAGTAAGATGTGGAGTGGCTGCAGATAAATAACCATCCCAACATGGCATGGAGACATGATGCCTAAGAAGAGGTGGAACCCTGGTTTTAGTGGAAATGATAGCAGAATTTGTTCTAATGCAGTATTTAACACTGAGCTGTAAGACACAGGTATTGCTGTGGCACTTACCGGATGAAGACAGCGTACTCCTTAAATCAGTGCTTCTCCTGGTTGCTGCCTTCAGCGCGTGTACCTCATGTAGTTCTGAGGCCAGGACCACGCTGGTGGGGTTCTTGCTTAGGGGAGTTTCAGTCCTTAATCTGTTTTTCTCAAAAGCTGCTTCTGTATGTGCACAGTACCTCTAAAAAGGGGTTTTCTTTAGAGCTGATACTACACCGAAAATAAATAAAAGTGGGCCGAACAATAGACTGGCAGAATTTGGAATAACCAAGCCATCACCTTCCCTGTATAAACAATTGCAGGATTCCAATTGAGTTTCTTTAGATCATTATGAATATCATTCGTGTAATTGCAAGTCTTTTCTCCATGTAAATCTGGAACTGATAATTCAAATTGTTTAAATGATAACTCTTAGCTATACTTTGAAGCACTAAATATTCTCTAAGTATTCTTCTGTTCATACATCGATTTTAGAATACTGTGATTCAATTCTGTAATGTAAAAATACCTTAAATTTCTCTCCTTGATGAGCTGATTTGTTTGAATTGGCACTGAAGGATTTTTATTCTTGGTGAAGCAATATAACGCAGTTGTGTTCTGTGCACAAATGCCAGTTTATCAGCAGTGTGAGGTACATGGTACAACCAGCTGAAGGAGTGGCTGTCCTACTGCTTGAGAAGTCTGAGTGTGCCATGAGTGCCTTCTGCCTTGTAAAATTTGTTTCAGACAGCCAGAGATCCAGGTATGCCGCATGGTGTAAACACCCTCAAAATGTGGTGAGTCTGACCATTGTTTGGGCACAAGCCGTGTTCAGCTATTTAGGTTATGGCTTAATGGATCATTTGTTTCCCCAGGTCAAAGTATACAGTTGAAGTTTCAAAGCATCCTTTGATAAGTCAGTATGTTTAGTGAAACTTGGGTCAAAAATAAAATTACTTCTGTAGCCTCTGTGGTGGTTCTTCTTGTGTAATATGTTTGTTGATTGTGAATTCTTGATGCATAAGGTACTATCTGCCAAAGAGCTGAGGTGCCGTGCTGCCTGAAGGATGAGGTACTGTTCTGCTCTGCGTTACACTGCTTGCATCCTTGTCAGCTTGTTTTTTCTCAGTGGGTGAGGAGAGTACAGGCAGAGCAGCCCCCACACATGCCACAGGTGATGGTGTTCTTAACCAGAACACAGCTTGACAGCACTGGCTGTTAATGTGGGGTCTTAACATTGAACTGATATTTACATATGTTATGTTCTTGCTCGCTGCCAGCTAATCTTGTCCCTCACAGCACACATAAGCTCTCAGCTATTCCTGTCGTGTTTGGATGCTGTTGATTTTTTTCTTTGTATGTGGAAAGGTTGGGTACATGCTCCACAATAACAGTAGAAGTATCCATCTGCTAGAAGAGTCCAGTTTCTAATCCAGCTCTCAGTTGTCAGCAGTTTATTGCAGAGTCTCACATTAATCCTTGGCTTCCAGTCAGAGCTGCCTTTCAGAGAGCAAGAAAATCATAGAGCAACAGAAGCACTTCAAAGCAGGATTTTGTCAGATGTCTCTCCTCCATTCTCAAACCATTCCAACCATCAGTACCCCAGAACAACATGGTACAGGCAGAGGGGCAACCTATTAGACTGCAGTTGAAGGAGTTCTGCTGCGGATACAATAGCCAGGGGCAGGATGAATGCCAGTGCTTCTTTTCATTTAACTTTGGAATGTGTGAAGTGATGCTGCTGCTTTAGGTTTGAGCAGCAGGTGGCACTCCTGTAGACTAGAAACAGTCTAAAGGCATCTAGACTAGGAACAGGGGCTGTTGTGTTCCAGAAGTCATGCTGTATTTACTGGTTCCTGATCTTAAAAAAAAAAAAAAGTGTGCATTTCTAGTTCATGGGGAAAGGAAACAGAGGGAGGGGATAGAGAACAAAGGTGTTCTGTTGTTTTTTTTTTTTAATAAGTGTAAGACATTAAATATCAAATATCAAATGCTTACTCCTGAAGTACAGCTGATACCAAACCACTGCTAAACTCAGACCTACATATTCCTGCTTAGCAATACTGCTGGAAAAAGCTACAGGAAGTTGGTTTTGGCAGTTCTCTTTTTAATTCTTTTTAGGTTGTTATACATCACAGTTGATGTAACGCCCTATATACTACTTAACCTGCCTCCATCCCATGCAAATTTTGTGGAAAATTAACAACTAAAAGAAAATTGCAGCTTTTTTGTTAACTTCAGATAACATCAAAATCCATTACCTGTTCATCTGAGGAAGGTTGCTTCTTGCTGGAGTGGATTTTTTTTCCCCCCCATCTAGTTCCTACTCTGCCAGTTTCTATGAACTTTTAAGATTTATGATTACAAAGACTTAACATATTTCTTAGTGTAAATTTGTATATTTACTTTCACAAAAGTATTTATATATATTTCCTTTCAGGTGCTTGTATTTGTACTTTCATATTAGTAAGTGGCAATATTAACCCACCTGTTTAAGCAGCAAATGGCCTATCTCTCTTGGAATAGTTGCTCACATCATGAATAGTTTTCTACAGGCACAAGGTGTCACAGCATAAAAGTATTTTTGGCCACTTTCTTCAGTACTTGGTCTCATCTACACTCTGAGCAGAGGGCTATGCAACAAGGCAGTGCTGCTGTTTGTCATGTCAGTCATTCCTTTTTCACATCAGAGCTGAGCTGCACAAGTCTAGTAAAGAGGAAAGATGTTAAAGTGTCCAGAATAAGTGCAGTTTGAAGCTAAAAACTTCTGACCTTCCTTGGCACTATTTTACACAAACAGCAAAGGTAAAGCAAGGGCATTCCAGGGAATAGCCAAGGAGAAGTTACCTGTGAAGCAGTAACTTCAGCTCTAAGCACTCCTTTGAGGCAGACTCATTCCTAATTTGACCAAAATACATTTGATGTTATTTCACCTCATTACCCATTTCACATCTCTTAATTCAGTCATCGTGCACTATTCATCTCATGACATTGTGCATTGTAGTAGCACCATTTATTATACTTCCACAGGCACTATTCAGTCCTGTCCCCTCCTCAAATATATATACAGTAAACCATATTAACAGAACTGACTTCATTTAAGAGGTCTTTGAAGGACTTGGGAACAAGTGTTACATCATGAATTGAACAGAAGAATTTGCTTCACATATTTTTATAACTGGGGAAAATATGCAAAAAAATCATTCACAATTTGTTTGAGAAAAAAACATAAAATCTAGCTGCTGAAATCAGACACTTGACAGAGCTCTCAAGATAGTTAATCCACCTAGGCTACCATAAGACAGGCAAAGGCTTTGGGATAACTGAGAGCCCAAGAACCACCATCAGGAGGAAGGAAGTGATAAGTTTTCACTTCAAATAACAAGATAAGATAAAATCTCATTTTGTCTCTGAATGATTTCATCCTTCTCCTGTGACTCCTTAAGTGATTCTTCCTCTGGCTATTTACATCCTGCAGAGCTTCAGTGGGAAGTTCTCTGTGATGAGATGATCATCATGCAGGAGGACAACAATGTTCACTTCAAACTCTACAGGAAAAGAAAGAGTTCCATTAATTAATCCATTCAACTGAACTGTAACAGTAAAAACAGAGCAGACACTTTCTACTCTCAGCTGCATCACACCACAGGACTCTCCCAAGCTGTTTCTACAGCCAAGTCATACAGGGATGAAAAGGTATTCCAGACAGAACCAAATTAGAGGCATCTAAGACCTTGGGCCACTGAGACCCTTGGCTACTTACAAACTGAGTTTCTTCTGGATTTGCTTCTCTGTGACTCAAAATTGATGCCTGTTGACCAGTGTGTGATCAACATAGATGACACAGAAGATCAAACAACTACAGATTAAAATGGACTTTGGTGTGAGAAACCTCATCCCAAAGCATATGTGTATTTTTTTTAGAATCATGTTGAAAAGTTAAGGAACAAATTCCTGCCCACACTGTCAGAATGTAACAAGATTTTAAGGCCTTACAGAAAGTGAAGTTAAACACCAAAAAACCATAAACATGTAAGTGATGGAAAAAGTCTCAAAATCTACTCTTCAAATATTACATTGTGTTGGTCAGAAATAGGATCAGGATCAGGTCTGTAAAGACTTCTAAGTGGAGACAATATAAAGACAAGTAGAGTTCACAGATGAAGGCAGGCAGAGATCACACTGAACATAGCTGTCTTTTTTGGGCACTTTCATACTTCAGTTAAGACTTCAAATTCATAAAAGTAGATATGACATTAACAGCAGCCATTTCTTATTTAATAGTAAGAAATGGCCAAAGTAAACCAGAATAATATGTTGGGGGGGTCGGGGGGAAGTGGAGGGAAAAAAAAAAATAATAAAAAAAAAAATCACAGTACATCAGGTACAGAAATGCTTTTGGGGGAACAGACAACCACATAATGAAAGTTGAAAAGCTACCTGTGCATATTTGTCCAAGATACACAGCAGAAAAGTAACAGGAGCTTCAGGTGGGAAGGATCTTGGAAATAGGGACTTAGACTGTAGTAACAGCTACTACTGTACTAGCAGCCTCAATGTGATGCAATTAAATTAAAAAAAAAAAAACACACACAACCACAGGCAGCAATGAGAATTTCTGAAGTACTTATCTGAACAAATGAGAACTATCCTAAATTTTAGATGTTTGTAATGAAGATGGTAGAATTTGGATACAGTTAGGAGGAAGTGGCCTGTGTAGATCTAGAAAATAGAGTCAGGTACAATCTGCCTCACTTCTGCATCTATGCAGCAGGAGAATGGGAAGCAAAAAAAAAAAAAAAAAAAATGCTATGGAAGGAGGGGTTCTCAGCAGTGATAGAAAGAAGGAATCTTTCCATTTTATTCTCAGGCTACTATTCAGGTGTTGAATAACACCATATTTTTTTGGCAGAAAAAAAAGTTACTCATTGATTATTCTGGTCATGTAATTCTCTTAGAACTTGCATAACAGTATCCTAACTATTTCTGATTGGAAGCACTTGGTCTCTGCTTTCTCAGTCTATATGAAATGCAGCATACTACAGTCCTGTTCATGGAACCTCTACAAGGAAATAGTCACCCTTGTTCTTTCTTGCACAGCAATTCATCCTATTACCTGCCAGAAGCTGAAGTGAAATTAGCAGCTTATTTCTAATGGGAGCTGCAAACAGAGCATAAGATCCTATCCACTTACCCACTTTGAAGTTTGTTGTTTCCAAGGTAGGGCAAGTGAACAACCTGGGAAACACCATGTATATAGGAACTGGTAGGCCTCTGCAGACATCCCCATCAGCAATCTGAATATTCTGTATCTCTGTGGCATCTCTGGCATAACCTTCCGCACACCCTGGTGAAAGCAAAAGAAATTCAGAGGGAGCGGAAGGAAAAGCAAAGCAATGGCCAAAATTCAAATATGAATTCACTGGGGGCAGGAGCAAGAAGGGAAGGGAACAGGGATATGGCCTTTTGCCCTTTGATTTGTGAGTTTTCACATGAGTGCTTCAAAACTAAGTCTTAGGGATTGAATTTAAAGTAATGTTTCAACTGTTCCACACGAAATGCAGAATTATTTTTTGCCAGTGTTTTTAGTAGTATGATTTCTGACAGTCTTGCATATTGAACATCTAAGTGGTAATTACTGCAGCATACACACGTTCCACCTATTGGGAAACTTACCACAGGTTTCCACACGCACTAACTGCAGCTCAATACTTTTGACTGCAGCTTCTGCACTCTCCACTACCAGCTCCCCTGTTAGTGGCTGCGTAATGACACAGTTTGTAGAACTGAGATGGCCTCTGATGAGAAATTTTGGAAGCGATGCTCTCTAAGAAGATGGAGGGAAAACAAACATAACTAATCATCTGTACCAGGAGAGAACAGGCAGCATCACCTTACAAAACAAAAACAGGAGGGAGGAGAGAGAAAAAATAAGAAGAAAAAAAAAAAAAAAAAAAAAGCTAA